AATGAGTACCTGGTTAATTGTCAAACAATGAGAGTAACCCAAAGTAAAACTGCTGCTTGATTACTTGTACTCGGATATTAGATATTTTACTGAGTAAATTAATGAAAAGAAATGTTATTTTGTTTTTGAAATGTACATGTATACTAACATGTCACAGATTTTATTTACTGTTAGCCTCAATCTAGAGTTTCACAATATTACTATCAATATGTTGTCATTAGCTAGCATTTCATTTCTGGAATTTTTAGAAATATTCTACTTTTCATTTCCGACCTTTTAAGTTTTCATTTCCAACATCTATGAAATAGTAGTACTTTACCGCCAATAAAATGGAATTGAAGACTTTTCTTATTAAAATTTAAAAGAAATAAATCATTGAAATCCAAAAAATAAGTTTTGTTTAGCTTTTAAAGAAACTAATGAATATTTAACTCTGTGACACACATATGTAAGTAAAATATAATCATGATAATGCCAGCAAAGTTTACATATCATGAAAAATTTAACTAGTGCTGTTTGTACATACATGTATATATGTATATATTTTAATTTCTATACTTGGAACATGTGTTTTGAAATAAATATAATATCATTTTCCTGTTAGAAATGGTATTGTAACCTATCTGGTCACATTAAATTGCCAGAAAAGTACTATAAAAACAATTCTAGAAATGACGTAAAAACAAAGCTCTTATTGATGACTAATTTAGTCACCATGGCACCTAAAAATTGTTTATTGGTGCCTAAAATTTTTCTAAATGTCGCCAAATTGGCGACCATTTTAAATTGACTTGGCGATCGTCTAATTCTGGAATCTCAATGAGATTATACCTCTGCACACGGTAATTTATTTAAATTGCTGTTTTCATAAAACAGTCAGCATAACAATAACAATAGTGTTGTGCTTTGCATGTACTATGCCTAAATAGCAGTCAGGGTTTGACTATTTAGGCATAGTACATGCAAAGCACAACACTATTATATGAATAGCAGTCCCAGGTAATTGTTGGCTTCAGAAAATTAACAATTGTGCAATGCAGTATTTGACTAAATTGGACAGGGTGATGTGGTCAATTGTTTGTCAATGAAGTTCTCATTGTTTACACATTCCTTGATGTATTAATAGTTTTTAAAAAATATTTCATAAGAATTAAGTTTTTTTAAAAAGAAATATTCAATCAAACTTTTTGAATATAATTACCATTGTCACAAACCACGGCCAAATTGTATGATCCTCTCCCATTCTGGCCAATAAGAGACAGCTATATATGTGCGGACTCAAAACAGTGGCTTGAGACAATGGAGTTTTACTTGCATCCTTAATTCTAACCTTTTAGCATTTAGCTGGCTTATATTTCTTGCTGATTTTTCCCTTAGGATTGCAATGGATCCCCCCTTCCTGTGACTAACACAATGGGTATGTATATTGATTATCAGCTTTTGAAGTTGGCACATACGGTAAGAAAAATTTGTCTGGCGACTAAAAATTTGCACTTGCCACTGAATTTTTCTGATTAGGATTTAGGAACCAGCTGGTGCCTAAATTTTAGAGGTCACTTAAAGGCCTGAAAAAATAAAATTCAGAAAATTCAGAAAAATAAAATGTCAGGATTGCTAAGCATAATTCTGGAAATGAAATGCATAACTTCTTTCAGTAGAATACAAATTGATAAATTGACCAAATGGTGCAGAATTTGGAAAATCTGGTAAAAATACTCTTGCTTATTACAACTTTATATACTCTGTTTTATCAATGTGACATCATATTGTAAAATTTGATGCAGTTTGTATGCAGTGAGAGGCAGATCAAGTTATATTTTATACACTGAAAATTGTAATTTGTCATCAAAACAAATATTATTTGCAGGTATAAAAGAGACCATTAACTTGGATGCGAAGTCTTTTTTAAGATTTTATTCATATACTTTCCGTACATTCCCTGGACAAGCGATACTGCAGTATATTTGTATGCAAATTTATTGGAGGGTGATAGAAGGGTCTTAATAAATCAATATATAGCAAGGGCATACCCTCACAGGATCAGGACAAGCTATAACACATAAACTCAAGAAGTATTAAGATATTTGAAAAGTGCTGCGAAAACCTGATAAAATCTTGCAAATGAATTAATTATATCTATATTTAATGTAGTTGACCAACAAAAGATTCAACATGTGGTCTAACAAATGTAATTTTAACAATTAGATAGTAGAATCTACATAGAATCTATATGGGATCACAGCACTTTTCACAAACTACAAAAAGTATTGAAAAGAATTATAAACAAGAAGTCAGTGAGCCAATGCTCACTAGTAATACCCCCGCTCTGATGTGAATATACACTCTGATGTGGATGTACACAAGTTCAGTTACAGACAGACACAGGGATGAACAGGAAGTTGACATCAGATTTGTACAACCAGAAGTCTCTGATGAGACTGTAGCTCTACTGGCTGTACTCATAAAGGAAGATAAGTAGCACTTGGACTTGAAACTTTGCAACAGCAATAAATAGAATAATGATCCTTGGTTTAGTCTCTTTTTGTGGCAAGATTTATTGCAATCAGACTAAAACTGTAGGAGGAGTAGCCTTTTAAAATAATTTTACAGAAATTTCAATTTAAGTAACCATGGCAACATCATTCCACAAAATCAGAAAACAATATTAACAATTATGTATCTCAGTGTCGTCTACTTATATGCCAAGTTATACTGAAATCAGACAAAAAGTGTAGGAGGAGTAGTGTTTTGAAAGTATTTCAAGAAATTTCTATTTTTAGTAGCCATGGCAACACTGTTCATCGAAATCCAAAACTGGTAATGAGAATTATGTATCTTAGTGTAGTCTACTTGTGTGCCAAGTTATATTGAAATGAGATCAAAACCGTAGGAGGAGTAGCATTTTGAGAGTATTTCACAGAAATTTCTATTTTTAGTAACCATGGCAATACTGTTCATTGAAATCAAAAACTGATACACAGAATTATGTATCTTAGTGTAGTCTACTTGTGTGCCAGGTTATACTGAAATCGAACCAAAACTGTAGGAGGAGTAGTGTTTTGAAAGTATTTCCCAGAAATCTCTATTTTTAGTAACCATGGCAACACCTTTCAGTGAAATCAAGAATCGATATACAGAATTATGTATCTTAGTGTAGTCTACTTGTGTGCCAGGTTATACTGAAATCGAACCAAAACTGTAGGAGGAGTAGTGTTTTGAAAGTATTTCCCAGAAATTTCTATTTTTAGTGACCATGTCAACACCATTCATTGAAATCAAAAACCGATATAAAGAATTAAGTATCTTATTATAGTCTACTTGTGTGCCAAGTTAAATTGAAATCAGATCAAAACTGTAGGATGAGTAGCATTTTGAATGTATTTCAAAGAAATTTCTATTTTTAGTAACCATGGCAACACTGTTCATTGAAATCAAAAACCTATATACAGAATTATGTATCTTAGTATAGTCTACTTGTGTGCCAAGTTATACTGATATCAGACCAAAACTGTAGGAGGAGTAGCATTTTGAAAGTATTTCCCAGAAATCTCTATTTTTAGTAACCATGGCAACACCCTTCAGTGAAATCAAAAACCGATACACAGAATTATGTATCTTAGTGTAGTCTACATGTGTGCTAAGTTATAATGAAATCAGACAAAAAGTGTAGGAGGAGTGGCATTTTGAAAAATTGTTTACAGACGGACAGACAGCTAGACGGACGGACGACGGACACCTTACTATCGCATAAGCTCTTCTGGTCTCTGACCAGTAGAGCTAAAAATGAATCCCATCATATCACATGCCTCAACAAAAAGTGTGCTAAAATTTCATGCATCTGCAAAGAGTGGTTGCTGAGAAAACTGTGACGAAAATTTGTTATGTATGGTATGGACAGATTCACAGATAAACAGGAAGTTGACATCAGATTCATACAAAACTGAATCCCACCATATGGCATGCCTGAACAAAGAGTGTGCTAAAATTTCAAGCATCTGCAATGAGTAGTTGCTGAGAAAACTGCAACGAAAAATTTGTTACAGACAGACAGACACACACACACACACAGACACACTAGGGTAAAAACAGTATATCCCCTCTCATTCAGAGAGAGGGTATAATTAAACTTAGATTTTTAACATGGTTATGCCATTGCAATATTGGAATTTATAGATGACCTCAATACTGCAAGTATATTTGCTAAAATCATGCAACTGCCACATCATTTGACAAGTCTAAATAAAAAATCTAATCATCCTCAATGTGTAGTTTTGAACCACATTACATTTGTCCGATATCAGTAGAAAAAGAATTGCCCATCTTTGTAAAGAATGTATTTTTATCTTAAAAATTTGCCGATATTTCCATTTGGCACCTTAACAGTTCTGTGTTTCACTATATAATTAAAAGAGCCCTACCCTCCCACAGAATCCCTTACCCTGAGGCCACAAATTTCACAATTTTGGAAGAGGCACCCTTGATCAACATATCCATGCACCTAGTTTATCTGCTTTTTATACAGGGGGAGAGAAGTTTTTTTAAAGAATTTATGCATTTTCACTATATTATCATTAGAGCTCCACTCTAACTCAAGAACCCCCTGATGATCATCCTGGGTCCATGAATTTCAAAATTTTGATAAAGCGCTCAATATTTATTACAATCATGCCAAAAGTTTAACTGCTTGACATCCAGGAGTAAAGAAGATTTTTAAAGATAGCATTATTTCTGATGGTTTTATCCCCACCCCTAAGGCCCCAGGGGAGCAGGGACCATGAAATTCACAATTTTTGTATTCCCTCCAATCATTATGCAATATGCCAAAATTGGTTGAAATTGGTTCAGTGGTTCAAAAGAAGAAGCATTAAATGATCAAAAGTTTATGATCGACAAATGAGGCTCTACACATAATGCATGTCGCATGACAATGGACGCAAACAGAAAGCAAAAGATGAGTGACTCAGGTGACCTAAAAATTTTGTTAACCTCTATTTTCTTACCTGGATCTTTTTTCTGCTCCACAGGTGGACCACCATGAAATGGAGGATTGGGTCCTATTGGCATGGGACCCTGGGGACCGGGTCCCCCATATGGTGGCCTCATAGGGGGTCCACGGTTGGGCATGGGCTGTGGATGAGGTGGCCCCTGGAATCCTAGTAGATGTACATTATATACTTTAATAATCAATTAGCGAAGATTTGCATAAAATAAAGACATAAATACGTTTGAAAATTACATAAGATACATGTTTTGCCGACTTAAGTCAATTTCTTTAGTACATTCAAGATATAACAAATAAGCTGTATTTCAAATGTGTGGCTTTTAGACAGGGTCACATGACCCCATCTATTAGTTTACTGTCAGTAGAGGTCTCAAAGAGAAGCACCTCAGTTTAATCTTTGCTCAAGAAAAAAGTACAGAAATTGCTTTGGTCAAAAGACAAATGCTAATTAAATCAAACAAAAGAAAGTAAAGTGAAGACCATTGAACACAAAGATAATGATAAAACATTTTGAAAATGTTAATCTTTTGCAAAATCATAACATGTATACAAATAATTTGGTTGCATAATATTAGACTGTATCACTGTTTCTTTACTTCTGATTACGTCAGATTAATTTGGACATAGTTATATTCAGACAATGCTGCAAGGTTCCCCAACTGTTAATTTAAATCTATGAGTTTAATATTTTGTTTACAATGTTTACTTTTTTCAATTTAATATTAATTTTAAACTTCTGATTTTTTTTTTTTTAAATAAGTAACAAAACCCTATAAAAAAAATCTTAAGCAGTTATGAAACTATAAATGTTATTAATTTGACCCTGTCTTTCAGTACTGTATCAGTCCTTTGATTATCTATATTGATCTCAGGACACATGTACTCTGTACCTTTTAAGGTTCATCACCCCTCTGATCTCACACAATATAAAATTTTGCTTTAATGCTAATGATTTCCCAGAGGAAAATCTTATTTTCAATTGAAATGTGCACAATTTCAGCATACCTTCAAAATTTGATAGAAGTGGACTTTTTACTTTAACAACTCTATAACGGAATAATAGTCATTTATCACAGTGAGAGTTACCTCCCTTACCAGAGGCCAGTCAGGGCTGATGAACCTTAAGTATCACTGTTCGTTCACCTCATGTTTCTCTAAATAAATATTAATGCATTTCATTGCTATTCTCATTGCTAATTAATAGATCATTATTATATCACATAAAGGATAAGAAAGTTAACACCATCATATATGCTCATTCTATTTAGCAGTTTGACCGAGGACAGAACTCCAGGTTATCTAATGGGTCTGGAATAACCTAGACATTATAATATTCTGGAAATTTTGCAAACCAATTTACCTCCTGAGTAAGGGCCAGGCCCACCTTGTCCCCCCATAAAAGGAGGTGGGGGTCTAGGAGGTCCTTGTCCTGGGGGTCCAGCATGAGGAGGTGGGGGTGGAGGCATCCTCTGTCTTATCTGATGAGGAACAAATGGGAGATTAGGACGCATTGCTGGAGGTGGTGGTGGGGGTGGTGCTAAATTTGGTACTCCTGATGATGAGGAAGAAGGTCCTGATGATGAAATTAAAGATGGAGGAGGTGGAGGGGGAGCTGCTAGCACTGAAATATTTTTTTAAACACAAAGTTAGTTTAAATATGAATAAAGCAACTGTCGAAAAGTATTACATTTTTTTTTTACTAAATGACAGGAGCAAAGAATATGTACAAAAACATCCTTTAATATCATAGTTTTAGTAAATTTCAAAATCTTTTCTTATGTACAAGCACAGATTATAAAAAAATGCATTTTTTAAAATTTTTATACACAATCTTTTAAGTTCACTTGAGCTAAAATATTAAAACATTTCAATGCTTTTGATGTTTAAATCATGTCTAAGCTTGCATGGACATACCTGATAAGGGTATGTTGGGATCTGAGTATTGGGAACTCTCTGGTTGTGGTGGCTTAGGTCCTGGGTGAGGCCCTGGACCTGGGCCTTCATGGCGGACCATTTTATGTGGTGGCTCATCAGGTCCCCCTGTTTGAAAAACAAAAAAAAAAATGATACATTAAATCAATAAATTTAAATTATGGTGAAAATAGCATTTGCTAATAAAACAATTAAATGAAGCATTAATTAAATAAATTAAACCTTAATGACAAACTGAATATAGCTGGGAGAAATTTTGAGTGCCTGAAACTATCCGTAGTTATTATCACTACTTGAAAAGGAAAATTATGGCTCTACATTGACAAAACAAATTTTAAAAATAACACCATTTAATAAAATTGTACATTTACTCTAGATCTTTTGCACTGAATTTTTTCCTTGAAAATGGTTAGTTTTCTTAAAGAATTAAAAAAAAAACATGAACTCAAGTCTTTATGTCCATGTATATGTCATACCAAAAGACAATATGTGATTTTGATCAGAAAAGCTCACTCGAGTATTCAGTACACAACAAGCTGCAATTTCCAATTGATTACAAATTTTTTTTACCTCTAATCTGAGCTTTGACCTTATTAAAAGTTCCAGCACCAATAATCATCCTATGTCCTCCCACCTCATACTCTTTTGGAACCAAGATCTCCTGCTCAAAGCTAGAACAAAAAGAATAAGTGCTATATAAAACCTTGTCTGGTAAATTTGAAGGGAATAGTCAGATGGGTTGTTGATTGTCATCCAAAGATTGTGCATATATATCAGTACTTAGGATGAGTTCACTATGCATTGGCAGGGTTCGAAATTCACTATATACAACTCGCAAAACGCGAGTTAGAATTCCCAAATTGCGAGTTAAAAATTAGGTAACTCGCAAAAACTTGCAAGTTGATTTTTTTTGCATTGAAACTGTAGCAAAATTATATAATATGACAGAACACAATGCCTTTGATTTAAATCAGTAATTTAAATAAAAGTCACACTGTAGTTGTATTTTGTGTATTGTACAGTAGTTACTTTTTCCTTAAGTTACATGTATTTAATTTATATAAATTTAACTTTATATGAAAATTGCGAGTAGTCTTATAAAATTGCGAGTTCACTTTCTTGGTACTCGCAATTATTTGCAAGTTGTAATTTTAGGGAGTTTCTAACCGTGATTGGATACCCTTGTACTTGTACAAGTTCTAGCAATTCCAGGGTTCAGAATTCACTATATACATCTCACAAAATGCGAGTAAGAATACCCAAATTGCGAATTGAAAATTTGGTAACTCTCATAAACTTGAGAGTTAATTTTTTTTCATCGTAATTTTCCACAAGAAATGTGTTTCCTTCAACATTGTAGTGTAAAAAATATAATTCCATCTCATCTACAAAAACTGTGTTGAAATGGGGAAAGGATTAAATATTAACCCTTAAAATTCTGTTGAGATCGTTATGGTTGTGGAACAGTAAAATTTATAAAAACTTTGTAACTCCATAATAATATAAAAACAGCATCATAGGTTTACTTACTCATATTGCAGTTTAATTATTTACTAGTATGTTTATGGATCTTGATCAACATAAACCGGAAAAAAATGATGATAATACATTGATACTAGGGCAAAGTTATTAATTAACAATTGCATAATACAGAACTTTTTGACTCTAATCTATAATTTAAATAAAACACAGTGAGGCTAGAGTTGTGTTTTGTGTATTTAACAACATTTACTTTAAGTTACATGTATTTTATTTTAAAAAGGATTTCATTTTGAAATTGCAAGTAGTCTTTTGAAATTGCAAGTTCACTTTTTTGGTACTCACAATTATTTGCGAGTTGTGTATTCACATAGTTATTACCCCTGTGGCCAGGATATTTCTACTGACTAAAAATTATCAAAATGGAGCTAAACCTGTATTATGTGATTAAAATATGTATTTGTGACACAATTTTATTTAGTCCAAATTATCATTAAAAACTGAATTTTTTTGGATGAGTCTGAGTTCACGATGGATTGGAAAAGCAGTATATTGAACTGGAAAAATGTTCTACCTTTATTATGGTGGCCTTTGAAACATCAGAAATGCAAATACTGATATAGCAAATAAAGCCGTAGAACAAAAAATCCTACCCCCCTCTATATGTACAGTCAGGGGTATTACTTAAAAAAAATTACTTTATTGTGTAATCATTAAGATTGCCTAGAGTTAGCACTCTAAAATCATTACTAACATAATATGATGTGTTGTCAGAGTCTAGACGTTCCAAACGTCATGTGTGGTTTGAATAGGCAGATCTAAATTTAAAACTGAATATGTATCTGCACTTGCTCTAACAGTCATAACATCATCATAGTACATGTAGTACTACATCCTTAGTACTCAAGAAATTTCAAAAAGTCAGGTGACCTAGCCTAATTAGTGGCCAAGTTTTCAATTGTATGGATAAATTTGATAGCATTATAAATGCATTGAAATTAAAAGTTTTGAAGCAAATGATAGTGAGAATTATTACATATATACTGTAAAAGCAGAAATATTCATTGGGGATTTAATTTCGTTTATTTCGTTGTCAACAATTGGCAATGAAATTATATCACACAAGAAATTTTCATATGACTATATACTGAATAGAGTTATTTTTGAAACAACGAAATCTAATGCCCAAGAAACCTTTTTAGATGACAAATCAACGAAATTTTATCAACACGAAAATTAGTGCTTCTACAGTATGAATAAACCCATAGCTACATGCAAACTGGTAAGAATATCCGATTTCTATCATAGGGGCTTGTCTTCCAGATGGTTAAATGTAAAATAAATTAATAATAAAATTTTGAATCTACTTTAAATACTCTTAAAAAGTTGTTACAATAAAGATTCTAACACTTTCAGACAAGAAATACCATGTTTTGAAAAATGTAACACACCTATATACATAAACTCTACCAGGGACAAAAACTGTCATCTTGGAAAAAACACCCCCTGCACCCACTTCAGAACCTATTTCTGGACTCTGAAGCATTAATTTATTTTGTTGTCATGGTTCTATCCCCAACAGTGATGATTTTCCTAAATGTTGATGTGTCTGTCAGTTGTCAACACGTGTTCAATCAACAGAAAACGGATACAATTTCTTTGATTTGGAGGCTCATCTCTCTAAATCAACCTGGAAGGAATAGACGTTTAAAAATCGCAAGGGCAGATAATCAATGTAAAGAGAAAAACTCAGGGGGTAATCCAAAGTGAATGGTTATACCCAAGAACTTCCAGCTTCGCAGAAAAAATGATCACCTACAAGGCCATGAAAATAATAAGAACTGGCTAAAGTTTGGGTTTTACAGGGTGAGGTGGCACTGGGAAGACTCATTTCATTTAATGTATAACTAATTAGTTACATAATAAACAGAACATTTGCTATACAAGTGTGCTAAATGTTATACCATGATTATCACCCTTGCATTGTTACCATACAACCATATAAATTTCCTTTCAGGTTGATTCCGAGAGATCAGCCTCCAAATCAAAAAAATTGTATCCAACTTCTGTTGATTGAACATGTGTTGATGACTGACAGACACATCAAATGATCAAAATATAGGAAAATCATCACTGTAGCAGGGTTCTCATTAAGTGCTAGCGACCGGCGATTTCGCCATCTATTTACCCAATGGCGCTGGTTACTTCATTTTCAAAAATCAGTATGATCATGTAAAGAAAAATCAAGTACTGCAGCAGAGGTCTTCGGTTATCACGTTTGTTTCATTAAACGTAGTGAATAAAAAACGTAAATACATTTGACCTTTTCTGATCAGATTACGATCCCTTTTTTAAAACATGGTGATAATTCTGGAATCGTGATCTATCTGGTTTAAGTTCTACTAAGCATTTTTCATTTCCGGTTTTGAAACTGTGCTGGGTGCAGCCAAGAAAAATATAAGTGTATTGACTCCTTTTCCACCTAAAACCAAATGTTTTTTGGCAAAATGGGCTCCTTAAAAAGGTGTTATATTGAGAACAAATTAAACAAGTCAAAATATGCCCAGAGAGGTCCCAGATGCCTCCTCCTGCAATGTAAATTTTTAAAATTTTCTGGGGGAGGACCCCTGGACCCCCTATCACCGAAAGGGGGGAAACCCCCCTCTTGGACTCACCCCCCTCGGGCCGATGACCCTCGATTCAGGCCTTCGGCACCCCCTACTTTTTCTTTTTCTCCATCTACTCTAAAAATTGATGAGAACCCTGCTGTAATATAAGAACCATGACAACGAAATAAATTAATGCTTTAAAGTCCAGAAATAGGTGCTGAAGTGACAAGCTGTTTCAAGATGACAGCTTTCGTCCCTTGTAGAGTTAATGTATATAGGTATGGTACATTTTTTTTGAACATGGTATTTCTTGTCTGAAAGTGTCAGAATCTTTATTAACAACTTTTTAAGTGTATTTCAAGCATATTCAAAATTTAATTAATTTTTTTACATTTAACAATAAGGGCTGGGACGATTATATCGAGATATCAATATATCGATTCTGTGTGAGGACAATATGCATATCGATACACATGAAGAAATATTGAAATATCGCAAAAAAAAAATTCTGACATATTTTTCTTTGTATACTTAACATTTTGGGTTTAATATATAAAATAAATATGCTAAATGTAAATATAAATATGAAATACATGATAATTAACACTACTTGTGTAAAATAATTTTGTATAACAACAGATAAACTAGTTAGAATAATCTAACTGTGTCTCGGGACAAGCCCTCACCACAGTTAGAATACGTCTTATATACTTGCAATGTAGCAAATCGGAGCGGATCCGCTCCAAAATGATTTTGAAGTATACAAAAGAATTTGCACTGAAAATAACTACCAAATTAATCATAACAAACCTTTTTGAGATTGTATATGCCTTTTAACCGAAAAAATAATCCATAAAAAGATGAAAATTCAACTCATATTCTCAATGTTTTTTCTCGCTTCAAATTTACATGCCATGTTGACATTCGGAACTCTCTGGATTGATCATAGTAAATTCACTGAGTTCGAGTTATCGCCCATGTTTATTTTGCTACATTGCCAATATACGGGACGAATTCTATTGTTAAACCAGATCCATAGGACAATATCATTTTAACGATAGAACATTCTATATACAGACAAAATAACTTCTTTGAATAAATTATTCTTATTAGTGAAGAAATGTTTTGTTCATTTCAATAGAAAAAGAAAGATTTTATAACCAATTCAACATATCGAGATAATTATCATATCGTGGCTCAAATATCATGCTACATATCGATATAGAAAAAGATGTGTCGTCCCAGCCCTATTAACAATCCGTAAGACAAGCCCCTATCATGGACTATGATTTCAATGGTCAATCGCAGTCCGAGTCGAGAAAGGAATCAAATGGTGTTGCATGCCTTGTGTATTTATATATATAGAAGGGGTAGGGTCTTTCGTTCTAGGGTTTTGTTTCCTACTTATTGATAAAAAAATCAGGTGCATATCGTTAGTCCCATATAATATGGCCTATCAGTGTGATTAACGTCGGAAAATCAACTCATCGTAGAAGCACTCTATTAGTAATGAAGTTACAATGATGCAATTTTCTGAGATAATTAGTAAATTACCGGTTCATCTCCGCCTCCATCTCTTTTAAACGTTTTTCAGTCAACAAAGCCATCTCCGAGTTCGCCATCTTTTCGTTTCCTCAATGTCAATCTGGGTCTTCAAGTTATTTGTTATGACCCCTTTTATCCAAACACACACATAACCTAGAAAATATAAAACGGTGTGCACACCTTTCATTTCCGAAAAAGAATCAAAATTTGTGAAAATTCATTATGATTTTTTTTGGTGATCTTGTGGAACTAACAAGTATTGGCTCCCCATTGGAACATGAAATCCTCGTCCACGCCACCGACCAAACTTATGATCCTCCCCTGCATACAAGTCTTTTAAAACATATCCTAGGAAGTGGGGGAATGGGGATCACTGTAATGAATATTGGCTTCGGTCAGATATCTCTCTATTAAAGGCATTTTTTTTTCAACAGAATGCATGAGGAGGGAACATACGTAATAATTTAATTAATATCTTCTAATGTGTTGGTATTTGGTTCCTTTCAAAAGAAAAGAAAAAATCAGAATTTTCCCCCCTTTTTCAAAAATTTCTAAATTTTTTTCTACAATATATTCACAATTTCTTCAATACCCATTCTCTTCCATTCTCGAGACTGCAATTAAGGCAAGATATATGATGTTCTCTGACTCAGTAATGTTCTGAAATTTAATTACAGTGTATTATAGATTTATTATACAATTTTTATTACACAATGTTAAGCACTTTACAACTTTTGCGAAACAAAGTATCTACATGTATTGATAAGATGCTTGACGTCCCAACGGAATCCCAACACATAACATAACAATACATGTACATGTATATATACAGAAATGATTTTTATAGCATGGTTGTTTTATGTTTTCAGACTTTTTGTACGCATTTGTGGAGGAGGGGGGGGGACCCCAATTTTTTAAAAGAACTTGCTGGATCAGCTACTGGGAAAAGGTCGAATAGGACATGAGTAAATTCGCCGCACACCACTCATCATGACTATGTACAGAGCAAACATATAATGTCTTGAACACGGCATTTTTTTTCCCCTAAGTATTCTTTTTTTATGTATTAATTATATATATTATATATCAGGCCCGTAGGAAGCAATTTCAGTTGGGGGGGGGGGGGGGGGCAGGCATACATTTTCAGTTAGGGGCACTATCAACTACCAAATATTCCTTGACAAGCAAAAAAAAGGTCATCAGACCAGGCGCCCCCCCCCCCCCCCCGGTTCCTACGGTCATGTATATTTCCGACTGGCATGTTAGTTTGATTTTGATCAATCTGGAAGCACACTGCATAATAATACAGTGTGCTTACACAATATTTACAATGTACCTCATGAGTGGTTTGTTTTAATTTTTGCTTTTCTCTTGAGCACGTGTTCTCTATACTCAAACTACGAAAACTTTTCTTTTCTTGTTCTACGACTTCGGCAACTGTTTAGCCTCAAGAAAATGTACTAGATTTACACAACCTTGTTATGACAACTCAGTAAAGGTCATGACCCTGAACTCAGCAAGGCATGTAAACCCCACATATAAGAGTAGATTTCGCGCGTTTTGGAAGTCATTTTTGTGCTCATTGAACGGAAAACAAGCATGCCACCCAAAACTCCAGGTGCAAGCAAGGGCTCCAAAAAGGCCATATCCAAGTCAAGTAAACCACCAGGAGATAAGAAGAGAAAAAGACGAAGAAAGGAAAGCTATGGTATCTACATATACAAAGTTTTAAGGCAAGTTCACCCCGACACGGGAATCTCAAGTAAAGCCATGTCAATTATGAACAGTTTCGTTAACGACGTGTTCGAAAGGATTGCTTCCGAGGCCTCCCGATTGGCAAGTTACAACAAGCGTTCTACTATCAGCAGTAGAGAAATCCAGACCGCTGTACGCCTGTTACTTCCAGGAGAATTGGCCAAGCACGCCGTCAGCGAGGGAACCAAAGCTGTGACAAAGTATACCAGTGCAACAAAGTGAGCAAATTCGTACAGTGAGATTCTGCAGTCAGTGTTATTGACTCTCAGGTCTAGAAAAAAGCATTAGAATGTAAATAGTACTAACTTACAAAGAAATTAATATGTACCCATTCGAGTAATATGACTCTTGTTTGGTTTATATATCGTTGACTTGTATTAAGTTTTGGTGCAAAAACTGTAATTATTAATTAAACCATCTATTATTCGTTTGATTTGTTTAGTTTTAATTCAAATTCCAAACTTACCCACCTATATCCATGAACATCGTATTTACAATGGTGGGGTTTGCATCTTAAATTTAACCTTAACGAATCCACTGTCATATTTTGGACATCTTTGCTACATGTAGATGCACAGACTCTTGACGTTTTAAACTTTTCTCTTCACTGATAAAAAAAAAAATCCCCATCCTAAAATAGTATGGGAATTTTTTATTAATAAAGTGAAAGGTTTAAAACGTGAAGTGCCTGTGAGCTAATTATTAATGGTCCCAATCCACCCATTTAATGTCAGACGATACGTTCCTCAAATATCTCTTCTGTATATCTTCGTATTATTTGGAAAATATTCAAAATTTTAATTACCTTCTGATTTCTAAACTGGTTTTTAATTGTCTTTAAAAAATTGAAACACTGATTTATAGGAAAAACATCCTCTGGTATCTTGCACAAATGCCTGGTAAGGCACCTCAAGTTTTTGCGAGTAAACATGTTAAAGTAGCAATATATACTTCAATGACAAAATCTTAGAAAATATTATATATTATTGAGGAACGTATCGTCTGTCCTTGAAAACGAGTTGAGACCCTTGGCTAGCAAAATAGTTTTAAACGTGTTCTGTCTTGTGTTGGACTAAATAGTTGAATAGCATGTGTTGGACTAAGTAGCCCAACAACATATGCATGCATTGTTACAACGCATTTTGAAAAATTTCACACTTTAGATTTTTTTGTTCAAAGCATTAAAGAGGTAGCGTCCTTTCACAGTAACCAGGTTTAAATGGAAAGTACCTATTACTATATTAATAGCGTAACTCGGGGCATTGGATATGACTACTTCTATATACTACAATTTTATCATGCATTTGTCACAGGTACTTGTGGACAGGATCCCCCCCCCCCCCCGATATTCAACCCCTGGGCATGTTGGACATTTTTTTCACAAAATATATTTATTACACTTATTCATCATGTGTACCATAGGAAAAAATCGTGAAAACCCCAAAATAATCGTTCCACACAAAAATACCCCACTATATACATTATAAGAGAGAAAGGTATGCCACTCCGGTTTGTTTACGTTGTACCCCCACTGGTCTTTCTGGGTTTAAAAACATGTATTTATTTTATTTTAACCTAAAATGTCGGTTCACACTGTCTCTACATATATTTCTGTCTTAGTTCATGCTATCGGATAGACTCTGCGTCTCGTAAGAATTCCACAATTTCTCCTTAAACAGCATTGCAGTCAGTGCGTTGAAAAATCCTTAGGTATAAACGCAACGGAAGTGCGCCAAGAATGTATCACTTATTACTATAACGTCCGAGAGAGTTTTGGCATGACGTAATAATCTCTCTCGGGTGTTATCATAAACGGTAATCTTCCGTTGCGTTTACCTAAGGATTTTTCAACGCACTAACTGCAATGCTGTTTAAGGAGAAATTGTGGAATTCTTACGAGACGCAGAGTCAATCCGATAGCATGAACTAAGACAGAAATATATGTAGAGACAGTGTGAACCGACATTTTAGGTTAAAATAAAATAAATACATGTTTTTAAACCCAGGAAGACCAGTGGGGGTACAACGTAAATAAACCGGAGTGGCATACCTTTCTCTCTTATAATGTATATAGTGGGGTATTTTTGTGTGGAACGATTATTTTGGGGTTTTCACGATTTTTTCCTATGGTACACATGATGAATAAGTGTAATAAATATAATTTGTGAAAAAAAAATGTCCAACATGCCCAGGGGTTGAATATCGGGGGGGGGGGGGGGGTCCTGTCCACAAATACCTGTGGCATTTGTAGCCAGTCACAAAACCGGCACAGTTCGAAAAGCATGGACGTAGGAACTTGGGTGAAATAATTTTGCCATTTTGCCCCCTCCCAATAATTTTGCCGATATATGTTTCCCCTCAATAATTACGTCTTGTCAAAGAATATTTACTTGGTAGTGCCCACCAAACTTAAAATGTTTGGTTGTGTCCCCAAGACTGAAATTGTTCAGAGAGGCAGTGGTTTGGAAGAAGAAAAAGTGTGCCTTGCAATTCTAGACAAAGACTGTCCTTCTTCCATGCAATGGAAAAAGGGGGGAACAAGATCTGACAAGAGGTTCAATAATGATCCCGATGTTCGAATCTTCCTTCTCTCTACTCCCCCGCCGCAAATTCCAGGCACGTATTAAAGTATATTTACCGTGTTGAAGGGGGGGGGGGGGCGATAAAAGAAAATGTTTGACAGCTTACAAAAAAAAAGAGGAAATTGTTAAAACTTCAAAATCCTATTTTGCGCGCGCACGTGTGTGTAGGTGGGTGGGCGTGTGTCTGAGGTGTGTGTGTGTGTTTTAGGGGGGAGGGGTCCAACCATTTTACAACCAAATTTATCTTATTAAATTACCACATTACCATGCGCTAACCATAACGCAACAAAAAATTGTTTTAAAATAAAATTGAAAGAAAGCGAAAGCATGCATCCAGTATGGTTTTCATTTTTCAGCGCAATCATAATTTTGATGTGTATGAATAGATTTTTGAAAAATCATTCGGAGATTTACAGCCTTTATATAGTTGCGATTTTAAAATGTTTATTAGACCGTGGTGATGTGGGTTGCTCTGACACTATCACTCAAGTTTATAGTTAAAATTATTTACTTAAGGCGTTTTCAACCCCAGGAAATGATAAGAGTCACAGAAGAAGTTGTCCTTATCTTATATCTCTAATTCTCAAATTGGTATAAAAGAGATACAGTACGTCCCTCTCAGTTCTTTGAACTATAAGTTGGGAAACAATCATACACTTGGTCTCTATTAATATTCGTGTCTGTGAGTAAAACCTTGATTATCTTTAAAGAAAAGGATATATCATGTGATATAAATGAAATTAAACCATATACATTCTCAGTTGTGTATTTAAAACAAATCTCATTTTATTTCCGCATTTTTTTACTTCCTATTTTGTCTTGACACGTCAATTTGATTGCCAATTGAAGATTTTTAATATTTGTACTTGCACCCTTGAAAAAAAATTATATTTGTAATTATTTCCTGTAACGTTATGATAAATATATTTTTATTATGTCTTGCCACGTCCGAGTCATTTTTAAATAGATTTTGAATAAGTCAAAGCTCGTCGAAAATTCAATTTCACTTTCAGACAAAAAGTGCATTTTTAGTTTATTTGAAACAAATTTTGTTTTAAAACTGGATGATTTATGTGACATACGAATAGAATTTGAATAAGAAAGAAATTCAAATTAGTTCCGGATCTTTACGATCCATACTTCTTATTTTTTTTTTAATAAATCGCGTACCGGAAGTTACGTCTGGTCGAGTGAAAAGTTCGAACTCTTTGGGAGAGGGTGACAGACGATGGATAGGTGATAGTTGGGGAACACAGTTTTTTTTATTTGCCTTATAGATCAGAGAGATGACCGTCATACCAATTGGTATACGTCTGCTACCTTCACTGGGTGGACCAAATTCAGTGAGAACTGTTAGGTAAGGCTTGTGCCAAGTTGTGGCTTCTTGATCTTCAACAAATTCTCTCTCTGTCTCTGTAAATATGATTAGGAATATTGATTTCCTGTGAGTTAATGAGTTAAATTTCAGTCAAGTATAAAAAGTGCTTCAAGTTAAATTGTAGATTTTTTTACACTGAAATCATGTCTGATATTACCAATTTAATATTGTCTGCTTACAAATCAAATGCTGTCTTTTGTGTTACATTGATTAAAATTTATCAACAGTCCAGGTATATGATACATTTATATGTTTTTAAATATTTGTAGTATTGTAAACAAACAACAAATAAGTTGTACAAACATGATCAGATGTCATATTCAAAAAAACATGTTCCTACAACACAGAGAGCATATATATAATGGCATTTAATTAGTATACCTTGTGTACTTTCCTGAAAAGAAGCCCCCAGGTGGTTGGCTGCCACAGGGGGTCACAGATTTTTTCATACCAGTGCCTATTTATATCACTTTAAATGTAGAATTTTATTATTCAAAAGTTCCCATATATTAAAGAAAATTTAAATTCAATTTTGCATAAACTTGACAAATAACTAAAAACTATGAGCAAAATTGTCAGTGTATATAAAAATTTAGAGTAAATGATTACTTCAGCAGTTTATTTTGCATGACAGAAATACTATTATTTTTTTGTTGTAAAACTCGACAGTGTTTAATCATATAAGTAGTGATGTTCCAATCATCAGTTATAATCGAAAATCAGTGGATTGCTGGCATAATCCAAATGCTCGATTACAAATTTTTATTCCGATTAATCGGGTTATTTATTTTATTTTACAAGCGTAGTAGTTTTAAGCCGAATATTCCGCCGCAACTTGTTTATTAACTTATTTGTGTATTGTAATGGCGCAGACGAACAGACACTGTATTCATACCCAGGTAATATTGCTCATTTCCGGGTATGGACGTACATTGGATTCTACAAAATGAACGAAGAACCAACTGGACTAGATAGAACATTCTATCTTTAAAATGATGTATTGTCTTAAGGACTAGGGCTTGTCCCGAGACACAGTTAGATTATTCTAACTACAGCTGGACCACCACAGAAAGTAGTTATATTCACCCATTTTTACCATTTAATAAAAACTAAATTGACAGACTTTGTAAGTGTCCGATTATATTTGATAATTAGTTACATGTAGTTACAGTAGTCCGATCATCGATTATGAAATTCTTACTGATTCCCATCACTACATATAAGAAAACTTCATCATATGATTTAGTCATGATCTAATTGTAAACAAAGTTATCATGGCTCTTTTAAACTCGCAAATTTGTAAATATTAATTGATATCACAAATGAATTCAACATGTAATGTGACCTACATTGACAATCACGTGTTAAGTTTATACTAATGTTATAGGGTCAATATGTGGTCTCATAGCAAATTGACATCTGATTAATAGAATATACATGTATATCTTGAGTGAAGACTTTATAAATTGTTTCATAATTAGTGTCACATGATACCACAGGAAGAGAAAGCTTCATATGTTATTATAAAAAGCAAGACTTGGCAATAATATTTTTGACTCAAGTGAGGGCCTTATAATACTGTATTACGAGGATATGATTATTTTCTTTGAGTAAATAAATTGATTATGCTAAATAACAAAGCTGTTCTCTGTGCTCTGTATCACCAAGTTATGATAACTTTATTGCATGACAAGCAGAGGAAAATGATAAGATAAAGCTGGTAACATTCTATCAAGAACTTAAAAAGATATTGTCATTGTGTGATATTGACGGGAAACAATACACCATATTATCTCATAATAAATATTTGAGAATGATTAAGATGCACTTTAAATGGACACATCATGATATAACTGTAATTATAAAGTGCATGACAGTGTACAATGGTGAGGTAAAAATAAAATGTATAATGACATCTTTAATAAAAATGTATTGAAAAAAAATTCTTGCACCCTGTTAAATACTGATTGTAAAAAATGGTAAAATACCGGTACTTGCATTTCACTCTTGTGTTGCTGATATTAGATTAAATCGGCTTCATTTCAGATTTGGGGGGGGGGGGGTACTTAAATGTGCAGGGATAAGGGTAAGGACAGCATCTTGTTCAAGTTAAGAATGCATATATACAAGGTGTACATTGTATATGATTAAAAATTTTCACTGCATCCTTCAATGTTGCCACAAGAATGATGCATCAGCTGGACGATTGATTATAGGCAGACAGGGCAATTAATATTTGTATGAAAAACATGAGCATATATTGGCTACATTTTTTGTCATCAAATTCTTTGTAATGTTGTAAGGTCTCTGAAATTCTTTTCCCCTAAAATTTATATGTTTATAAACAAAATATTTAAAGTATATGGCATCTTGAATTGAAGGAAAACAGTTTTTAGAAGATTTTTTTTCTTTTACTCCCTTCAAAATTGGTACTGTTTTGCACTTTTGGAGGTGGGACCTAATCTTGTAAAAATAATGCAGAGAAATTTAAAATCTCCCTCTGACCTTCACTGTGACATTTGACATCCAGCATACAAACTATGTATCACTTTATATATCAATTTTCATTCTCGTCCAAAAATTGCAGGCATCCTCATTTGTATTTTTACTACTTATTGCTTTATAAACATGATAAAAGTGATTATGTTTTACTGACCTAATCTGATTTTATTTTATTTTTTTTATTATTATTAATCAGGAAGTAGTCACAGATATTTATTTTAATTTCACATGGAATGATGTCAGAGATCCACTAACCATATAAAGTAGTGCATTGAACTTCTGAACATTATACATACATTATTTTTTTTCCTTGAATAAATCCTATCTGTCTTTGGCCTTGTTGTTTTAGCTGTACTGGTCAAAGACCAGAAGGGCTTTTGCAGTGTTAAAGTATCTGCCCTCTATCAGTCTCCATTTCTGACTGCTTCTGTCTCTTAAACTGTTTTTCTGTTTACATTCTTTGAATCATTTCTCAGTTTGTTCAATTTCAAGTATTTTGGGTACGGTACACAAGTGGACTAAACTGGAGATACATGATTTTATAATGATTATTGAGTTTGATGAAGCATGTTACCAAAATTACTAAAAATATAGATAGCTGACTGTGGAATTCTTTCCAAATGCTACTCCTACAGTAATGATCTGGTTTCATTAAAAATTGGTACAAAAGTTCACTACACATGTACACAAGATACAAAATTTTTTTCTATCTTTTTTAGCTCTCCTGAGCATGTTGGGCTGAAAGCTCAAGTGAGCTTCTCTGATCACATTTTTTTTGGGCTTCTGTCTGTCTGTCTGCAACCTTTTAGCATTTTCAACTTCTTTTCCAGAACCTCTGGGCTAATTTCAACTAAACTTGCCACAAAGCATCCTTGGGTGTAGGGGATTCAAGTTTGTTTAAATGAAGAGCCACTTAAAAGTCTTTCAAGGGGGATCTTAAGAAAATTTTGAAAATTTGATAGCACCTTTTGAAAATCTTTTTTTCAAGAACACTGGGCCAGAAATAAAATGAAACTTCCTGATAATTATAGAAAAGGTTCAAATTTCTTCAAATCATGCTCCCTGGGGATAGGGTGGCCACAAAAGGAGGTCAAACTTTTATATTGTAATATATAGGAAATATATGGGGATGGACAGGGCAATTGCTATGGAGAGAGCCCCAGTCAATACCAAGAACAGTACTTCACTGGACTCCAGATGGAAAGAAAAAGAGAGACCAAAAACGATATGGAGATGAACAGATGAACATGAGATAAAAACCATGCAGCACTCTTGGGGATCATTGTCAAGACTGGCCGAGGACAGACAGAGTTAGAAAGATTTTGATGCAGTGGCCGGTGATAATATAGATCTTTAAAAATCTTCTGAAGAACAGAAGGGCCATGATAAGTTAAATAATTTTGGAAGCATCCAAAGGTGGTCATGGCCCCCAAGGGGCAAGGGTGGGGCCAAATTAGGGTATCAGATTCTTACAAGGAATGTGTTGGAACAAATATTTTGAAGAGTAGGGCCACATTAAATCATACTTATGCAAACATTCCAAAGTTGTCTGAAACTTTTTTTTTTATTTATGGACCCAGGTTAGTGGGCCAGGAGTAAAATTTGGAGATCAGATTTTACATGATGCATGTGTACAAGAAAGAAAAATCTTCAGGGAAAACAGCAGGCTATTTAAAGCATACACTGTATTGATACTGAGGCATCCCAATGATTTATGTGTGGATTCAAGTTCTGTCAAATCATACCTTAGGCTAGGTTGAGTCCTTAAAATGGGGACAAAATTTTTCATGGCAATAATGAAGCAAAATCTTCTTCCAGAGAACAGCAGAGCAAAGGTGATTCAGATGAGTAATGTGGCCCATGGGCCTCTTGTTTTATATTTTGACAAACTGTGTTGACATGGTTACTAAAAATAGAAATTTTTGTGAAATTCTTTTAAAATGCTATTCTTAGTAGATTTCTTTTTGTAAAAAAGCACAGGATTAAAAATTTCAGTGAACAATGTTATGTTGGTTAATGAAAGAATTATGATTGAAATGATTTCAAAAGGCTACATCTTCTAAAGTTTTGGGTTGATTTCAATAAATATACTAAAATATGACCATAATTCTAGTTGATGACATTTCCAAAACTTCTAGAAAGATCATGTGAAAAAATATTTGATTTAATTGCAACAAAACTGGACAAAAGTTTAGAAGGCATCATAGGGGTTGAAATATACAGTAGCCCGACACCCTTGGCTAGTCATTTTAAGACTAGGGCTAGATAATTGAAATGTAATGATAGTATGTCGGACTAGAAGAACAGAAAAAAAATTCTGATTTCTATGTAGACTGGTTTCTTTTGACTAACAACAAAATTTATTTCTGCTGTCACCAATGTGTTTGAAACTTTAATTTGTTATGTTTTCATTTTGCATAAAAAATTGTTAGGCTAGTTAGTTTGAGGTTTGGGCTAGTAATTTTTTTACCAATCAGTATCCCCTGGGCTAGTGGGTTTTCCAGGAAAATTTCAACCCCTGGAGCCCGCCTTCAGGATACATGATTCTGTATATATAAAACTAGGAAAAAGAGTTTGTAGTCCAGGTACTATTTTTCTCTTCTGTTTTTATATACATGTATAATTTAAATACAAGCCAGTAAAGCTAGGGTCTCATCAGACTTCTAGTTCATAGTTATCATAGTATTGAGATTTTTGTGATTATAATTTTTTTTTTTTTTACAGATATAAGATCTTCATCCTTATATTTACTTTCCTGTGTTATACCAGCTATCACCTATCCAGGAAGCCAATTAGTGTTGTTAAGGTAAAATTAATCTGTCAAAAATCTACATAAAGTACACAGTGCAGGCTTAAAATACAATCTCTTTAGCTCACCTGAGCTGAAAGCTCAAGTGATCTCTTCTGATCACCCATTGTCTAGCCTCCATCCATCTGTCTAGCTGTCCATCTGTAAACTTTTCACATTTTTGAATTCTTCTGAAGTACCACTGGGCCAGTTTTTATTCAAGGTTGGCACAAAGAATTCTTAGGTAAAGGGGATTCTAAATTGTTTGAATGAAGGGCCAATTTAGCCCCCTTTCAAATGGAGATAATCAAGAAAAGGCAAAATTAGAAAAAAGTGAAACTTTTTGTGGAAGCTTCCTGAGGTAGTGTAGATTCTAAATTGTCCAAATCATGATCGAAAGGCTTAAGATGGGGACACTATAGGAGATTAAAGTTTTAATTTGAATTATATAGGGAAGATCTTTAAAAATCCTCTGCTTGAACCACTGGATATAATGAAGTTTCAAGATTGTTCAGATTATGGACTCTAGGAATAGGATGAAGCCACAATAAGGGATCAATGTGGAAACATAAAAGAAAAATCTTTAAAAATCTTCTTCTCAAGAACCACCGGACTAGAAAAGATGAAACTTTTATGAAAGCTTCCAGAGGTAGTGTAGACTCTAAACTATCTGCTCATGGACCTGACCCCAGGGGATAGGGTGGATCCATGATAGAGGATCAAAATTCTGCATTGAAGTTTTTTTTTTTTTTTTTTTTTAACATTTTAAGAAACACAATAGAACCATTAATTTGCAAAGATTCCCACCCCGTATGGGTTTATTTTGATTTATTTTTTCAAATTATGAACCCTGGTTAGAGTTTACTTTTGAAGCATCACCATGGTGTGTGGATTCATAGACTGTCAGAGTTAGGGTAGGGCAGTAATATGGAGTCACAATTTTTTCATGGGAGTATAAAAATCTTTTAAAATCTTCTGAAGAACAGCAGGTCTAAAGAAACTCAGGTGAGCATTGTGGCCCAGGACCACTTGTTCTTTTTAACTTTGAAGCCAACAGCTTGCATTAATTGACATGAGATGTTTGTGTATTATAAATCAATTTGACCTGTACTAAGCAGATAAAACTAGTTGAAGAATAAGTTGTCTGTTCTTACAATGTATGAAGTGATAGTTATCTTAATCCATATAGTTAAAAACAAGGATAATAGATTTTATCAGTCTGATTAAAATCAAACCTTCACTAGCTCCTTTTTATTTCGATTGTCGTTTGAAGTTGCAGTTGGCTAAAAAAAGATTACGACCTACATTTTGCATATGCTAATCAATAGGTCATCCACATGTGACCTCATATGGAGTTCTTCAGAGATTCACATTACAATCAAGTTGCCTGCATGATGCAGTGGTTAGAGCATTTGCTCTAGAGTCATGGGGGTAATTTTTTATCCTTACATTGCGGGTTCCAATCTGGCCAATCCCACTGCGGAATGTGGAGACTGGTCCTTCAGATGAGACCATATAAACCAATGTCCCATATCATAGTAGTGCTGGCATGAAAAAGATCCCTCACTGCTCAATGGCCCTCATGCTGAGTATAGGTCTAAAATTTGCAGCCATCCACCAGCAAATGGCAGTGTCTCAATAGAGTGAAAAATTCTCAAAAGGGACGATAAACAAACAAACAAACAAACAAAATGTGACAATCAAAATAAAAGGAGCTATTGAAGGTTTGATTTTAATCAGAATGAGATTTTATTTTTGGTATAAAATTATGACAGCTCAATGCAGTTGTGCAATGAATTAGACATCATTGCTACTATGCTAATATTATACTAGAGCAGTTCAAGGTTCTCATATAACTGTTATGTTGATTTCAGACTTGTGCATGCAAGGTTAGCCTTTCACAGAGTGCATTGAAAGACTGTAAGAGAGGGTCTTCATTTTATCTTAATCAAAACAAGATTAGCTCAAAATAAATTTGTTCTTAAAATTCTGGAATGTGTCAGATTCTCGATACGTGATTTGTAAGGTTGATACCAGTTTCAGACAAGGTCTTGCTGTCTCTGTAAGCCCTTTATCATGGTTCTATCTTATTGGCCAAGGTCAAAAGCAAGAACTTTTCTCATTGTGCCTTTAGTTTTAGGGGTGATAGGAAGTGATACTTTAAGATATGAAGCAAAAAAAACCTATTTTTAATATCCTTTTATCATGTGGTATTATACTTTACTTTGTAGTTTGATGTGTTTAAAAATCATTGATTTAAGGATAAATAACAAACACAAACTTAATTGTCACAAGTCGGCAATATTTCTCATAGATATATGTTTAAATAGGTAAGCTGAACAATGTTTGCCAGGTAAAATGGGAGGATTTTTAAGACTGTCACAATGTTACAAAATTGTGCAAAATTTTGTATAGAATTACATAAAGAGTCACATATCTAAGTACTAAAGAAAACTTACGATTTCTTTATACATGTATTCTAGGGATTTATTACTCATGTCATTTCTAATGAAAATCATTCAAAAAATATATATCAATCCATGCATCAAATTTTTGTTTGTGTTATCCTTAAATTTTCTCTTCCTAGAAAGAAAATTGTATATGTTACATGTAATTTATTAGATCTCTGCATCAAGATGCAGGTACTTTATAATAGAATTTATCTGTCAGACTGTCTATCTGTGAACACTTTGAATGACATGATAACTTGAGTATATTAGAACCTATAGACTACTTTTATAAAAAAAAAAATTTACTACATAGATAAAGAATAGTTTATAGTGGAAGACACCTATAATTTTTGGATTACTTTGTCTAAGGTCAAGGTCAAAAGTTAGCATAACACTTTTATGTGATGCTTTATATAATTTTTTTTGGTAGCTACTTTTTACTTACTAATGGTTAGAAAAAGACACCTCGAGTTTTGGGGGTCACTCGGACAGTGGTCAAGGTCAAAGCATTAGATTTTTTACATGACTTTTGTTGTGCAATATGTTGAATTTAGAGTTACATGGTCAAAGGTCAAGATTGAGTTACTGAACATTGTGATGCAATAACTTTTTTTTAAAGCATATAATCTTTTTATTTACTTCATAGATTAAGACTGTCTAAAAAAAAAAACTCTTTTAATAGTGACGTAGTGCAGTAACAGTATTTTTTAAACTGAAAAGAACATTTACACTACAAAGGTGAAGACTTGTTGGCAGAAGACACTGATATATCTTGAGGTCATTCCTTGAAAGGTCAAAGTTCAAATATACCAATATTACCCTAGGAATTCTGAGACCATTTACTCAAAGGCCAAGTTCTAAATGTCAAGATTATTAATATAAGCATACTGCTGGGCCTTGTATGACTGTAGGACTTAGTCAGTTTTCTAGTTGTCAATATATTTAACAATCTGATTAAACAATATTATTGTGTTTATACAGAGTGTCCTGAATAGAAACTGCTCTGTGTCCTTGGATCACGAAGATGTCTTCAACATCAGCAGTCATGGAAATAATACCAAGTGGTGTGACTGGAAACCCTTTGGTAACCTACTTTTTATTTTGCTCAAGAATTCTCTTTAAAATTTAATGGTACCTAATAAAGATACACTTTTCATTTGCACATAATTGAAAAAAAGAATCATTGTAATATTTTGATTTTTAATACTTAAGTATCATCGTTGTGTTATGGTCCTTCTTTGGAGTGAATCTGATGTGGTAAATTCAGTTAATATGATATCTGCCATAAAAAAAATGCTTCTAATTAATATGCAAAAATATGGCCTCATTGAATATGAAACCAAATACTCAATTTTTTTCAGATATTTACCAAATTCATTTAAAATTCCAAAACATCTGCCTAATGTAAAAAGAGGAAACGGGGGAGGGGGGGGGGGGGGGTTATTCACAACACAAATTTCCATCAGTGTGCTTTATATATGGAGCAGGATGTTTACTTGGGGTGGGGGTGGGTGATTATGGTATTTATTATATTAAGTTTTTTTTATATTAGTATATATATATATATATATATATATATATATATATATATATATATATATATATATATATATATATATATATAAAGATTCCTATTTTTAATTCCAGACAAAGACAATGCAAATTCCCTCCTTGGGAGTCTTGACTTGGCCTACTTATTTGCCTATGCAGTTGGAATGTTCCTCAGGTACCTTAGTGAAAACATTTGAATGAATTTTCTAAGACATTTATCATTTCTAAAATTTTGCAGCTATCTAGGTATCAAAATAGTTTGTTCCCCAATTAGAGCTGCCTTAAAATTCCCCTCCAATAGACCAATAAAACTCTTGAACCTTGATCATTACTTTTGAATGAGAAAAAGGGGTTTTCAAATTTCAAATGTGCATTACCTGTGACAAGACCTTTCAGTCTGAACAAAAAATTTTGATGTTATGACCTTGACCTTATAGTTTGACCTTCTTTTTTTTTTAAATTAACTTTGATATTAATTTTTGAATGAGACAAGAAAAGGCTTTCAAATTTCACATGTGTGTTAGCTTTGAATGTTAACCTTTATGAATTACTGGGATTTTTGACCTCATGACTCTGACCTTGAATATTGAACTTCTTTTCATAAATTTTTAATTTGGGTAAAAACTTTTTAATGAAAGAAAAAAGGGCTCTCATAATTCACATGTACATCACCCATGACAAGACATTTTAAAATTTGCTATGATTTTTGATTTCATGACCTTGACCTTGAAGTTTGACCTACTTTAAAAAAAATTTACTTTGGCCATACATTTCCAAATGTACTATGATTTTTGACCTCATAGTTTATACCTCAAAGTTTTACTTTCAAAACTTTAATCTTGGCCATAATTTTTGCACCAGTACATATTACTGCAATAATTAATTTTTTTCTAGTATGATAAACTAAAAAGCAAGACAGACAAGACAACTATAATATGCAAAAGCTCATTGAACCCCATAAATAAGACCACATTTCTTTGAATTTGCCTCTTTTTTTTTTTTTTTTTTTTTTGACATACACCAAATTGAAAGCTTATAAGATTTAGCATGTCAGAAATTTTAAGCCTTTCACACAAGCATCATCTTTGAGATTTAAAAAAAAAAAAAGGAAACAACAGTAGTTTTGAAAAGGGTTTTGTAATTTTTTTTCCCCAATATGCCAATAGTATTACTTTCCAGTTTTAAAGTTTTTAGTACCATTTCAAAATGCTGAGGGGAAAAAAATGAGAACATTATTTGTATTTTTTTCCATCTTTAAGGAGTTTTACACATTGTCTGTTAACAGAAAAGGCCAATTAAGAACAAAAATTCCTACGTGTAACACTTGTTCAGGATTTCTAGTTTGTTTAATTTTATATGGTTAGTATTTGTCAAATGTCTTGAAATGTTAATGAGGTACACACAAAATATACCTGGTATTTAGAAGGATACTGTCTCTTTCTATAGGAGAGAATTTTCAACAGATGATAATTTTCCTTTGAAAAGATTAAGAAACAGTGATAAGCTATGTAACCTCAGTGTACAAGGTTTGTGAATTTAAAGGAAACTCTTTGATTCAGGATATTGACAGGAGATAGTAAAATCATTGTGACATGACCTTGAGAGATAGCTGAAGGTGATCATCTACTGCGCACTTCTGGTTCATTGCTTACAGTGCTATTGACCCTCAGAAATGGCTTCTGTTTTCTTATCTGTGTGAAAATAAGGCCATTTTGGTTATATAACACAGAAACCTAGACTCTTAGATCATTGAACTGAAAATCTGTGCTATCCTTGTCTGGATGTGTGAAAGCAGGGGAAATGCTACCATATGTCGAATTTTTAACTGATAATAATTTTTTGACAATTTTGCACATGCACTGCATTCTTAAAAATATTTTTCTTAAAAATAAATCAACAAGAAATGGTTCTAGACCTGTTCATAAGTTCATGTTAATCCAAAGTAAATTTTGATGAAAATTATTGTCTTCTTTACAAAATGAAGGGTTGGGTTTTTTCTTGACATAGAAGATAAATTATGGTCCTTCAGAACCGTCTGAATACAGTGTTATTTTTGCCCCATCTTATATTCGCCCTATCACACCTGCAAACAATTTTGCCTCATTTTGAATTTGCCCTGACACAGTTCTGTTTAAGAGATAATACCATTTTCTATAAATTCGCCCCTTTTATTTTTAAATTCGCCCAATAACAAGAAGGGCGAAAGGGCGAAAATAAAACGGGGGCAAAAATAAAACGGGGTAAAAATTTCCCTGTACACAGTAGATAAAATGAAATGAATACTCCGATATAGTTAAAAAAAATGACAGTGTTAAATTTTGTAAAAAAAAAAAATGTAGTGAATTACCAACACCAGAAAATTATTAAATGCTCAGATTATAGATGTCTGAAAATTTTTTAGTGTAATTAAAAAAAAAAAAAATTTTCAGCATACCAGACTGATTAAACTTATTTTTCTTTTTGTTCAGTACTTATATGCAAGGGTGCAAATTTAGCAAGTAAACAAAACACCAATTGAAATTAAAAACCACTAAGATTTAAGCAGGTTCTACCAAACCTCTAAAATGAGCCCGCTGAAAAATTATGCTACATGGTATTAGGTTATCTTGTGATTTCTTAATAAAACTTTTTTTTTTATTTCAATCATTGCCTAAAAAATAGGGGAGGGGAGTTTACTGGAATGTCTGTGTACATCCTTCCATCAATCTAGCCATCCATTTGTTTGTAAACCTGATGTAAAGCTCATGCAGCATTAACCAGGTTTTTCGTGCTTACTTTCCACCTTATCCCAAGTGGTATCCAAATCAAAGGTGCAGATATGGTGCAGCTGTGGATATTTTGATGAGGTGCATGCTTTTATGGGGGGTACAGTTTCCTTAAAATAACTCTATTGTTTTTATTGATGGTTATAAAGACACTGAGTTCTATTTTCAGTGGCCACATAGCTGAGAGGATGAACTTGCGTATATTTTTGTCCATGGGCATGATAGGCAGTGGTATTATGACAGCAATGTTTGGGATGGGGTACTTTTGGAATATCCATACCATTGCTTTCTATATAGGAGTTCAGGTGACAGAAACAGAATAATTCAGACACAGTCTGCTAAGTGCTAATGAGATTTGAGGATCTTCAAGAGAAAGTAGCAAGAACATTTTGAAAAGCACGTAAGATATTGTTAAATTATTGCATGGGATTGCATTTTTCAGGTCATCGGGGGATTATTGCAGAGCTCTGGTTGGCCTTCAGTTGTAACATGTGTGGGGAACTGGTATGGAAAAGGAAAGTAAGTATGTTTAAGTAATACACATTGTTTTGTTTGTTTTTACAATGCAAATATTGAATATTTTGCCTAAAAATATGATTTTTTAATCCTTATCAAATGCTTTTTTTTTTAAATTCCATGTATAAAGGTCTTTAAAATCTTTCATTCTTATCAATAGTTGAGGATATATGATAGGGTTTTTTTCCTTCAGGCGGGGACTGATCATGGGAATCTGGAATTCTCATACATCTGTGGGGAACATCCTGGGGTCACTCATAGCTGGCATCTTTGTGAACACAGTTTGGGGATGGTCCTTCATAGTCCCTGGAATCATCATTGCTTCCTTAGGAGTCCTTGTTTTCCTGTTCATGGTGCCAAGTATGATGTACTTTCTAAAACGTTTGAGATTTTTTTTATCTCACTTGAGCCAGAAGGTCAGTGGACCTTTTCTGATCAAAGGTTGTCACATCATTATCTTCTTTAAACAAACTATTGGACTAGTTTTAACCAAACTTGTCCTAAGTATCAATGAGTGATGATGACTCAAGTTCAAATAGAAGCTTCCTGGAGCAAGATAAGAACATTAAGGGGTTAAAATCTTACATAGCAATATCATATTCATGAAAAAATCTATGTAAATCTACCGGCGAATAGCTTATTATATATATTAAATGTCATACTAGAGTTCACATGAAAGCATTCCATCTATTGTAGATTCATCATGTCTGTTCAAATCTTACTTGATGGTTATTAGGTAAAGGTTTTGCAAAGCATTTTTTAATTGGTTTTGGTTGATGTTGTTTTGATGTCCTTTTATATTTTTTTTTATTTTAGTTCAAATATTCATTATTATAAAACTGAAAGAAAGTAATGTTTTGTACTGTATAAGCAGAATTTTTTTGCAAGGATTCAATTTTGGCATTACATATATTAGCTAGAATGTTGACATTATTTAAATTGACTGTTGCCCCATAATTCATTCAGAATTCAGGTAAGAGTTTCTTTTCTGGACAACATAAAATCACACTAGTTACTTCTCCCTTAAATGAAATACCGCTCTTTTAGGTCATATCACTAAATTTACATCTTGCTAACAATTCCATTTATACATGTACTGTTTATATTGTTGATATACAGATGATTTAAAAAGGTATTAATTTTTAATAAATTTTCAGAACAATAAAACTTAATTATATCAAAATGTTACTACAGTAAATTGTGTAATGTCAAACATTCTTATAATGAATTGAAGCTTATGGAAAAGTTGTTTTTATTCCCCATGGGTTTAAAATGTATTTGGAATTTAATGGATATATAGCAAATTATGATCATAACGAATCAAAACTCGTCCTTGGCACTTTGCTACAAGTGTGTTTTATTGTAGTGTTATCAACTTAACATTTAGTCAAAAAGCCTGAGAACTAAAAGGAGACAAATGTGACAGATACTTTTATGTTAAGCATCTAATTTAATCATTCTTAGTTTGAAAAATAACTGAAGAAGAGCTGTTGTAAAAGATTAAGTTTAATCAGAACCAAATTCTGGAGGAATTCAGATTGAACAGAGATGTATAAATCTCATTTTTTTTAGATTATTTAGTGATTTAGCTCCAATAGGAATATACAGATTGCATAATTATCAAGAAGGCTTTAGTTCATAAATCTGAAGTTAATAAATACCCTGTAAATTAGATTTGTGAAAAAATTGTGTTAAGTTCATAGCCTCAGTAAAGGTTTCCTTCACATGTTTATTCATGAGGAAGGAAATGTTACTCAGATGAGCCCATGTTGCCCATGGGACCCTTGTTGATATCTGCTGAGGGAGATATGTAAAGGATATTTTCCCAGATATAAGATAAACAAAATTAAACACACATACAAGATAATTGTTATTTTTTCCTCATACTCAGCTCCAGATGAAGTGGGGTGTGATTTGCCTGATCAATCAACATCAACATCAACTAAGGTAATTAAGTTATATATGTTTTTGAGAAACCGTAAACATTTATGATTGATATGGTAATTTGCTCTAATGACCTTTCAGATTTTCGTGAACATTGATAAAACATTCCTGAATTGATTTTTTTTAAAAAAATTCACAATACTTAGAGTGTATGAGAAGCATTAAGTCAGATGATTTGAAAAAAAAACTGCACTCTAAAAATATATCTAGTAAAATTAATTCATTTGTTCAGATACAACATTATGCAGAAGATGTTTCAGAAAAGTCAGATTTAGTAAGTATTATGTGTCATTAAAGTACTGTCTAGTTTTATTTTGGTTTTTCCATGTAAATTGTAAAATTTAGCATATAAAATATGTACTGTATAAAAATATGTGTAATATACATGTATTGTATGATGCATTCAGAAATTATTGATTATGAAATGATTTCAGAATGGAGAGAGTTATATGGTAAAATATTGCACAGTGTCATTGAGAAAACTAATTCTGCTTTTATACTAATATCAATTTATCCTGGAAATATATGCATGTATTGACCATTAATTAAGACACTAATCATTGCGTAACAGTCACCATAGGTTTAGTAAATGCCACTCATTGACATCTATGTAGAATGCATGAAGATGCTTTGATATGTTATCGTCAATAACTACATGTACCAATCTTTCAACATTTTTTATGACTGTTAGAATTGATTTAATTTATTGAAGTTGAATTGGTTTGATTTATTGAAGTATATTTGAAACAGGGAATTATATATAGAGTGTGTTTGCTCTGTTAATTTTAAAACATGAAGGAGAAAATATGTTAAAGAACCAATTACGGTAAAGCTTGTGACAGGCTTGAAATGAAGTTAAAAATAAATATGGATTACAGTTGTTAAGAAACATAATTGTACATTGAACTAAGTGTATGTGTTGTCGAGTTGATTGTTATTAACGCCTGATATTTGTTTCCATAGAAAAAAGAGAATTGCCAAATACCTATGGCAATTGTCTGTGAAACACCAGTTGTTTGTAAAGCACCAGTAAGAATGAATTTTAATTGGCTAGTAAAATTGTACACTGTAATCTAGCAGTCATAGTGAGTTTTCTGTTAATCGTCTGATAAAATAGTTTCCTTTTATAGAACAAATGTGGTGAATAATCCCAGATTACAGTGTATATTAGATTATTTAAAATGCTATGATGGCAGTGGGTACACTCAGGGATGGCTTTAACTACTTCAAAACATCATTTTGTACGTTCAGTTATTTTATCAAAATATTCAATTAGTACCATTCGTAAAATTTTTGATTTTATTTGCATCAATATTTAGCAAGAATTAATAAATCATGAATACTTTCAGGAAGTGATTTATTGCACAGTAAATATGCTGTCATTTTATTTTAGATTTTAAGGTAATGTGCCCATAATATTTGTCAAGATTTTCACAAAATCTGAATCTGGCATTAAACAATTTGCCATCATTGATGATTTTTTTATTGGTGTGCCATTCCCGAGTAAGGTGGCTTACATTGTTGTAGAGCTCTGCTAGAAAAATTGTAAAATTCATCATTTTACAATCTGTATTTTGAGACAACTTGTTTTGTGTGTGTGAGTGGAGTACACAATATTAATTAACTTATGGTACATTATTTCAGGAAGTAGCTTATACAATAAGGCTGTGTGTGAGGTACATGACATATGTATTTCTTTATAATAGGATACTCTAAAACTATTGCAGGAAGATGATCCCTTGATAGAGTCACTTAAAAGTGTCAATCGAAGCGCAGTATGTCATAACATTGAAGTTAAATTGCACAATAATCTAATTTTTTTCACACCCTTCCCACCACTTTTGAATTTAATTAAAAGCACAAAATTATTTTAATTCAATGATTTCAAAGATTCACCATGTTTAGCCATCAGCACACTAACCAAAATATTTTCACCACGGATGTTTTGATTTTTAACTATCATTATATTGATTCAGTATTAAGCTTTTGTTTTTCAGTTAACAGTATTAAAATTAATACACTAAAACAGACTATTTCTATGAAGAAATATATATACTAGGTATATTCTGTGATTCAGAAAATGTGAAAATATGTGTCAGTTTCAGTCAGATTTTTTATTACAGGGATCATTTTCAGATGTTATTTTTAATTTGACCATTCGTGTTTGAACCCACCATTACACAAACCAACCCTTGCTTGCTTCATAGCCATCCTGTAAAATACGTCCTTAATTGCATCTTTAATGATACTAAAGAAAACTATCGTCATTAACAGTGATGTCATTTATAAATAAAACATGTTGCAAAATTTACACGTTTCACAACTCATAATAATTTGTAAACTGGACCAAGGTAATGATATGACTTCATTTTGAAAATTTGTGTAATGGAAATTGATATCACTTTGACTATTTTAGGAATATGGATCAACAAATAGTCAAACCTCATTAGTTTCTCTGGACAAAAAAGAAAAACCCATATCCTTGTTCCGGGCACTTCGGATTCCAGTAAGTTATGGAGTCAAAGAAATTAAGTCAAACCAAGTCATCAATTTAACTTAAGTTTTCTAGATACAACAAGTCAGGAAAATGTACAGTACCTTTCTTATTTTATTGAAGAGGTATGCTAATTGTTCCTCATTTTGCACAATGTGTGACATAATTGATTTGCAAGTTTGAATGACAAGTTCTTGTTCTGTTTTTAGGGGGTGATAGAGTTTTCTCTGTGCCTTTTCTTTGCCAAACTTGTTAGTTATACATTCCTGTATTGGTTACCGAAATATATTCATGTCAAAGGTTAGTACAGTGTGTATTTTTGAACATACTTAGAATACCTTAGTCCCAGTGTATGTATAATGTAAAGTTTGCTAGTCTGTACAGCTTGCAAAGTTTGGTTGGTCTTATTTATTCCTTTTTTAGCTCATCTCGACGAAGTCGAGATGAGCTTATGCTATACCCCCGGCGTCGGCTTCAGCGTCGGCGTCCCGGTTAAAGTTTTAGGAGCAAGTCCATTCCCAAGTAACTATAAACCCTACCTGGACCAAACTTGCATGGATGATGCATCTAGGGATGGACACTACCACACTTGCTTCGGATGCTGGATCTGACCTAGATTTTCCAGATGAGTGACTAGGTTAAAGTTTTTGGAGCAGGTCCATTCCCAAGTAACTATAAACCCTACCTGGACCAAACTTGCATGGATGATGCATCTAGGGACGGACACTACCACACTTGCTTCGGATGCTGGATCTGACCTAGATTTTCCAGTTGAGTGACCAGGTTAAAGTTTTTGGAGCAGGTCCATTCCCAAGTAACTATAAACCCTACCTGGACCAAACTTGCATGGACGATGCATCTAGGGATGGACACTACCACACTTGCTTCGGATGCTGGATCTGACCTAGATTTTCCAGTTGAGTGACCAGGTTAAAGTTTTTGGAGCAGGTCCATTCCCAAGTAACTATAAACCCTACCTTGACCAAACTTGCATGGATGATGGATCTAGGGATGGACACTACCACACTTGCTTCGGATGCTGGATCTGACCTAGATTTTTCAGATGAGTGACCAGGTTAAAGTTTTAGGAGCAGGCCCATTTCCAAGTAACTATAAGCTCTACCTTGAACAAACTTGCATGGATGATGGATCTAGGGATGGACACTACCACACTTGCTTCGGATGCTGGATTTGACCTAGATTTTCCACATGAGTGAATTTTAGCCATATTTTAACCAAATTAGCATGGATGATGTAGCTAGGGATGGTCACTTCCAGACTTGCTTTGGATTCTTAATCTGATCTACATTTTCCAGATGAGTGACCAGGATAAATTTTTTGGAGTATCTATATAACATTATGGCCTGTTATGATTAAACTTGCGTAGATGGTGCATCTAAGGATGAAAACTTCCAGACTTACTTTGGATGTTGGAACTGACCAAAATTTTCTTGATTAGTAAACAGGATAAACGTTTTTTGAACAGGTCTATTTCCAAGTAACTATAAGTCGTACTTAAACCAAACTTGCATGGACATTGATCTTGGGATGTACACTAAATAAAAAAAAATATGTGAAATTTGCCTTAATTAAAGATAACAATCGTCAAGGTGAGCTTCGTAATCTTTTATTACCTTTGTTTTTATGATAGATCAAATATGATTTAAATCCATTGTTCCTTCCACATAGATCAATAATGATTGTTTATAATTTACATGTATTATGTATTCTCATATTGTGTAAGCTATATATAATTATATGTAGGGATTTTTAAGTTATAGGATTTGTTAATTGAAAATTAAAGTGATAGTAGGATTTAAGAAATAGATTATAACTGTCTGAACACTGCATTTTATGTTCTAGCTAATTATGATCCAGAGAAGGCTGCAGACATCTCCACCCTGTTTGATGTGGGAGGAATTTTTGGTGAGAAATATAAGCTTTAAGCATTATATGCATTTAAAATGATTGCATAGCATAAAATATGTATCTACATGTTTGAAACATTTTTGAAATCAGATGTATTTATGACTTTCCTGCATATGCTAGGAAAACATTTATAGTGTCCTTAATTTCTTTTCTCTCTTCATAAATTGTTTGAAATAGATAAATTTAAATATGAAAAAAATTAATAATCACAAATTGACTTAAATGATAGTGTTTTGTTTTAGGGGGTATTATGGCAGGGCTGGTTTCTGACTTCACTGGTATGAGGGCAGCCACCTGTGTTATTATGTTAGTCATTTCGGCACCTGTAGTATGTATTATTTATACATATACATGTATATATATTGAAACAATATTTACTTTTTGATCTTGTTTTCATTATTTATTAAAAAAAATACCAGTTTTTCAGAATCTGACTATAGAAAGTACTTCTTCAGCGTAATGTGAATTTCTTTTTTTTTTCAGCTGTATATTTATAATTTATATGGCAGTATAAGCTTAGCACATAGCATAGGTAAGTATGGACAAGATTTTAAGAATGAAAAAAAAATAACACATATATGCTATTATTGTGAATATAAATACAGTTAAACTTTGTTATCTTGAGGTTGATGGGACTGTTGATGAACTTCAAGATATCCGGGGGTTGGACATATCGAGGGTTATAATTCAAATGAACTTCAAATTAACTTAGTGCAGTGAACATTTACTTAATAGTAAAAAGATGTCCAATTCCTTCTTGCTTGATATTCTGTATATGCTTTCTTTAATATACATGTACATGTATTTAGCATAAAAAGATTTTTACATCCTCTTTATAATTAACAAAATAAAAACGTTGTATAATAAGCACAGAAGTATAAATCCTTCTACCAACCCAGCAAGTCAACCGCTAGCATTGTTTCCCAAGTTTACATAACCGGATATTGTCTAAGCATCATAAATTTAAAATTGGTCTCTGTCAGAATAACGAAAATGAAATATACATTTTTTGTTATTGGAAAAACATGTTCATACATGTATAATCAGTTAAAAGAAAATTATTTTACCATAATAAAATCAAATGCAAAAGGAGAAACCCACACTTTTGTGACTTTTGTCTAACTACAGAACAACATTGAATCACAGGGCACTATTGCACAAGTTTTCACTGCGACACAGGCTTGCATGATGGTGTGTACCAATGATTGTAAATTCTGCATGCTCATATAGGAAAAATAAAGTCTAATTACATTAAATTACAGAATTTTGTTTCACTTTGATGTTTATAGTTTTCACTTTCATATGCATAAAATATGCAAGCGCGCATATTACACATAGCATTAAATAGCGATTATCAAGATAAACGTACCCCAGCCACAAAACAATTAACATGTCATCCATGCGTATGCATTAGACTAATACACACAACCTTTGGCTTGCATAATTAAAATCAAGTTAAGCCGTACATACACCTCGTATAATTATCGCGCTATTATCTGTTGATCATAGGAACACAGGTAACCTGTGCGTAACAGACAGGTGGATGTTATCAATAGAGCGTTCAGTTTACCTAACGGACTTGATCATCAGAGCGGAAAATTATCCGACTTCGAGATAACACACATGATTTTAATGAATGGGTACACAATTTTACTTCGAGATAACTGGGGTATTCAACATTACCGTGTTCGACATAGAGAGGTTTATTTTAATCATTTATAAAGCAAATTTTGTCGGGACCGCGGCCTTACTTCGACATATCCGGGGTATTCTAGATATCCGTGTTCAAGATTTCGAAGTTTAGCTGTACATGTACCCCTTTTTAAAAGGATTTTAAAGGATTTATTATTAACAATAATAGTTTTACTCTGGTATTTACTAACATCAATATGTCCAGTAGCTGGAATACTTGGAACTCGGTGATCCAGACATAATTATGGATGTCAGCATCAGCTACTTAATCTGGAACTACTTGATATCATGAAGTTTTTTTTTTTTAACAATTCTCTGGTATTCAAGATGCTAGAGTTTGATTGTAATATTTTTATAATCTTATTGATGTAGTAACACAACATTTTAAATGTGAATTGAATTTTAGGGCTATCTATGTTATGCGGGTTCTTTGTTAATGGTCCTTATGCTCTGATTACCACTGCTGTTAGTGCAGACTTGGGCACTCACAAAGTCCTACAGGGGAATGCCAAAGCCTTGTCAACAGTCACTGCCATTATTGATGGAACTGGAAGTATAGGTCAGTGTGTTATATCCAATCCTACTTTGATTTTTACTTTGACTTGTCAGAGACCAGAAGAGCTTATGCAATAGTAAGGTGTCCGTCGTCCATCCGTTTAGCTGTCTGTCTGTAAACAATTTTTCAAAAGACTACTCTTCCTACAATTTTGGTCAGATTTCAATATAACTTATAATTGCAAGAAATCTTGCCACAAAAAAGACTAAACCAAGGATTATTATTCAATTTATTGTGGTTGCAAAGTTTCAAGTCTGAGTGGTGCTTTTCTCCTCCTTTGTTATAAGTATAAACCAGTAGAGGTAGTCTCATCAGAGACTTCTGGTTGTATTATCTATGGTTTATCTCATTGAATACATTACATGTTTTAATCCTTAAAGGCTTTTGTGAGCTGAACTTTTCTGCCACTCATGTCAATTTTAACTCTTACAAAAATGCACTGACTTCTTTTTCAAGCATTTTAATGAGTTATCTCTAGAACACACATGTGAAACAAATAATATACGCAATAATACATATTATTGTGTCATTTTATGAATTTAATAGTACCTGAAATAGTGAGGAAGAAACTGAATCATTTAAGATTAATACATGTCTCTATCAAAATTTGGGATTGAAGAGTTTGTTATAGGATTAAACATTCTTTTTACAGAATTTATCGATGTGTTAAGTCATGCCTTTGTACTCACAAACTGAATAAAAGTGTGAAGCACTTTTATGTAAAATTTTTTGAGTACAAAGGCATGAATTAAATTACACATCAATAAATTCTGGAAAAAGAACGTTTAATTCTTATAATTCCAATTACGAAGTTCTAAAATTATTTCTCTTTGAAGCCTCCATACAATACATTATTTCTGTACAGGGTAGGAATACTTTATGCCGCGATGTGGAAATGAAACATAATCGAGATGAACATTGATAAAGTTCAATTTTAATTGTCAAAACATTCACTCATCGAATATTGTTTAAGTCCTTAAATATCCTAAATACAAGTAGACTCCAGAAGAATTGATCAGGTTGGCATTAACGACAAACGCTCTAAAATGAAAGTAGCATACCCACAGCACCTTTGATTTGCTCTGGTTTGTTCAAAGACGAGACAAAATATAAGATGTAGAAATATAAATTTGATGTAATAAGGCAAGAGTCTGAGGTACGTTTCTCTTTCCTATCAGGGCCACTGAGAACTGAGCTGATTTGCTTTGCTTGGGAACGACGATGATTTATAAATTCACACTCATGATTTTAGAGTGACATAAAAATAATATTCCTGTCTGTCAGTCCTGCATGTCGTCAGTTTTTATTTTATTATTTATTTATTTTTATTTAATTTCAAGTTTCTGTAACTGTTTAGCTTAAACAGACTAGAAGTAACGAGTTGTTACAATTTTTATGCCCCCGGTCGAAAGATCCCAGGGGTATATTGTTTTTGTCCTGTCTGTCTGTTTGTCTGTCTGTCTGTTGTCAACTTTAACCTTGCCCTTAACTTTTGATTGGTTGGAGCTATGAGTTTCATATTTCACATGTGTATTTCTTGAGACAAGACCTTTCTTTGGGTACCATCATATTTGACCTTTTGACCTTGACCTTGGAGTTTGACCCACTTTTGCAAAATTTTATGAGACTTTGACCTTGGCCATAACTTCTACACAGTTGGTGCTTGGGGTTTCAAACTTCACATGTGTATTCTTTGTGAAAAGGCCTTCCTTTGGATACCAACAACTTTGACCTTTTGACCTTTGAGTTTGACTACTTTTGAAAAACTATAACCTTGGCCATAACTTTTGAACAGGTGGTGCTTGGGGTTTCAAACTTCACATGTGTATTCCTTGTGACAAGACCTTCATCAGAATATCAACCTCTTTGACCCTTTGACCTTGACCTATGAGTTTGACCTACTTTTGAAAAACTTTAACCTTGGCCATGACTTTTGAATGGTTGGAGCTAGGGCTTTAATACTTCACATATGTAATCCTTGTGACAAGACCTTCCTTTGGATACCAACCACTTTGACCTTTTGACCTTGACCTAGGAGTTTGACCTACTTTTGAAAAACTTAAACCTTGGCCATAACTTTTGAATGGTTAATGCTAGGGATTTCATACTTCACATATGTAATCCTTGTGACAAGACCTTCCTTTGGATACCAACAACTTTGACCTTGACCTTGACGTTTTACTTACTTTTAAAAAACTTTAACCTTCGCCATAACTTTTGAACAGTTGCAGCTAGGGCTTTGAAATTTCACAGGTATATTGATTATTCCTTGAGACAAGACCTTCCTTTGGGTACCAACATTTTTTTTATCTTCTGGCCTGGATTTTGACTTGCATTTGAGAAACTTTAACCTTCACCATAAGCTGCCATATGGGGGCATCAGTGTTTCACAAACACATCTTGTTTACAATAAAAGCTAGGTAGGGAAAGTAGTTCTTATTGAGAGATTTATCGATGTGTAAACTTTTTCTTGATTTTGTTCTTGTCCAATCAAAACACAGGAAATCAGTAAATAAAGTTAAGATTGGAATTACAGATTATTTATTGTCAACTTTGGTTTTTAGGAGCTGCAGTAGGCCCCCTTTTGGCTGGAGTGATTGAATCCTCAGGCTGGAACAATGTCTTCTACATGCTGATAGCTTCTGATGTTATGGCTTTATTGGTAAGCTCATACATTACATATCACCGGGAATGGGATAAAGTTCAGGAAAATCTCAAATTCGTCCACATCTACATATCAAATGAACTCGGTGAAACTTTAAGATTGTTTGTCAGGCGTGTTAGAAACATGGATTGGTTTTCTCTTGTCTCATGTGGGTTTGTTTTCTTGATGACTTTTATATTGTATTTGAATTTTGTGTATAATTCTTGATAGCATAACAGTTTCGGAAGTAACTTTTTTCTATTTATTTGGTTATAATTATGTTGATGGTATAATGTTAATGTATGTGATATATTCTGTTATTTTATTCATTTTGATCAAAGAAGAAATCCATTGTGATACCTTCTGAATCAACGGGTACACATTGATTGATTAAATAGTGCGATAATATTTTGTAAACTATTTTTTGATGTGAAGAATCTCATTTATTTATACAAATTGATTTATTTTTGCATAATAAGGAATAAAATAAGTTTTGAATTTAGAATGCACATTTATGAAAAAAGATTTTATTCTGAAAATGTATATTTTTGCTTTTAAAGTAGATAAACTTCTTATATTGTAGAAAAAATTTCCATGACTGATAATGCTATTAATTCTATACCATCAAATAGATTTTATCTCCCATCTTTTTTCCATAAAAACTGTGCAATACCATTAAGAGCTAGCTGGACAATCATTTCACAGGTAGATAGATACTGGGAAGTTGCTTAGTGCATCTATGTTGGTTTTCATCAAGAGGTGTAGTTCCTCAACTTGTAATTACTTAAAACTTGCATTTTCACATTGTAGGACATAAAGGGTCTCTCTGCTGAAGAGAAATAATTCTGACATGTTTTGAATCAGGTTTCCTTTAAAATTGCACAATTTGAAGTTTAGGTTTAAAATATTTAGGACTGTCTTACTTTCAAATTTTTTGCAGCAAGGTACAATATTTTAAAAATGCAAGAGGATCTTCCTGTCTAAGTAATATTACACAGCTGAGGAACAATACCACACAAACAAGATTGCACTCATTTATCGTCTCGTAATATCTTGACATAGCATCTCATTGTATTTATTACATTCTACTCATCTTTAGATAATACATTTAATTGATATTAACTCACCATTTATACTAGGAATTGTTTTCCTTTGCTGGTTTCATATCTCTAATTAGAATGGGTCACATGTATGGTTGCACACAGTTTTAAACTAGCTTTTTATCATAACCTTGGTTTGATATGCACACAATTCAAATCAGAAATTTTTTTGGCTTTTTTAGTTCATCTAATCCAAAAGCTCAGATGAACTTTCTGCTTGTTTTCCCCCATTTTCTCAAAAGTGAGGGGACATTAAATCTCATTAGTCTGTCTGTCTGTCACAAAAACTTTTACCTTGGTTATATCTTTTGAATGAGAAGAGACAGGGCTTTTATATTTCACATGTACATTACCTGTGACAAGACCTTTCCAAATATACTGTGATTTTTTACCCCGTGACCTTAACGTTTGACCTACTTTTCAAAAATTTTAACACTACTTTAAATTGGTCATAACCTTTAAATAAGAAAAGATAGGGCTTTCATATTATACATGTATATTACCTGTGACAAGACCTTTCAAAATACTGTAAACCAACTATTATTCGCGTCATCTTTTATTTGCGATTCATCAATTTGAAATCGATCTGTGACAATTAATTTTCGCAACTGAGGAAACATTCTCTACAAATACAAAGCAAAATAAATGGTTCACGGCGATTATTATTCGCGAGTTAACATAGGTCGCGAGACTCATGCATATTTCTCGCACACGAATAAAAGTTGGTTTACAGTATAGTATGATTTTTTACCCTGTGACCTTGAAGTTTGACCTACTTGTCAAAAATTTTATCTTTGCATATAACTTTTGATTGAGAAGAGATAGGGCTTTCATATCACATATGTACATTACCTGTGACAAAATCTTTCCAAATATACAATGGTTTTTGACTCTGTGACCTTGACCTTGAAGTAAACCTTCTTTTCAAAAATTTTATCTTTGCATATAACTTTTGATTGAGAAGAGATAGGGCTTTCATTTCATATATGTACATTTCAGAACCTATAATCTTTGCCATAACTGTTATTAATTCATTACTTTATGTCTTTTATGTATAACGCACAGACAAGACAGGACACACAAACAAAACAGTTACAATATGCCATAAATAATGGCATCCCATTCACTAAGATACCGAAAGCGGGGGACCACAATTCTTTGAATTTGCTTTTTTGGGGGATTTCTCTGTCCAGCTGTCTGTGTTGTCTATTCACTCTTCATATTTTTGACTGTTCCAAAACCACAGAGCCAATTTCAACCAAACTTTCATCAAAACATCCTTTATTAAAGGGAATTCAAGTTTGTTCTAAAGAAAAGTCATGTCTACTTTTAAGGGAAATTATAAATAAGAAATAGTGAAAATAGACTGAAGTTATTAAAACAATTTTCAAAAAGTCAGTTGGTCCAAAAAAGATAAAATTTGTGTGAAAACTTTCTTGTACAGATATAATTAAAGTTTGTTCAAATTGTGATCCAATAGCCAAATTAGTTATAGTGTTTTGTAATCTAATCTTTATGTAAAAGTACCATTAACTTAGGCCCTTTTATGCCAAGACCACAGAGTTAAGTTATTTCTAAAATTGATTTAAAAAAAAAAAGGCTTTTTAACTACCTTCTGGCAAGCCTCGAATGTATTACTCAAACATCCATGATAACCTACTTATCAAATATATTAAAATTAATCCAGGGGGACCTCTTACCTTTAGCGTCTGATCTGGAGCTAAACTTCATTGAATTCATTGAACCTAAATTATATACTATAGAAGAGAAATTAACTCTGTCTAGCCAATACTTTTACTGACAAAATTTTAGCATTGGAGAAGACTGGTAAAGGTGAGATTGCCACAAAATATTACAGAACTAGGTGCCCTTTGGTTCTTCCAATTTATTGTATGATGCACCTCCATATTGAAATTACAGACAACAACAGATTTTTTAATGCACAGTAATGCCTTTGCCGATGTGATCAATTAATCAATGATTTATCAATTTAGCAAAATAAACCAATGGTTCAGAGATCTACTTTTGTGTTTTATAATGGCTACAGTGCTGACTCACATATCTTTTTAAAAGATAAGCTTGCACACCTTAATTTGGTGACCACAATAAGGAGTGTCATTTATCAATGTACACATATTGATTAGACAAACAGAGAGTGGTGACTTAGTTGCAGTCCATGAATCTATTGTTTCACTTTTCATTACATTTTCAAGAATTCTGTGTGTAAACAAAGTTGGTACTTAAGGGCAATTTTGGATTGTTGCAATTTATTAAGTTCACTTCATCATCAGATGAAGTTTATTATAGTTTGTAGGTTCTATATGAACATTTAGGTTTTTAAGCAGCATAATATGAATCATTTTGTGATCCATAAAGGCACTTATTGACATTTGTGCACAAAATCTAACCAAGAGCAATATAATGGCATGTAATGAGTCCAACTACATTGTGCTTTACTCATTTTCTCAGATATATGTAAGATTAGAGTGGTCTATACCAGTGAGATAAAAAAAAAAAAAGAGATTAGATTTCAGGGTTTTTCCCCTTTGCTTTCTTTATGGTCACATGTCAGTTGTCATTCTGTGGATTTCCTACTCGAACACCTAAATTGCTTTACATAAGTACTCTCAAAGTACTCAGACAATGTATACATCTACCCATAAGTGATTTATTTATATTTAACATCTCACTCCTCTCATATATAACTTGTGTTTATCATTTAACAGAGTTACATGTACATCTAGTTCTGAAAATCTTCATAACTAAAGTCAAACTTTGGTATTTCTGATAAGTTGTATATAATATGATTTAAGAATCACTTTGAATCATTTATCTGATTTATTTGCAATGTACGTTGAACACTTTTGACAACCCATACCTTCTGAGATATTAAAAAAAAATTGACTGAGTCAGTGTATGTTATTTATGTTTAGGCTACCAGCTTTCTCTTTTTTATTTATTTATTTATATACATGTATTTTATTTTGTTTTATTGTATTCTTTTATGGGGGCATGATTCTGTTTTAATACCAGGAAACTTAAATGAAATGCAAAATTAATCTTTAGGCAATTTATTCAATTAACTTCTTTTTTTCTAAATTATTTATGGATTTACATTACCTCTCAATTATGGTAATATGTATTCTAAATTTGCACACTGAAGTAATTAAAAATGTTGGCATTTTTTCTCTGGTTTGCATGATATACCAAAGGATCACAGAGTAACAGCGTTTTCTCTTTTCCCACAGCTCTTACTGCGCCTATTTTACAAAGAGATGGTTGTCCACTTTGGTAGAGGCACCGCTGTTAGCTAACCCTGTCTCCTGTGGCCTTGAACATGACTGATCTCAATATGGGGACCCCCCTCTCCTGTGATACCAGAGATTTTATCCAGCATTTTCCACTTTTTCTTTAATTTTTAGCGACAAATTCATTTTAATACTTTTCCTTTTAATAAGAAAAAGAAAAATTAAGGTTGTAAATTTTATTTGAAAAAAATGAGCCCTTGTGCAAAAAGGTTGTATGAATCTTTTAAGGGGATTAGAGTTAATTGAAAAATCAGAAAATGTATGATTTCCTTAAAATTGCTGTAAACATACTTTTTCCTTGGGGTCATAATTCCCAAAATCAAAATTTCTGTTCAATCAAATAGAAAAATTTGGTGGATTTCTTGGATTGCCTTTTATGTTTGAAAAGAACTTTCAGTATGCTGTGACAATTTCCGCAGAAAATTTGTGAGTGCATACATAGCATAAAGAAATACCATGCAGAAAAAACTACCGTATATACTCGCCTATAAGTCGGTTTTTTGGGAGTTAACTTTTGGTCTAAAACGCTATGTCCGACTTATAGGCGAGACATCAAAAGCTTGGTATTTTTCTGGACGACAACATGAGGTAATTTTTACATAACTTCGACGATTATCGTTGAGAAATGTCTGGACGTATTATATTATTTATGTATTCTAAGATTATAAATTATAAATAAAGTACAAGTATTTACCGATGTCATATCCTAACATAGTATTTGAACACAGGTAAATAAATTACAGTATTGATATGAAATTTATAAGAGAAGAAAAAAAAAGAGATAAAATATCGGCGTTATCCTTCAAAATATTATTTGAAAAACATTAAAACATTAGAGCATTAATTGAAATTGTCCACCGATTCTGGCAAAAAGTTGTTCCGACTTATAGGCAGGTCAATTGCAAATCCCTTTAAAATAACCTCAAAAATCACAACCGACTTATAGGCGGACTGACTTATAGGCGAGTATATACGGTATGTCTACAGTACTCATAATTAGTTTTTTTTAAAAAAAGGTACTTAAGAGATTTTATCCTGCTTATTTTATGCCACCCAATTCAGAGATTTTCTTTAACACTGCACATTAGATATGAAGATATCAGATATAGACCCATACTTACTTGTACATATTAATCATTATTTTTCACCTCAGTACTTACTTGTATAATGTCACACATCACAATTTCATGGCACCCTGTGGGATTTTTTTTTACCACAGTATTAATGGCAATTAATCTTAGTAATACCATTTTAGATTCTGTATCACTTTTAACATTCTGAGTATTTCCTATCTGTCTGTACATGTATATACAATTGTAATTCATTCTCTTTGAGCTCTTTTTAAAAAAAATTGTGTATTTTGTGTTTTGCTTTGTCAGAATTAATAGCATTATTTAGTCATGGTTAGATTAGACATTTTATTTTGATACTGGGAATTAGTCAAAGCAAGTTTTTAGAGGTTATATTAATCAGTGCAAAAATTTAAAAATATGTTGAAATTGAATCTTTATTGTTTTGATGAGACTGTTCCTTATAATTTTTTTTTTAAAAGACAGACTAAGAATATACTTTGTGTCAAGTATCTGTTTTTTAAACATGATTTTAAGTTATTGCTTTTGATGAAAGGTACATTTATACATTCAAGAGATCTTTGTTTGATGGTGTGTTTTTTTTTTTCATTTTAATAGACACAATTGAAAATTATATTCTTGCTGATGAAAATTAGAACAATTTTCATGTGCATTTGAAGATTTTGTTGTTTTTAAAGAAATTTGGATTAATTTTCCTTTTTTTGATAAAATATTTAACAGATTTTTTTCTGTAAAATAGAACATGATAGAAGAATTGGTAAATGTACATTCCGCACTTTGTTACATCATTGTACTGACAGAATTGTATAATGAGGGAATATCATGTATGACACATGTATGGAAGAAAATATTGTTACAATATTTCAAAAACGTTTTTGTTTGTTTGTTTCTTTTTTTTTCAAACTCTACACAGTTTTTGAACTTTAAAGAGAAAAAAGTATTATGTAAGCCTAACATTCAACCTGTAATATACCATGAACCAGAAACTACAACTGAAGGGGAAAGGGGTTTCTTTCTGTAAATACATGTACGTAATTGTCATCTTGAATGTCTCTGTGGTGCAGCGACATCGGTTTGACTCTTGCCATTATTAAACCTACAGTATAAAAGTGACAAAAATATTTGATAAAATCTATACGATGGCTTGGACATTTGAACGTCAAGTGTTTCGCTTTGTGTGCATGGTGTGTGTGCTATTCCTGTTGAAAGCATTCTTCTTGTGTGATTGGGGAATTCATTATGCATGATTGGATTAGTGCCTGAACCGGACCACAGAGTGGCATGTTAGCTGCAGAACTGTAGCATTATGGTTTTATATTTTAGTTATGGTCAAAGACTAGAATATAAAACCATAACGCTACAGTTCTGCAGCTAAGTGGCATGTTAGCAGCTATGACGTGAAAATGGAAGGATATCATTTATTAGGATTTTTGCGCGGGGGGGGGGGGGGTGTCGATTCTAACCCCATCTCTTCGTCATACCTGGTAGATGGATGACTTTTTAAAGGTTTATTAGGAAGAGAAGGGGATTATTCTCTTGAGTAATTTTTAATCTTATGACGACAAAGAACTTTTTTAATCCTCAAATTCTGAGTACATACATCATATGATCAGAATGAAAATTTTCATTAATTTCTTCCTTGTAATATCTCTGTCGCGTCGTGATAAAAAAGAGAGATAATAGGGTTTTTTATTGAGTTGAAGTTTGCGAGTTTTCATCTACATGTACTTATAAATGTGAAACATATTTAATGTTGAGGAAATTAGTTTTCGTCTTCGTACAACTTTTCTGTAAGGTGTTCTCTCTTCAAATCGTGCAGAATCTTAATTCCTCAATAAAACTTTATTAAATTAGCAGATTCGTATGTCTCAGTTGAGTTTTGTGTTAAAATGAACCATTTTTTGTATGTATACTTTTTTTATAGTAAATTTAAATTTGTGTTATTTTTATTTGTCCCCCGCTTTCACTGTTAATTTGGGTCGGTTTGTCCGTCCGTCTGTCTGTATAGCTGTCTGTGTGTAACACTTTCGTTTCCGGGTGATATATTGAGAAGCCTTTGAGCTTTTGCAATGAAATTTTATGCCACAACTCCGGCCTAAAGAAGACCCGTATTGAATTGGAGGTCAAGGTAATAAATTCATACATTCTGTGTTTAATACATTCTTTGTTGCATGGCCGTAGGAACGGGGGGGGGGGGGGCGTGCCCCCCCCCCCAATAATTTTTGCCGATATATAGATTACTATAGTAAACATTGATACTTTATGCTTGTGCCAACTGTCAACTGAAAAATGTATGGGTGTGCCCCCCCCCCCCCCCTAACTTAAATTGCTTCCTACGGGCCTGTGCTGGCGATATCTCAAGAAGCTTTTGAGTTTTTGCATTGAAAATTTATAGCATACCTCCCTATGGCCCCGCGCCTGCCCCTCTCAAAATGTCCCGACCCTTATCTCCTCGCAACAGAGTTGGAGGGGATATAGAAGCGCAAATGAGGGGGGGGGGTGTTAGTCCTCTGCGAAACGGAAGTGATGTAATTTGCACCGGGATCGAATGTTGCCTTGATATATGTATTTTTAATTTAATTTTAATCAGAATTTCTGGCCAGTGATTTTAAAGAAATATTAAGGGACAAATATTTGATTTCTGTTAGGTGTGTGCATGCATGTGTGTGGGATGGGGGGGGGGGGGGGGGCTGAACGATCTTGGAAATAAAAAGGAAAGATTAGTTTGTTTTTTATTTTAGTTTGGATAACCCCTGTTTTTGATTGTCAAACATTTTTCAGTGAAGGCAAAACTAAAGAAAATACCTCTTGTCATCCTAGAAAGAAATATATTTTGTCATGTGAAGGCATGATCTGACTCGACAATCACCCCCCCCCCCTTTTTCTAGAATCAAATAGCCATCCCCTGGAAAAATAATCTCTGTCTTCTATGACTTTTACGTGTCCTTAAAATTATAAGCTAAAAAGTCTTATAAACAATGATAAATATGAATTTCAAACATGTTTTTGGAAATTGAAATTATTTGTCTTTTGGATCATACATTCACACTCTGCGTTTGAAATCAGCTCAGGTGGATTGAAAATGAATTTCAAACTAGAATTTCAATCCAATGTTTTCTCGGACGTCCGTGCCGAATTGTACCCGCCCATTTCATTGTCTATCATTAGATGTTTTGACTGTAACAGATGGAAAAGACGTAAGCTGTATATTTTCAATTTTGCCAGTTAATGTTCCGCTGTCTTATATAAAGAGAATCTTCTGTACATTTTTTTAAAGAATAAGCCATCAAATCTATATATCCATGTTGGCATTTACAATGTGAAAATTTTGTATAAGAAAATCGTTATGTAGAGGAAGATAAAAAATAAAATTTACCCACCCACCTCAATTTTAAAGCAAATTAGGATGAAAATCTAACTTTAAATTTATGTGGCCTTAAGGCCAAAAGCTGATACTCCTTTCTCAAATGTGAAAAACCTATTTCTTAACAGTGGATCAAGCATGTTTTCGGGAGGATCCAAAGTCTTTTTTTTTAAATTTGCTTTAGTATGTACATTTAATAACTCTGCAAATTCCAGGGGTGGTGTAGGTGCCCCCCCCCCCTCCTCCTAGGTCCGCGCACGCTGTTCTTTTATCCTAAATCCTCCGAATTAGCTTGTTTTATAAGTGGAGTGTGAATCTTAAGCCAAAGACATTGTTTGAATTTAAATTATTAAATACCAGAAAGATCAAGCTAATTTGACATGAATTTCGTATCAAAGGCAAAATCAGGGTCAGTTCAGGAAGTAGAGCGCTTTGATTCAATAGAACTTTGCCATAGGGGTCCTGTTCAAGCTCGGGGCGTTAGGTGGGAAAAATTCAGCTAAACAAAAATTCGATTGTCCATTATATAGGGTAGCTGAAAATCTTAAGCAATGACTTAGACTTGAAAAATAATGCTGACGTTGAAAACCTGATAATCTGTTTAGAAATCGCGCACATTTCGAAGAAATCAAAGGGTAAAAGGTAAATAATAACGGTATATCTCCCTCAAAATTGGTTTTAAAAAATGGTAAAACCCATTCCTTTTTGTGCACAAGAATTGGTAAATGTAATTGTACATTGACTTTTCTGGGAAAAAAAATATAGTGTAAATATAACATTGCATAGAGTTGATACTCAAGCGATTATATTGTATTATGAAACACCAAAGCATCCAATACACATACAAAAAGTAAGGGGGTAATCTGATTAACATGCATCTGGTACAATAGAACAGATTTGCAGTATTGTCGGGGTTGAATTAAAAAGTTTCTACCATGACCATTTTTTTAATGCTGTGTTTTGCAATTTTTAAAATTTCCCACAATGGACTATTTTGTGACATTTAAAGTGCATGTGTCTTTTAATATGCTTAACTTTAATTTGTCCTCAAATTCTGTCTTCAGTGCTGTGGTGAACTTTTTAAATTTCATAATTCAAATTTGGGATAATCTCTCTCTCTCTCTCTCTATATATATATATTCGGAAAAATTTTATTATTTAATAATAATAATAAAAAAAATTCTTACAAGAAAAAAAAGTGTACTTCTTTGAACCTAAAAATGTAGTTCAAATTACTTGTCATATGTGAGGCATGATAAGGTAAGTTCATAGGAAGTAGGGTGCATCGATTTAATTATTTTATCGTTACTATATGTGCGATATTCGGAAGTTTAGGTGGAAAAGTAAATATACTAATTGAAAAAAAATGAATAGTAATAAAAAAATACTGTACGGTTAATTATAGACTAGTCATGTCTCTATATACAGTGTGGTTTAGACTTTAAAATTAATCTTAATGTTTGAAATATGTTCAACGTGACATTTTCCCCCTCGCTGTCCCTAAATGCTTAGCGTTGTATGTCATGCATGCTAGAACAGGTTGACATGACCTAACCTGAAATTATTACTTGTTTAAATGAAAAATTTTCTATGCTGCCATTGGTCTTATTTTTTTTATGATATAATTTGATTTTTTAGATAATGGACAAAACTTGTTTTTATTGTAATTAAGATTATTGATATTTAATCATTACAGTATAGTTTAATCAAACATTATTTCGTATTTTGTATGAAGTCTGTATTTTGGAAGTTCTTGTTATTTCTAAAAATTAAAAATGGCGTATATGTAGATATTTGTTTTGTATAATAGTTACTCTAAAAATCGATATTTGCATTTTATTTCTGGATCCGCCACCAATCGCAGGGAATTGTGGTCCAAAGAAAATATTCCATCACACATATTCCTCACTCGAGTTCGTGAACTTCTAGGTACCCTAAGGGGGAGAGAAGAACCATAGCAAATTTTTTCGTCAATGAATCATTATTTGTAATTTTATTATAGATTATTTCACTTTAACATATACAACTTTTTTTTGTTAGAAAATAAAATTTGGTGAAATTTTTATATTATATAATAACATGTATCTTACCCTTAAGGTACCCCTCGGTCGTCTTGTATTCATTCATTCATTAGAAAAACCATGTTGGTCTGACCTGCCAGTGAATCCTTTGCCGGCAAAGTCGAAGCAGGTAAGAAATAAGAAAAGTTATCTCTACATTTCTACATTTTATTTAAAATTTATTTACTGAGCATGAGACTTGAATTTTCCTGTTGTGTGCATTTGTTGGTTTAAAAATGTAATTGAAAAAAAAAAATACAAATAACTAAATTAAAAGTCGATATTTAAAAAGTTTTTTTTAATTTTCAAATGCAATTTACACAGTGTGAATATGCTTCTTGTGGTTTCTCTCTCTCTCTCTCTGAAAGGTTTATTGATCTATACTACTGCACAAATCATGTACAGTATCATTATGCGTACATGCATATATGAAAATGATACTATTCTGAAGATAAGAAGTGCGTTCAGTTGTGTTACCTATTATTGACCTCGCTCGTTTCTATGCATGTGTCCAGACAGTATGACCTTAATATTATTATCGAATATGTTGGGGGGGGGGTGTCTTTTTATTTTAGTTTCCAAATAAAATTAAAGTCAATGGAAAAGTACATTAGATTTTTTTTAATTTTGTTTTTTCAATCGCAAAATATTGGGACGATAACTTATCCTAAGAATTTAAAAATTTTATGGAAATGTAATTGTTGAGAGAACTGGTATTTGAATAACATTTTCTATCTGTACAGGGAAGTTAAGAGGGAGTGCTCTTTTCCGGGAGTTTAACAAGGATGATTTTTTTTTGTGTTACAATAAGTATGTTTCTTGCATGGCTTTTATAGTGCATATTGTGTATATGTGGGAGGGGATATAACAAATAAATATTGTCATTGCTATGCTGTAGCGGATCCAGCGGGGTGGGTGGTCCGGACCCATGGGATTTTTAATGTTAAAATTACATGGACTCCTTGTAAATTAGTTGAAAGAGTCATATATACCCCCATCTAGATATATTGATAGAATTTTTTCCTTACGCTGATCAAAAAAACTCTGTCGGGTAACCCAACCAAACCCCGTCCACCCCACCCCACTACATGATTTTTGTTCGAACAAGTGTTCCTTTTTGTTCCCCGCTTTCACGAAAGCGAGAGGACATTAATTCTCATCATCTGTCAGTCGGGCACACAAAAACTTTAACTTTGGTCATAACTTCTGAATGCTTTCATTTTTCACATGTCCATTACCTGTGACAAGACCTTTCCAAATATACCATGTTTTTTGACCCCGTGACCTTGAGGTTTGCCCAATATTCGCTTATGCTTACATAACTTCAGCCTTCATTTGTCATCGTATTCCACTGTTGAAGGACTCCACCGATATCCTTTCGACGACCGGATATTTTAAGGGGGTTGGGGGGGGGGGCGCAACAAAATTTTTCCACTGTATCAATAAATACTCTGCATCCAGAAATCCAGGAAACAAGCTACAGAGTGAGTATTGGGATTGATCCTATGGTGTGTAAAGGTCACGGAACAGTTGGGTGGGGCACCCAAACTAGAAGAATAAAATTAAACATCAAACTAAATGTACTGTACGTAGAGCAATCAGCGTAGTTTTCGCCGTAAACTTATTTGAACAGTCCCTGAAAATATGAGATGCATATTTTTTTTTCTCTCGGGCGGATCCAAGATTTCACGCAGTTAATTGAGGGTTGGGGCTTTAAAAAAGAGAGAACGGAGCAAATGAGAACGGAGTAATGAGAGCTTTTTTTTAAATGTACAGTTGAAGTGTCTGTTTGTCTGTACTATTAAGAAATAAAAAATAATTTAAGATTCATTTAAAAAATCTTCTAAAGAATGATTGGACCCGAAAAAATCTTAACTTATGTGGAGTGTAAATCCATGTTAGTTCAAATCAAAGCCGCAGGGTTAGGTAAAGGTCACACCAGAGGGGATCAAAGTTTTACGCAGTGTGAAGGATATAATCTTCAAGAGCAAAAGGGTTACAATTAGTAATTAATTAAATGACAGACAACACTATGTATATATATGTATTGTTAAAACAGTTTTCCTTAAATCATTGTCTTTGGGGCAAGAGTGTGGTCACAAAAAGAGGGGGGGGGGGTGCAAAGATTTATAATACTTGCAAAAATCTTTTTGAAATAGTAGATTCGAGTTGTTCAAATTATGACTTCTGGGTTAGGGCCACAATAGGGGTTGAAAGTTTTAAATATATGTAAAGTTTCATTAAGTAATGTGTAGGAAAAATCTTGAATAAAACCTACAGAACAGCAGGGCCGCAATTACAGAAATATATCATCAAAGCAACCGTAACAATTTGTAAAACTTACAGGGTGTTTCATAATATATGTTACATTTTGAATCTTCAATTTAACAAACACAAGAAAAAGATACAGAAAAGTGATTTTATCAATTTGATGCATGTATCCATAAGATTCATTATGTACAATTACCAACCAAAATATTGAACAGTGGGCGAAATCTCAAACATTAATGAAAATCAGCGAAATTTCTAAGTTAGGTCATTTTTGTTACGTTGAATTTCACAACGTCAAAAGCCCACATTAAATGTTCTTAATGATCTCCTCTTTTTCAACTACAAATGAAAGTTGCTTCTCGAAATTTGTATCACCTTGTCACTCATTTTTGCTTATACACTCCTCATTTGAAGGTTTATGTTTCTTTTGAGCTCATTCAGTATCCGCGGTCTAAGATTGTAGACCCTATTCCTAAGGAACCCCTACAGAAAAAGGCCTAAAAATTGAGATTGGCGAATGCAGAGATCAAACTCTTTTCTTGGGGTATTGCATTATTGAAAATTTTTGTACGCTGATAACTTCATATCATATTTCAAAGTTCAATATATGCTGGAAATGCTGATATTGCCATCATCAATTTTCTGAAAACATCCATCTGAGACTTTTCTCAGGAGTTTGCTAAACTATCTAAGAGTCTCTACTTCACCAATTAAATCTTCGGTTCTTTCAGGAGTACCGTGTCATTTATCGCATAATGCTTGTCCCCGTCCTTTAACCTTGTTACTAGCCTTCTGATAAGCATCCTCAAATCTTCTATTCTTTTGGAATATTTCCTTTTATCAACATCTGAATGAATGAATATTGGCGACATGTATTGAAAAAAAAGCTTTACAATTCAGCAATATGTTGATAAGTTTAGTCCATTTTGAAAAATATTCAAATTATGACATCGGTGTTTATGTCACAATTAATCATTGTAATACCATGAATTCCTTGACTTTTTCACATGGAACAAAAATGCAGGATTTGTTGTTTAAAATGGTATATAGTTTGTAATAGATGTGTAATAGGTAAGAAAAATAATTAGATTTAAAAATGTAACATATATTATGAAACACCCTGTACATCAAGCCTAGATATACTGTAAATTAAAATCACTGAAATCATGGGTTTTTCTTTAGAGGTGGCAATAAGAGGTTACATTTATCTACATATATACATCATTTGCTAGGAAGATAATGTTGATTTTGTTGAACATAGTGTGTCCAATCTGTATTTGTTTAAAAATGCATTGTTATAATCAATGAAAGTTTACTCTTTCAGTAAGGGGATTCAGAAATACAACTCAGTTGACTAATGATTTAGTTTTTATGTAGCACATAGTGTTTCATATATTTTCCATTATCAGTGCTATCTAGGTGAGACAGAAGATTCTACCATGGCTTGCGAAAAGAAAAGAGTAGCTGTAATCGGTACAGGTCCTGCTGGCCTTTGCACACTCAAACACCTGTCATTAAGTTCAGAAGAATATGACATTGTGGCCTTTGAAAGGAACTTTTGGCCTGGGGGATTATGGGTATACACTGATATGACTGGCAAGGATGAATATGGGGTACCCATTCACTCAGCAATGTACAAGAAACTCAAGTAAGTCAACCAAAATGTCTCAAGTAAGACAACCAAAATGTCTCAAGTAAGTCAACCAAAAGGTCTCAAGTAAGTCAACCAAAATGTCTTAAGTAAGTCAACCAAAATGTCTTGAATATATCTTTTTAAAAGATTTACTTGAGGGATAAGATATGATATGGCAAGATATGGTTGAACTTTGATATTTCAAATACCATGGATATGCCAAAGTGATTTTGAAGTCCCAACTGCTTACTCCTTAAGTATTTTAACTTGGATATCTTGAATCCTTAGATATCTCAAAATATTTTCTCTGTGCGACCAAGTTTGAGATAATGAGGTCTGACTGTATTTGCAACATTTGCCTATATATGTACTAACTGTTTTAACATACAGTCAAACCTCGTTATCTCGAACTTGATGAGACCAAGAAAAAACTTAGAGATATCTGAGGATTTGAGATATCAGGGGTAAAATACTTAAAGAATAAGTGGTTGGGACTTCCATATAACTTTGAAATACTCATGGTATTCGAGATATCAGTGTCCGAGTCATCAAAGTTCAACTGTACTACATTTAAAAGTAAAGTATAAACACTTGACTTGAAAATACAAGAAAAACAACACTTTTGATGATAATAATTTGGCAGAGTCAATAAAATATAAAGCTAAGAACTGCCATCTTATTTCTACTTTTAGGACCAATTTACCCAAAGAACTTCAAGAGTTTCCAGGATTCCCCTACCCCAAAGAGTGGAATTCCTATATATCCAGGCAGCAGTGTCTCCAATACTTGAATGAATTCATCGACCACTTTGACATCCGAAAATACATAAAGGTAAAGAATGCACATAATCAGTTAATAGTTCTGTAGACAGAAATTAACACTGAAATAGGTAAGACTTAGACACCCAAGTTGGAAAGGTTTAGGGTACGTGGTCCTTAAAGAGGTGTTCACCTTGTGTTGGCATTTGGGTTTCATTCATCACTACATGAATGTTTTGGGAGATAGTGTATGAAAAGCAATAGTAAGTTGTTGTGTGTAGAGATATGGAAGAACATTGTTTATGAGGATTTTGTTGTTTTTGTCTTTGCTGGGGTAGACTGGATGCTGAATGTTGGGTTTGTTGTCATTGGAAAAATAACGGTTTTGTTGTCAAATGGTGGACTGGAAGAAATTAGATGGTTGTCATTTTCATATTCAGAACATCAAATGTACTAATTGTTAATGATAACTTAATAGGAATTTGGTACAGTTGCTACTGTTAGCTTCATAGAGGGACAAATGCTAACACTGGAGCTTTTTATATTTATTTGTGCACTTTGTAGTTATTTGAAAAAGGGCATTAATCAATGACTGTCAAGTTTTACATAGGTTGCATTTTTCTGGGTTTTTGCTCAATTTTTACATTCATGTTCTTGATGCCAGTGTAGTTAAGGTTTTTAAAAAAGGGACTAATATTGCTTATTGTGATACTTATTAACGTAATAAATTTTGAATTATGATTTTTTTTTTTTTTTTTTTTTTTTGCAAAATATGTGTAAAGACTAAAGAGACAAGTTTATTTCATATTTTATCAGGTAATTTTTTTTATTTCATATCATTGAACTGTTACAATCAGTTCATTATCATGTATATGTAGACCTTTTCAATCTCAAGCCTTGCCAAAGAAACTATAATTATATACTTTATTAGAAAATTGATTTAGGATATAAATCATATATCTTTATAAAATAGCAAACAAACAAAAATCTATGCAAATATAATCTTCGCATTAGGCCATTTGGTTGACAGGATTGGTACTTCCCCATTTCGCCCCCTTTCGCCATGCAGTTAATGACCTTCAATTTCCCCATTTCGCCTTTTAGCACAACAAACTTGGTTCCTTCACCATTTCGCCAAACCCTTTTGACCTTCTGAACTGGCAACGACAAGAGTTCAGCATACAGACTTCTTGTTTAAGCTATAAAATGATGCACTAAAAAACCCTAAAAATTTCTCCTTTCAGGAATTATTGCGGATCAAAAACTTTTTTTTTATTTTAAGATATCAAAATTTAAAAAAAAAAAAACAAAAAAAACAACAACAAAAAACAAAAAAAAAACTCAGATTATGCTTTTATTGAACTTGTGTAAGATCACAATGGTTGAATTTTATTAATAAGAAATTGGAACTTTTGTACATTATGGCAGTTCAGAAGCTACAGTGTAACATGGTTATCACAACCCCAGGTCCTTTCTTGAACCCGGAAAAGGTCTAGATCTTGCCCACACTGTGGGCTGATAATCATGTATTAGAGATTTGTTATTCAGACAAATACGCTCGTCCGAGAAGTCAGTCCGATCAGCTCGACTGACAAAGTGCAATGGAGCGTGAAATACTCTGATATACGTAAACAAGATGCGTCCACTGAGGAGATCTTTGATGCTGTTTTTGTCTGTAATGGGTATGTATAACCGCCCATTCATCATGATTGCAAATGTTTGAACTTACACATACAGTGTTAAGATATTTTGATATCAGGGTTCTCACTTCTTATTTATTTATTTATTTATTTTTTGTGTGTGTGGCAGATGCCAATATTGTGAAATTTTGTACAAATTTTCAATATGACATTTCATTTAGTAGAAACCATTTATTGAAGAGATGAACTATCTGAAGGTTTCATTTCATACGTACTCGAAATATAAAAGACTGATGAAGTTTCAATGTTAAATGGACTATATTTTCAATTTATCTGAAAACATTGTAATTGAGAAAAACCACATCTACAATTTGTAAAAAACAGAATTTTTTCATAATTGGCATGGGACCAGAAAATTGGCTACATTTTGACAAAACTAAAAGCCCCGCAGAACATGCAATATTTAGGGCCTGCATATACCATATTCAAGTATTATAAAGATTCATACTGATGAACAAATTGTTACTTATATTGATATCCCCATTTAATAAACTCTGAAATTGTAAAACTTCATGAAACTCATGTACATTTTGCAATCAGCACTTGGAATGGGCGGTTTGTATGTAACACTGTGTTGTGAGAAAGAGACTTTTTTTTTTCATTTTAAATCTAGCTATTTTCTGTTGAGCCTCACTTTGCACAAAAAATATGAAGTCCTTTTTCAAGTACATTAATTTTGTCCAAGTGAAATCTTTTCTTAGATGCTCAACTGAAAATGTAAAATTTAATTGTTACAGGATAATCTTTAAACATATGACAGATCAAAGGAAAGATATATTTCTTTGTTTAATACCAAAAGTGATTTCATCTTCAAACAAGTATTCAAAAAAAACAAAAAACAAAAAAAAAAAAAACATTCAAATTTCAAAGTTTTCACTTTCAAACTTTCAAAGAGTTATACTCCAGTACACTTTGAACAATTTTACAATTTACAATTTTAACGACTTCAAATCTCAAAGAAATATATGTTTTGTTATCTGATATTTCTTTAATGTATCTGCAATATATTTTGAATTGCTATGACTTCTGATAACTGTTGAATTTTTTTAACATTTAGATATATAATTTGTAGGCATGACTCCAAGGCAAACATTCCTACTGATATTGCTGACATGGACAAGTTCTGTGGAAAAATTTTACACAGCAGGGATTACCGCCATGTGGAAACATTTGCCAATCAGAAAGTGGCCATTGTTGGCATGCACTACTCTGGGGAAGACATCGCCATTCAGGTCTCAACAAAAGCAAAAAGGGTATATGAGTTTTAAGGATTTTACCAAAATGTCTTGAATCCTATCTAATGAAACAATAAAAAATTTAATATCAAAACTGGAAAACAGTTTTCAAAAGTTTTCTTAGTCAAGCAGATTAATGTAAAGGTCTAATGATAATGAAAGTAAAGTACAGCTGATATTTGGTATCTCAACCTTTGATATATCAAGTACCATCAGGATACCTCGAAGTGAGTTGGAAGTTCCAACCACTTTTTTCTATAGGTATTTTAACCTCTCTGTCTCAAGTCCTTGGATATTTCTAAGTTTTTATTTGGCTCTCATCCAGTTTGAGATAATGAGGTTTGACTGTCAAAATAAAATAAGTAATGCAATGCCTGAAATAATCATTTGTAGGTTTACGCAGTCCACAGAAGAAAAACAATGTCTCCATCGTTCCCAGATGACATCATTCAAAAGCCACCCATTGTACGCATGACAGAAACGACAGTTGTGTTCTCCGATGGAACTGAAGCTGAAGTGGATTCCGTCATTTTCTGCACTGGATACAAATACAGCTTTCCATTTCTACAGGAAGGTCTAATCAGTACAAAGAATGAGAGGGTCACTCCACTCTATAAACATATGGTTCACATTGAGTACCCAAGTCTCATTTTTGTGGGAATTCCAAAGCAATGGAATCATTTTCCACAGATCCACAATCAGTCCAGAGTTGCTGTTGCAGTTTTGGAGGGCATAGCACCACTTCCATCAAAAGAGGAAATGAGATCTGAGAGTGATCAAGAATATCAGGATCTTCTGGATGCAGGAAAACCAGTTACCTACTACCATTTCTTTGGAGATGAAGATCGCCAGTGGAGATTTAACAAAGAACTCGCAGACTGGGCTGGAATTGAGCCCCTTCCACCAGTCATGCAGAAGCTTAATGACTATGTGATGCTGGAAAGGTTTAACAACCTGCTAGGCTTTAACAAGCTTAATTATGAAGTCACCGATAGTGAAAACTTCAAAGTTCTAAACAAGTAACACCTAATTTCCATGGTTAGCATAAAATCATCGAACTTTTTCATTTTTTTTTTTTGAACTTACAAATTTATCAAAATAGATCTTACCTACACAAACTTTGATAATGCCTGTTATAAAACAAATAGATAACATTTTGTGTTGTTCTATGCATTTGTTTGTTGAATAAAAAACAACATTCCTGAAGTGAATCTTGAATCATGCATAGGCCTTGCCTTTTAAAAAACGTGTTTTCTGAGTCAAAGTTTGATCAATGTTTGAACATCTTTTAATGTGTTAATTACTTTCCACATCTGTGAGCAAAGAAAATTCAAGTTTTTCTTTGAAAAAAAAAACTTTTAAAAGGTTTTTTTTGTCAAGTATTGTAATTAAGAATTATATATATTTAACAGGATATGATTTTTTTACCCAGTGATATACTTTGCTGCCAAGCTTGACTGAATTTGTAAAGTGGTTTTGCTTGCGTACCTATATAGTTTTGTAAACATGTGTTTATCGTCACTGATGGAAATGTACATTGTATAACTAAAGGGAAACATGAAACACGCACTATGAAAAAAAAAATCCCCAAGTCTAAAAGCTAAGTTTTAATGATACCTAATGTCATATAAATGTGCAAACTCAAAGTACCAGAAGTCCCAATATATATTGTTGCTTTTAATCTCTGTGACTATATGAAAGAATGAGAGCGCACTTGATTTGGATTCGGCAGGAATCGGCGCGCATTTGAAAAGAGAAATTTTCATTGATACATTATACTTTAGCATTTTATTGATGTATCGCGATTCCGTGATTTTCTCAAAATTTTAAAATAAAGTCAAATTTTGATAAAAATTTTGATTCTGATGCACCGAAAGCAAAACCAATTCTTCCCGTCCATTGAAAGGACAGAGACCATGTTTAACAACAAAAACACCTCTTTATATCTATTTCTAAAGATACCTTATTACTAGTATCTTATGTTTTCCAATTACGTAAAGTGATACTATGATGCAGATAGAAGACTTAAATATTACATTTTTTTTTTTGACAAAATAATTCAATGTAATGTAAATTTTCGTAAAGTGTTATCCTCTGTAATATAATACTAGCACAGAAGAGCCTTGAACCACAATTCTTATCTGAATAACATTGGGCACGCTGTTTTTGAAAAGGAATTTTCTAGATGTTTTTCGTCCTCTTTGTGCCCACGAAAATTTTTGTTCCCTTATTATGGCCCCTCTAAGTTTCAAGGGGTCGTAGTTATTTCTTCCTCTTTGTGCCCATGAAAAAATTTGACCCCATATTGTGACCCATTCCTAGTTTCAAGGGATCGTGACTATAACCAAACTTGAATCCACACACAATCATGACTATTGGGATGCTTCAGTATCAATATGACTAGGGCATAACCTTGCTGTTCTGGGGTCCATTTTACAAAAGAACGTGTGACTAAGACCAAAATATAATTTCTGAGTAGCTATCATCTCTACAATAATTTTTGGTATTAGTCGTAAATTCCCTGAAGTAAAAGTATTTTTCTGTATACATGTATGCATGCATTACGTAAAATAAAACTAAAATTTAATACCCGATTTTAGCTCCATGTTAAAAATTTTGATAAAAATTAAATCCACACAACTTAGTGGTGTGGCCCTGCTACTTTTGAAATATTTTTCTAAATAAGGAGATGAGCGAACATAGCGTGCAGAAAGCCTATAGCTTCAGATATATAAAAATCATGTTCAATTTGTGAATTCAGTTTCTAGAGTAAAGTTCTCATTATTGAAATTTATGAAATTTTGATAAACAAAACTTTTCTGAGGAAAATTTTCTCGGCAAAATTTATTCTTTTATTAAAAAGTGAGGTATTCGTGGGGTTCGAACCCTAGCAATAAAAATCCTGAGTATCATTTTCTTTTTAGACTAGCAACCACTAGACTACACAAGTGGCATTAAAATCATGTTTGTGAGTATATTTTTAAGGTATCGTGGGTCTTTGCTCCATATTTTTGAAAACCAAAAAATGTATTTTTTTTCATGCAAAATTCGAGGATCTACTTTCAAACAAGAGGCACAAGGGCCTTAACGGTCACCTGAGTAAAATACAACAATTTAGAGAATCCATAAACTGATAAATGAAGCTTTGTTGCCCAAAAGTAAGAAAAATAGTATGATTAGCATCAACAAAATAATTGGTCTATTATCTATCTGCCCCCCTCCCCCCATTTATCACTATTACCATGTAGACTATTAACAAAATGTCTATTTTTTAACCCAATATTATTACTTCTCAAATTGGCCTCTCTTGGCCTTTGAAGAACGTTTAGAAAGATAAGTTATTTTTGTCTCATTTTTATTAATCTATTACTTTCAAGTCATTAAAACTATGAAAGTACGTTTTGTATTATACAATAAATATTCTTGCATAATTCTCTTATTTTATTAAGCTTTCAAATACATTATTTATATTGATTAATTATCAAAGATGAATGGCAAAGGGGAATAACTTTGCTCAGCAGAATACAAGTTAATAAGGTCCTGGCCAGGACCAGAACACTTGACTAAATGGTCCAGGTGTTCAAAATTCTGGTAAAAATACCCTTGCATATTAAAACGTTTACTCTGTTTGCCTTGAACATCCCCAGAAGCATAGAAGATTTTCAAAGAAATGCATTTTCACTATATTATCAAATAAATGAAAGAAAAAGTGAGCAAGCTCACATACCCCATTCTCCCTCAAAACTCGACAATGCAACACGTAATGAATGGCACAGTGCATTTTAAATACACAGTATAATTCAAAAAGGGGCATTACTTGCAAAAAATCATCACATCAAAACTTCTTGCATATAAGGACATTCAAATCTTTGTATGTTACATATTTAATTGGGCTGAAGTTTCTAGATAAATAATGGAATCAAAATTTCTTGGTAATATACAAATCTATACATTATGTCTAAAATATCTACAAAGTTTCAGGAAATTCAGTGCAGGAGTTATGTTGACAAACTGTTATTTAAATTCCTCAGTGATTTCGATTTGTTAATGAATGTAAGTCCATGTCCAACACATGACAATTTACACATTTAAATAATTGATGGAAACAAAATGATGATGTAGTCATATGAATTTGTTTATATACTGTACTTATGAAATTATTTAAGGCAAAGCACCAATTTGAAAGGGGGGGGGGGGGGGGGGTAACTATCCAAGACTTTCTGTGTGTGTGTGTGTTAAATCATTAATATTTTGATCTCAAAATCAATTGGGGTCTTTTAAGGTCATAAAATATTTCACATAAAATTTCATTACAAAAGCTGATTCCAGTGGATTTCCTTATTACCTATCTGGAAAGTTTCTTCAATAATAGGCATAACTCTTAGGGCAAAAATAATGGAATCGGAATTTCCTGGTAATATGCACATCTGCACATTGTGTCCTAAATATCTGCAAAGTTTGACCAAATTCTGTGCAGAGGTTTAACTGACAAACTGTTCATCTCTTTATTCAAGATATGGCCAAAAATCTAAGTTGAAAAGTGCCGAAATTCCCAGAAAAAATAAATGAATCGGAATTTCCTGGTAATATGCACATATACACATTGTGTTCTAAATATCTGCAAAGTTTGACCAAATTCTGTGCAGCGGTGTATGAGAAGTTGCGCTGACAAAAAATTACAGGACTGACGGACGGGCTGACTGACGGACGGACGGACGGGTCAAAAACATTATACCCCCCGCAATTTGTTGCATGGGGTATAATAAAGCCAAATCCTTACACCAGAACATTTGACCCACTGGCCATGAACTCACAATTCTGGAAGAAGCACCCTTGCTCATCAAAACTATAAACTTGTTTCTTTACTTTATAACCAGTAGTAGAAAAAATATTTTGAAAGAAATTATGCATTTTCACTATATAATCAATAGAACCCCCCCCCCTTTCACCAGAACCCCTGACCAAGGGGCCATGAATTTCACAATTTTGGAAGAGGCATTCTTCCTTATCATAACAATGTACTTCCTTTGTTTGAAAAATACCCAGGAGAAGAGAAAAAAATTTTGAAAGATTTATGCCTTTTCCCTATATAATCAATAGAGCCCCGCCCTAACACCAGAACCCCTGACCCAGGGGCCAAGAAATTCACAATTTCTGAAAAGGCAGCCATGCTCACCACAACTATGTTCTTAGTTAATTTATTTAATACCCAGGAACAAAAAAAAAGATTTTCAAAGAATTAATGCAATTCTACTAAATAATCAATAGAGCCCCGCCCTAACATCTGAGCCTCTGACCCAGGGGTCATGAAATTCAGAAATTTGGAAGAGGCAACCATGCTCATCATAACCATGTATATAGTTAGTTTATTTAATACCCAGGAGCAGAGAAGAAGATTTTCAAAGAATTAATGCATTTTCACTATATAATCAATAGAGCCCCACCCTAACACCAGAACCCCTGACCCTGGGGCCATGAAATTCACAATTTTGAAAGAGGCACTCTTGCTCATCATAACTATGTACTAAGTTAGTTTATTTAATACCCAAGAGCAGAGAAGAAGATTTTCAAAGAATTAATGCATTTTCACTATATAATCAATAGAGCCCCGCCCTAACACCAGAACCCCTGACCCTGGGGCCATGAATTTCACAATTTTAGAAGAGGTACTCTTACTCTTCATAACTATGTACTTAGTTTGTTTATTTATTACCCAGGAGTAAAAAAGAAGATTTTTAAAGAAATAATGCACGTTCACTATATGATCTATATATCCCCACCCTAGCACCAGAACCCCTGCCCCTGGGGCCATGAATTTCACAATTTTGGTAGAGGGCTCAATGCTTATTACAATCATGCCAACAGTTTGACTGCTTGATGTCCAGGGGTAAAGAAGAAGATTTTTAAAGATTGCATTAATTTTGGTGGTTTTAGCCCCACTCCTCAGGCCCCAGGGGGGCAGGGACCATGAAATTCAAAATTTTTGTTCCCCTTCACCCATAGATGCTATATGCCAAATTTGGTTGAAATTGGTTCAGCGGTTTCAGAGAAGAGGCCAAAAATGTTCAAATGTTAACACACGACGCACACCGCACGACGACAGACGAAAACAGATAGCAATAGGTCACCTGAGTGACTCCGGTGACCTAAAAATGGAGCGAAAACCCACTCATATCGAAAAATTGTGTTTTAGTATCAGAAAATGATCCTTTTTGTCCTCTTAAGTGTATTATTCCTTCAAGACCAACACGCTAACCACCACGCTACACAGCTCTTGTGGAACTGTGGCATTTAATTAAATCATGTTTGTGATATGACCCTTGACTAAATGGATTTAAGTATTTCTCGGAAAGATGCGAATGTTGTTGTTGACCAAAAAATGTATATTTTTTCGCAAACGTTGAGGATAAACTTTAAAAAATATGGAGCGAAGACCCACTCATATCGAAAAATTGTGTTTTAGTATGAGAAAATGATCCTTTTGCCCTCTTTAGTGTGTGTGTGCTATTTCATAGGCAAATAATTTCAATCTTAGTGAGATTTTTTTTGCAAATTGTGGAGACTTTACATAAAGTATACTTTAATTTTAGATGAAATATCAAAGAAAATTTTGTTATAGTCGAGATTTAATTTTTCACCTTCATGTTTGTTGCACTATAAGCATTGCGCTCGCCTTGTTCGCCCATCTCTTTCAGTATTAAATCAAAGGTCTAACAATTGGTATGAAAAACGTCAACCAAAATACGACCCAGTGTTAGGTTACATTTGCTAACAAGGTCATAATAACGACCATAGAATTTACGAAATGCTGACTATAGACGAGGATGTTGAAATCCCTGTAACATCAACTTATCTGTCAGTAGCCTGTCTCGGTTTAAAAATTGATCGTAAATACAGCATGCTCTTGAGTATCGAATAAGTTGGGAGAAGTAAACCTCAGATGCAGGTGATAGCGGAATATTACTATATAAATAAGGAAAGTTGACGATGGAAAAGCTGAAGTCATCTCGTTTGACATACAATTTAATTGTAGTTGTCTATAGTCAGTAAAACTCCAAAATATGAAACAGACGTGGCATACTCTGCAGTGTTCACTGGGGTCGAGTCAACATATGAATGCAAATAACTATAAAACGTCGTCAATATATCTGAATGTGGAGTTGAAGACAAAAGCAAACTGTTTTTTCTTCTCAGTAAGAGTTTTTGAATAAATTCTTCATAGGAATATAAAAACAGGTCGGCCAATAAAAGAGCACAATTAGTTCCCATAGCAATTCCAGCAGTTTGTTGGAAGGCATGGTCCTCAAAGACTACATAGATGGTGTCAATGAGGAATTCCAGCATTCTTTTAAAATCAATATCAAAGTACTTTTGTGTAGAGTCAGAGTGATTTTTAACAAAGTTTCCGAGTTCCGTTTTTATGGAAGAAGAAGTTGTGTATGATATCAAAAAGTCTAATTTTTGATTTAACATGAGGAATGGTTGTATAAAGTGTAGAAAACCCGTACGTTTTGATGTTACCGACTTTTGAAAAAAAAAAGATTTTTACATTTTCAAAGAATTCTTTGGCGTTTTGGAGAATCCACATCTCATTTACACCACTTCCAGATTATGCTGTAGCATACGTCTGAAGTTTCTCCTTTACAGCATGTAATTAATATATTTTTGTGAGGAGTAAAGATAGGGGCTTGGAATAGCATTTATATCTTTGAATGCATGTTAGGTTAAACAATAAAATGCTTTCTTTGGTTGTTAGTACGGGAATTAATGTCGCAGCCGTTGCAGAAAAAATACATAACCTGAGTAATTCCCCTACTAATTACATGTACCAGAGAAAGACATTTTAGTGGCTTGCTAAGTGTTGTTTATGGACTGATTAATGGCAATGGATTTTATAAGAAATAAAGGAAATAATATTCAGTGGATGTAAATATATTTTTATAAAGCTTAGGAATCCAGTATAGGTAGGGTAGATCGAAGTCTCCTTGGTTGAAAGAATTAAATACTGAAATGTGATTTCGAAGAATTTCATTCTTAGAAAGTGAACTCTGTGCATAAGTTGGATTTCCAGACGTTGAATTAAAACTAAGTTTTCTATAATATATTTATAATAATGAGCCTTACAAACAAATACGATATTGTTACAAGCCTTGTCTGCTGGAACCATCACATATTGTTTGTGTTGTCTCTTTAATTCTTTTATTACCTCAGATTTAGTGAAAATGGAAGGATAAATAGTTCTCATATTGCCTTGAATTTTCTAACTCGACAATATATTTCTAAAACACAACTGTTGCATCCCAACTTTTCAATTATAAACAAACTGAACTGTACCTATAAATTGATCATCTAAAACAAAATCCTCCAAAGTGCTCTTGTTCTACTTCTTTCAACTATTGTCCTGTTGAACACATCATCACATTCAAGAAGTGGTTGTATATTTGTTGATTCTCAAAAGCTACAAATAGCTTTAAAGCAATTTAAAATAATATTTTTTTTTCAAAATCAGTAGCATCACAAAGTGTGACTTCAACGCATAGACAACTCCTTCTTCGCCTCTTCAATGAAAAAAATGGAACTCGGAAATTTTCATATCTTGTGATTGGTCATTTACAAGATTGCTTTCTGAAAAATAATTCTGATTCTGCACGCAGGAACTCTGAAGTTGATATATCTGACGCTGGAGTCCCTCATTAACAGTATATATGTACATGTAGCATTGTTTGCTTGAATGTTTGTGTTACATATTCATTGAATGTTGCTATTATAATCCAATTTATCTGAAGTCGATAAAAGACACTAAATACAAGACAAAATTCTGTTTCTTGTAGTAATTTTCCTTTTCAAGATTTTTTCTAGATGATGTAGTTAAGTGAAAATATGATGTAGTTAAGTGAAAATATATCAAAATGACTAATTTTTGCGTTTTGTGATTGCGGATTTTGATATTCTAATTTCTGCATTCAAATTCTATACGCATTCAGTCAGCTTTACAGGAGGTGTCCTTTACACCAATAACAGTGCACAAAATTGATTACATTCGTTATTGACCCACAAGCCAATGCTTTAATTACTGTTGTGTTGATGAAGAAAAAGCCAATATACAATGGGGGTTTTTTCTGCACGATTCATATCTACACCTTTGGTGAGTGATCATAGAAGACAACCTTTAAAGCAGTGCACTGATGTCCAATCTTTCTTGTTAAACTACGGGTCGTGTAACTTGAGTAATTCCGTCAGGCATGACAGGTCAAATTGAACTAGAAAGCACACGGGTATATGTACACAGTATTGCATAATGGGTGTTGGTGAATCGAGAAAGAAAACTGAACAGACATGCAAGGCTTTTCTTTGGATTTATTAAATGTTGTTGGATATTTGTTTCTTACGATATTTGTAGATCATGGTGCCACATTGAAGCATTTTGAAAACTTTGATCGAGGTATGTATTCTTAATTAGCACAGAAACAACTAATGAACTTTAAACATGGACAAATAATATTATTGAGACTTCGGTCCAGAGATTGGAAATTGGTTATTTTGGAATTTAAGTACCAATACCGTTTATTAGAAACTCGTATATTGCTTTTATATGAAGGTTTTCACCGTAAAATATTGAGGAAATGAAAACTTCCACACCCGTTTATTATTTATAAATATTGAGTAATTCGATAGCCAGCTTGAGAGATATAGCTTTATTGTTATATCTGCACACTTTCAGTTATACATTGCTCCCTTGAGGTTCTGGTAAATTGCCTGAGAATTTGAAAGGAGTGTTGCTCTAAATCGAATAACTTTTAAAAATGCTGCTGTACACGAGAAGAAAAAAAAACAATCTAAGCCTCCAACCACATACTGAACATTGCTACAAAAGGTTCTTTTAAAAGGTGATAAGGAAAAAAAGACGAACATTTGGGATCTCATTGAATTCTAAAAATTTCCAATTAAGAACCCTCTATACACTGCACACTAAAGAGTTCTGATTCTGTGGTATTTTTATGCCGTTAGAGTAACCTGCCCTCCATCTAAAATAAAATAAATTGAAATCAAAAGTGCATTACTCAGTTTACACAATCAATTCAAGCATTCTCAACATCTTAATCAAGATAAATAGATTGAACACTTAATTTGCATGTATTTTATTTCATTTAAGTAAACAACACTGATTTCTATTCATCAGTATTTCATCGTCTTTGAACATTTTTCCTGGGGGTAATGGCAAGGTACTCTTTGTCGAAAATTAAATATATAAGCTCAATATATAGACCTTTGTACAATGTAATTTTCTCAGTGTCAAAAAAAATTCCTGTAGTATATAGAGGGTCCTGAACACAAAAATTACACATTGTGATTTTAAAACGTATAACCTTTTAAAAGGCATGATCTAATGTAAAAAAAAAAAAAAAAAAAAAGTACCCAATGGAAAGACGTGACCCACAATCACGCATCCAGTCATATAAGGGTTCAAATTTCAATTGGAATAGAAAGAGACTTCTTCTTTTATGGCGTTTACCGTCTTATAATTGTCGTAGAGGTACGAAAGAAACTGGATATGTTGAGAAATTTGGCTCTTTAAAATAGAGAATAACCATCAAACACTGACATTAGTGGAGTAAAAAATAAAGATTTCGGCAAACCAGTTTTTGTCAAACAATAAAATTTATATTTCAAGTGCATTAGTAAGCATCTTTGACGTCTACACCTAAACTGACTTTTTTTTTAAATACTTTGATATATTAATTAGTATGTCTAACTTTGGATGTAAATTAAAATGAAATTGTTTAACCATTTCGTAAGGAGGCTCTATACAAATATGACAGTTTAATGCTTTTACAATAAATTATACATTTAACCAATGCCGATCTTTGTTAGTTAAACAGTATCTTAGTTCCATTAATAGTACATTTAACACTTGTTTAGCACTTGTTATCCATGATCTGCAAACAATCCCCACTTGTTTTGACTTTTAGAGCAAGGCTTCAAAAATATTTTTGCAGATTTGACATACGGAAAAGTACATCACCTGTTTCCCACGTCGAGATGGAGACCAGGGACAAACGGATCACCTTACAAACCCAGTGTGCTTGTAGAGGTTGAAGGTCGTCCGCTGAGACTGTCCTTAACCTTTAATTCACGTCTATCTGGGTGTGTCAGGGTCTACCCTCAAAGAGAAGATATCTGTAACAAAGAGAAGGAAGTAAGTTGCCTTATTTTAACGAAGAGCCCAAAAAAGTGCATTTATAAAACAGTGAATTTGATGCTAATTTTCAATTTTAGAAATGATATTTCAGGACAATTATTTACATTCAGTGTAATTTTTTTTATGAAAATCATTGGAAATCTACAACATGCAATTCTCTATAACACACACGAAACCCACTAGGAACACCTAAATTGTACACACAAGTTCTAAAAGACTCTAAATGTATAATGATGATTCATGAAATTAACATTTATGAAGAGAAAAATTCAAGTGAATGTAAATATAAGCATTGAAGTCTCATTTGGGATGTCGTCGGTCGTATAACAGCACCTGTCCGTGCTGACAAAATCATACCGCGCGGGCACGGCCAGGTGCTGTTATAAGACCAACGACATCCAAAAATAAGAATTCAATGCTTAATTAATTACAACTTACGAATGAAAATTGAAGTTTTAACTATTTTGAGAAGTTTTTCTTAATCTAAATACATGTTGACAGGTTGAATTATATCAGGATCCACTTCATGGGGCGTCAGTAGAGATCGAGACCTCTGCAGCGGGGCTATACAGTTTGGTATGATTCTCTTATATTCTACTCTACGATAAGCTGATATACAGTCAAACCTCTCGAACTCAATGGGACCGAGAAAAACCTCAATATCCAAGGATACGAGATACCCAGGGTAAAATACTAAAAGAATAAAGGGTTCAGACTTCCAAATCACTTCGACATATCCATGGTATTCGAGATATCAGTGTTCGAGATGCCGAAGTTCAACTGTATATCTCATGACTGTGGTAAAGACTATTGTACGTACATGTGCGATATAGCAGAATATTTTTGTTTCTTTTCTTCCCTTAAGATACGAAATAAAGGATTTCCCTTCCTCAATTAGAAAACTCAATTTATCTAACGACTGTGAAAGAGACTACCTATGCATACTATAAAATAAAGGAATTTAAGTCTTTCCTCATTCGAAACTTTTTTCTATAAATATCAGATTTTATATTTAATAAACCATTAAAAAAAAATAAAACAATCGAAATCCCTGCGAATCCATTTCAGCAAAAGAATGAAAGGGTGATCACAATTTTTAAAAATTAAAATACTACAACTGTTGTAGCTATGAAAGCAATTTCATAATTTTCAGTCTGGAACTTTTACTTTTGGTCACCACCATTATTATATCAAGACAGTCTCCAATATCAAGTCCTTTCATCAAGTTTCAAAAGTGCCATTCCTGATTTCAAAGATAACAACATATTCAGATTTACGATCTGACTACATCATTCCAAGTAAGAATTCAGTATACACATCTTTTTTTAATTAAAAAAATCGTATAATAAATCATCTTTAAAGTTTTAATTAAAAGATCTTAAATTAGAGAAACCATTAATGAACCCAAATACATTTGCTGGAAGAAATGATAAATCCAAACTTTGTCAATTTCTAAATGCAAATTCAATATAACATGGACTGAAAGTCGTTATTTTGAATTTTTAAATGTTTTATTCAGATCCTAAACCACTTAGGTACAAACCATTAAGGAGAGATTTTCCGCTCCGCCATAAAAGATCTGGGACAGTGTACACGGTGGAATTGTTTCTAACTATTGATTACAGCATATACAAGTTGTGAGTATTATTTTCAACCGATACGAACGTAATATACTCTGCTTAAAAAAAATTGCATATCTGCAATGTCAACTGTTCTTTGTCAGATAGTACTTCGATGTCAACCTTGTTCTTTAAGTCAAATAGTTATGTCATGATGTCAACCATTGTTTTGGTTTGTTCTCTATTAATCTTTAAGTCAGCACTGCGATGTCAACCATTGTATGTTCTCTATTAATCTTTAAGCCAGCACTGCGATGTCAACCGCTGTATGTTCTCTATTAATCTTTAAGTCAGCACTCCGATGTCAACCGCTGTATGTTCTCTATTAATCTTTAAGTCAGCACTCCGATGTCAACCGCTGTATGTTCTCTATTAATCTTTAAGTCAGCACTCCGATGTCAACCACTGTATGTTCTCTATTAATCTTTAAGCCAGCACTGCGATGTCAACGGCTGTATGTTCTCTATTAATCTTTAAGCCAGCACTGCGATGTCAACCGTTGTATGTTCTCTATTAATCTTTAAGTCAGCACTGCGATGTCAACCGTTGTATGTTCTCTATTAATCTTTAAGCCAGCACTGCGATGTCAACAGCTGTATGTTCTCTATTAATCTTTAAGCCAGCACTGCGATGTCAACCGTTGTATGTTCTCTATTAATCTTTAAGTCAGCACTGCGATGTCAACCGTTGTATGTTCTCTATTAATCTTTAAGCCAGCACTGCGATGTCAACAGCTGTATGTTCTCTATTAATCTTTAAGCCAGCACTGCGATGTCAACCGTTGTATGTTCTCTATTAATCTTTAAGTCAGCTCTGCGATGTCAACCGTTGTATGTTCTCTATTAATCTTTAAGCCAGCACTGCGATGTCAACCGCTGTGTGTTCTCTATTAATCTTTAAGTCAGCACTCCGATGTCAACCACTGTATGTTCTCTATTAATCTTTAAGCCAGCACTGCGATGTCAACAGCTGTATGTTCTCTATTAATCTTTAAGCCAGCACTGCGATGTCAACCGTTGTATGTTCTCTATTAATCTTTAAGTCAGCACTGCGATGTCAACCGTTGTATGTTCTCTATTAATCTTTAAGCCAGCACTGCGATGTCAACAGCTGTATGTTCTCTATTAATCTTTAAGCCAGCACTGCGATGTCAACCGTTGTATGTTCTCTATTAATCTTTAAGTCAGCTCTGCGATGTCAACCGTTGTATGTTCTCTATTAATCTTTAAGCCAGCACTGCGATGTCAACCGCTGTGTGTTCTCTATTAATCTTTAAGTCAGCACTGCGATGTCAATCGTTGTATGTTCTCTATTAATCTTTAAGCCAGCACTGCGATGTCAATCGTTGTATGTTCTCTATTAATCTTTAAGTCAGCTCTGCGATGTCAACCACTGTATGTGTTTTCCTCTTAACTGTTTTAGTTGGTACGAACAGAACAGCAACATCACCAGTAGTGGGGAAAGACGAAACGCGGCCATTAATGACATAAAGCATTACTACGCTTTCCTTGTCAATGGAGTAAGCTCATTCAAATATACTTTTTTTGCTTAGAAAGAAGAAAGAAAGAAAAAAAATCAGTAATGAGTAAGTCAAAGGATCAAAAGTGATCAACACTTTCATGCAGATAATATTCTTACTAGTATTCCTCGGTACTCCATCTGTTTGTATAGGTCGATGCCAGATACAAGAACCTACCGGCGTCCACTTACACCATCAGTGTCATATTTGCAGGGATGTACATCGCTGAGGTGAGCAATTGCAACTAACGTTATCTTTCATAACTTATTCTATGATCTACTTTCATTTCTTCTTCATGTGACAATTGCTGGAGTTAGTAATCTACGGGTGTTTATGTTGGGGGGGGGGGGGGGGGGGTCACAATCATATGTGTTTTAACATTAAGCAATAATATATTGTCCAAAAGACAGCCGCCTCTTGGACTGGGAGTATGGACAGCCAGAATAAATTAGATGCCATTTCTGCTGGTGAGGCATTTGAAAGCTGGCGGACGTCACAACTGAAATCCAATTCCATTCCAGACCATGACCATGCTATGCTATTTACAAGGTTTGATTATTAATATTATTATCATTAAATATTGATAATTATTATGATTTATAATGAATATTGTGCAAAATGAAACAAAAATATGCTTTGTCTTGTCTTGTTTCTTTTTTTTTTAAATTAAGATTTTCTCATTTAACGTTTGTGTTTTAATTACATTTAGGTATAACTTGGCCATGCAAAACCAAACTGGTGCAACAGGTAGTAAAATTTTGCAAAACAATATTTTCGGTAAAATCAAAAATACAGACTCTAAAGCAAAAATATATACTGTATTTATTTTTTGATGTAATTTGCAGGATTTGCATACGTATCCTCAATGTGTTCATCAGGCTCAATTTCTCTGATCGAGGAAAAATTTGACTTGATTAGTTACACAATTGCTGCGCACGAATTGGGTCATAGGTAAAACAAATACATATATTACCTCAGATTAACTTTGTTCATCATAACCCTATCCATTGTTGAAGATGTACATGTAGACGACATGTCTATCGCGAGATGATGATACGCTTTATTTTGCTTTTATCGTAAAACATGATACTTCGTATGTTATCTAATTGTGTAGCTAAAAACATGCCAACGTTTTTCATCTGTATTTTTAGGAGGATTTTTAGTGCTGTAATGCTCCAAATCAGAATAGCTTATGAAATGGTAAGGTGTCCGTCGTCCGTCCAGCTCTCCTTTCATCTGTCTATCTGTTAAAATTTTTTTTTCAAAACTTCACTCCTCGTACAGTTTTGGTCCAATTAAACTTGGTACTCACGTAAACTACACCGAGACAAATTAATCTCTTTATCCGTCTTTCATTTTGAAGATCAGTGTTGGCATCGTTGCTGGAAACAAAATTTCTAAAAAATTCTTTGAAAATGCCTTCCACAGTGTTGGTGCGATTTCAATGAAGAAATATCAAAGGCGGATCCAGCACCAGCATCCCCCCCCCCCCCCCGTGTTTGAATTTTTTTTTTCTTTTTAAGAAATTTTGTTTGTATAACAAGCATTTACCTTCAGTTTAGTACAGTTTAGTACATAAATTGATAAAATGAATTCGTCAGCTTCCGGGGACTTCGCCCCCGGACCCCAAAAAGGCTTTGCCCTGAGCCCACTAGGGGCTTCAGTGCAGCCCCCAGACCCCCCTGCCTTCTACTCCCCCCCCCCCCCGTTATGAAATTCCTGGATCCACCACTGAATGTAATTCAATACCAAAAATTCATGATTGATTGATTGATTGTTTGTTGTTTTACGTCCCATTCGAGAATTTTTTACTCATATAGAGACGTCACCATATACCGGTGAAGGGCTTCAAATTTTGACCTTTACTCGGCACTTAGGGCCATTGAGCAGTGAGGGATCTTTATCGTGCCAACGCCTGCCGTGACACGTGGCCTCGGTTTTTAAGGTCTCATCCGAAGGACCCGCAACTTTCACTTCAAAGTGCCGAGCGCATGGCGAAGGAACAGTTGCTACCCATTTTTTATCGACTTGGGTCAGTCGCGGCCGAGATTCGAACTCACGACCTCCCGATCACGAAGCGAGCGCTCTACCGACTGAGCTACCGTGAACGGTCCAAAAGTTCATGAAGATACGGCCTGATACTTTTCACACTTTTATTGCATGAAGCGTTTAAACATGCCTTCGTGAAAAAGAAGCTGTCATATCATATCACTATGCGCTTTCAAAACTGGAATACAATGTATTTAAGTCCAGGTGCAACGTTTTTTCCCCACTATTATAAGTAGAAACCAATAGAGCATCTCTTTTTCTTTAAAATTCTTAGGTTGGTATCGCTTTACATGAGAGAAAACAGGACCTTTAACTCGGATAATGTTTAACGTTTTATACTATTATGTAAAAGGAAAGTGACAACTTCAATAATTTAGTTTAGGGGCGACCCACGAGGGTGTGGGGACGAACACATGCCCAGATGAAGGATACGTCATGTCCGCTGTTAGTCGTCCGCATGTTAAATCCACGAATCCATGGAAATTTTCCTCCTGTTCTGTGACCCAAATAACCAATTACATCAATTCCTTGCAGTAAGTAAAAATAAATTAAAAATTTAAAAGAAAAAAAAGGACAATAAATGTAAATAAGTAAACACATATATTTGTTTGGTGACAGATCCAATTGTCTGTTGCAAGAAACATCATCTGTGGATCGAAATTCACTGCATTCTTTCGAAAGTACACCATTGGGACAAATATACCAAATCGACCAACAATGTATGCTCAGTTTTGGTTCTGGTGCTCTTATCTGCAGGGTAAGAAAACTTTTTAAACTTGAAGAGAAGTTTTTTTCTTGAAACCAATTTATGAAAAATAATAAGCCATGTTTGAAAATACAAACTAAGATCCTTTTCAAAAATTCAACTTTTAACTGCTTATTTCGTGAATTCTACATTCCTGAATTACAGGAGTTTTACAATTCCTCGAATTTTCAAGAAATATGCACGACTTTGCATTGTAAAGGACAGGGCAGTACTAGCTGCGGTGCTATTCTTCCTGCAGATGGCACCACCTGTGGCAACCGGAAGGTGTGTAATACACTCTTCTTTTTATATTGATCTCCAAGCTATTTAGTATTTACTTTGCAAGATTTGGTGCAATTATCAATACTATTTGACTTCTTTATCTATTGCACATGACAGTGGTGCCAAAATGGTGTATGTACATACAACAGCTCTAGCCCCGCTGCAGATGGTGAGTATATCGTGTTATTCTCCAAATTGTGTTATTTCTAGACATTATTCTGACATTCTGACTTAATTCACAGAGACCTGCTTATTTGGGGACGAACCAGGGACTGTGTGTACTCAGATAAAGACTAATTCTTGGGATTGCTATGGTAACGACTACCGTAAATGTTGTCGTTCTTGTGAGTCAATCAGATCCAGCGATACAAGTAAGTCGTAAACGGATGAATTCATCCACGATAAATGTGTTGAATCTGCAGAAATGGTTGAACATATGTCGAATAAAGAATTAATTAAAGTACAGTTCCTGTTAATTTTAGACTGTCCTTTTGGAAATCGCGTTGCAGATTGTTCTTTCCTAACAATTAATAATCGCATTCATTGCTACGATGCTGCTATGTATTTGCCATGCTGTGACTCCTGCAAAAAGCTCTCCACAAATATTTCAGGCAAGTTTAATTTAAACATTGTCTTAATTTTACAGAAATTATTCTTATAAAAACGATTGTTGAAATATTTCTCAATTAAGAGTATTTGAGCTAAGCGATCAGACACGGCTTCAAATAAACAAGATAATTTTCAATGTTTCCCCAAAGGACAATAACTATTATTCCAAACAAAAGAAAAAGAAAATTCAGAAAATATTTTTGTGTCTCTTTTCCAAAACTGGGGAATCGTTCTAAAGAAAAATTGGCAAATTTTGATTAATATAATTAATATAATTAAAGTTCTTACGTATAGTATGATAATTTTTTTTCCAACTTCGTATAATATGTATACAGGATGTGAGTATGGTGATAGGGACTCTACTAGCGTCTGTAGTCAAATCAAGTCACATCAGTGTTATCAAAATAACACGCGTACATCATGTTGCGAGACGTGTTCCAGGTTCGAGACTAATCAAACAGGTAAGATATCCTTAATTTTCAAAAATTAATAAATATAAAAATAATTCCACTGAATCACAATATTTTACTGACATAACACAAAATCCCTGTGTAAATGGCGTGGTGTTGCTGTTGTGGTGTTCCAACAACAACACACTTACAAATCGATTTTTATTACAAATTATTTTGAAAGTCAAATTTAGGCGTTTCCATTTTTTCACTTAATTATACAGAATAATTTTTTTGGTCTTGAAGTGCTTAGCAAAATGATACACTAATCATTGAGAATGATCTATGAAATCAACAGGGCAAAATATTTAACCGCAATTTACTATGATTTCTTAACAAATTTGAGTCGTAAAATTTAATTTCTCATTTGGAGTATGATATCATTGCAATGAAACATTAAAATTATTTTGAAATTACGTGAAGAAACTGAAAAAAATTATTACATGTGGAATTTAAAAAAAAAAAATAGATAGAACTACAAATAACGTTGCAATAATGCTTTTAAAAAAGGCATTTTTCAAATAAATATATAGTGAAAAAAATAAAATTATGACTTACTTATGGCCAGGTACTGTAGATATAAATACGGGTGTAAACAGATTTGGTAATGTGTATTGCTTGTTTAAGGCTGTGAGTATGGAGACAGGGTAGAGAATTGTGATGCACAGAATGATTGCTCCAGTCCACAAATCTCATGGAACTGTTGTGCTACATGTAGCAAAGTAACACCAACAGCACAGCCAAGCACAACTTTATCAACAACCACAACATCCAGTACAACTATTACCTCTACAACACCATCAACAACTTCCACAAGTCAAGCGCCAACAACAACGATCTTCACAACTACATCTACACCTAAATTCAGCACAACGACAAAACCAATCACAACAACTCAATCTTCAACAACATCAGTGATTAGTAGTTCGATTTCTACATCAACACTTGTTCCAAAATCAACAACAACAACAACAAAACATCCATCTACCATAACTTCTACACCAATTCCCACAACTACCACTGCCAAACTGATAACAAGTCCGACAACAATCGCTCAATCTCAAACAACTTGGACTTTTACCACTACTACAACTGTGCATATCAGAACAACACCAGCACCAACAAACTCCACAACAACACAACCATCTACTACACCAAAGCCTATGACAACAAGTACAACAACAACCTTTCAATCTCCAACAACATCAACTTTCAAAACTACTACTTCTACAACTGTCCCAATAACAACTAGCCAAGTACCAAAATCGAGCACCAAAGCTGCACCTCCATCTACAAAGACAACAAAAGAAACAACAATAAAGCCTACAACAGCGATTACAACTACAGCAACACCAATAACTACAACACAATCTAAAACCACTGCTGCAAAGACAACATCAAGAGCATTGGTAACAAACGCCCAAACATCAAGAACGCCATTATTGACCACACCTACCACGTCCGACAGTACAACTGACTTTTCACAGTTGGCAACACCCAGAAACTTAGCTCCTGGTGAAGAGACTCCCATTCTTAAAGAACGTAAGTTGATACATTTGTAGACGATTCATTGTGTTTATCATAAAATTCACATCAGCATCATTTGTTTATTTTCTTCCTATTTTAGCGTGGTTTTTGGCTATCATGACAGCACTTGGTGTGGTTTTTGGTCTTGTATTGGTTGGGGTATTTCTACATGCTTGTAGGAAAAAACGTCAGCTCAGGAAAAACTCTTTAAAATTACACAAGGTAAATCTCTACTAGTTTGTACTATTATTTTAAATAAGTATGAGTTTGTTTATTTAAGATGCTTGAAGAAACAAAGATGCCTTTTTCTGAGAAAAATATTGTATGCAGTGTCATTCTTTCTATAGAAACACACTAAACATGCATTTGAGAACCATCGATATAGTTCGAGAAAACATCACCACTTTGACATGGACGTAGGCGACGAATACAAGGAAATACCACTTAAATACAATGCAATATCAGGGGCACAAGACAATGTTAGCAATTACTCACTTGCCGACAAAAGTCTTTCAAATACTATCGCGACGTCAGTAAACCCCTTTAGGACTTTTGCATCAACAACGTCCGAAGATCAGCGACTTTCCGAATCTTTGAATTCGCCTTTCTATGATCACTTGCCAGTAAAAGAGAGACCGCCTCATGACGCATTTTCATCTACAACACACGGGGACCGTCGCCATTCGTCTCCTCATGCAGTAACAGGTGTCTTAAACCCCACCTACTCACATCAACTACATACAGTCCAAGAACACCAGGGACTGTCCAGAACATACAGGAATCCTGTGAGAAAGAGTCCTCCCATTAGTCAGCAACTCTCACAGACCTGCAGGTCACCTATCCTTGGTCACGAACATCGTAATGACTTTTCATTAAAACAAGAGTCACCTCATGATGCTTTCTCATCGTCTCTTAACTGGGATCGCCGTCATTCCGTTCCTCATCCAATAACAGGTGTCCAAAAATCTCCTCACCCACATCCAGTGATTCAAAAACAGGAGGGACTAGCTAGATCACATGCGAATATTCAACACAGTGGGGGAAGGGGGGCGAATCAGCAGCAATGGGGCCAACGTCGAACAAGCGAATATAACTCAACGTATAGATATTAATTAAAAGACATACCGGTATAAATTCATAAGACAAGGATCCAAACTCCATAACATACCGAATAGGATTGGAGAGAACATAAATTATTACGCTTTAAATCTAAATGACTTTATAAACTTTTCCCCCCTCCAATACAAGGGTTTTTTTTTTAATTAATACAAAATTCGATCAAATTAAACGATCGATTCAAATGGAAAGACCGGTTTTCTTTATAATTAAAAATAAACTTGTAATTTTACTAAAAATAAAAAAAAAACAAATGACGAATGTTTTTACTAGAGTCTATCAATGCCTATTTTGTTCCTTACGGCATTCAAATACATAATTTTAGCTCATCTTGACCAAAGGTTCATGAGCTCTTTAGTTCTATATATGTGCTTGGCCACGGTTCTGTCTGTAAATTTTTAACACTCCACATCATCCAGCTTCAACAAAACTATAGCCGCAAAGCTTCGTCAAGGGAATGATCTTTTGTCAAATAAAGGGTCATGTGCTTTTTATGGAGAAATAATGAGAAATAGTAAAAATGGGGTAGGGGTCATTTATATAACTTTATTGCATCTTCTCAAAACCATTGATTAAAAAAGACAGAAACTATATAAAATCATCTATATTATATGTGTATAGAATGTAATGTAGAATGGAGATTTTATATTCCCTATCCTTATGGGACACAGACAGCATTTGGATCAATGTTTTACCTAGAAATAATCGCGAAAACCCTTTTTAGCTCACCTGAGCTGAAAGCTAAGTGAGCTTTTCTGGTCACATTTTGTCTGGCGTCCGTCTGTAAACTTTTCATATTTTCGACTTCTTTTCAAGAACCACTGGGCCAATTTTGACCAAACTTGCCACAAAGCATCCTTGGGTAAAGGAGATTATAGTTTGTTCAAATAAAGGGCAACACCCTCTTTCAAGGGGAGATAATTAAACATACTTTTTTAAAGAATTATCTGAATGATATACTGAGGAAAACAATTCAGTTTTCTACATAGGAAATTTCATTTCACCTCACAATAATTTCGAAAACGTTTCCTAGAGTAAACATAAGACCTCGGAACATTAACTGGCAAAATTGGAAATATGCAGCTTACGTCATTTCCATCTGTTGCAGTCAAAACATTTAATGATAGACAATGAAATGGGCGGGTACAATTCGACACGGACGTCCGAGAAAACATTGGATTGAAATTCTAGTTTGAAATTTATTTTCAATCCACCTCAGCTACGCTAGAACGCACGGTGTTACTGATTGACCTAGAAGACAAATAAGTTGAAATATATATAAATCAGAATTTCTATCCCATGTTTTTAAAGAAATATAGAGACAAATATTTGATTTCTGTTTGGTATGTGTATGTGGGGTCGGGGAGGGGGTGGGGGGGTGGAGGAGGCTGAACGATCTTGGAAAGGAATAAGAAAGTTTTCTTTTAGTTTGGACATCCCCTCCCTGTTTTTGTTTGTCAAACATTTTTCAGAGAACAAAAAACTGAAAAATAAAAGCTCTTGTCATCCTAGAAATTAATATATTCTTCATGTGAAGGCATGATCTGACTCGACAATTTTTGACAGCCCCCCCCCCCCTTCTAGAATCAAATGGCCGTCCCCTGAAAAAAATATTCTCTGTCTTCTATGACTTTGACGTGCCCTTAAAATTATAGGCTTAACAAACTCATATAAATATGAATTTCAGAAACATGTATTTGGGAATTGAATTTATTTGTCTTTTGGATCATAATTCACACTTAAGGTTTGAAAACAGTTCAGGTGGATTGAAATTGAATTTCAATTTTTTTCAGTGAAGAAGAAAATAAATAATGTCTTTTGTCATCCTACAAATAATAAATAAATTCTTTTATGTGAGGCATAGCCATAAATAATCTGATTGGACAAAATTTGCACCCCCCCCCCTTCTAAAATCAAATAGCCGTCCCAACTTTTGTGTGTCCTCAAAATATTGGATAAAAAATTGTTATACAATAATTTCAAACTATACGTATTTGGGAACTGAAATTACGTATTTGTCGTTTCGATCATACAATTATAACTTTGCGAAAAATAGCTCAGGTGGATTGAAAATGAATTTCGAATTGCAATTTCAATCCAATGTTTTCGCAGACGTCCGTGTCAAATTGTACCCGTCCACTTCATTGTATATCATCAAGTGTTTGACTGCGACATATGGAAATGACGTAAGCTGCATATTTCCAATTTTGCCAGTTAATGTTCCGCGGTCTTACATCTAATAAATAAATTTCACATTTACACGCAACATATACTATATTTTGCAAATACATATTTTATTCTAGAACAAAAAATAGGCCTGCGCACAGATGAAATTCACAAGAGGAAAGAAATTCTTTAACATGAAAAACATCCATTTCAGCTTTTTATAGGTCAACAAACAAATGCTCAGTTTACATAATGCTACAATGTACATACAATGCGTTTCCAGTAAAGATCATTGCATTTGTTTCCAACGGGGAAAAAATTAAATGTATAACTGCATGTGATACTTAGTTGAAAAATTAAATTGTTTGATTGTGTCCTAACCAAGTATGAGTTAGATCACAAATCGCTATAATAAAATTCTTCTCCTTTTATCTTTATAAGTAATGTAAGATGCGTTCTTTCATTTCATTAACAAATTGTTCAATGGTAAAGGTTGATGGTTCTCACGAAAGTGTAGAGTGAAAAATTCCTTTTTTATGTTTATAATTACTTTGTTTAACAAAAAGAAATAAAACAAGACAAAATATCTCCTTTCCTCGAAAGGAAGTCAAGATTATAATTTACTATTGGTAATAAGGTAAATAAGTCATGCTTATATATATACACTTAATTATATAACTCTTAAAAATAGTAAGGGGGACCGGTATTTGTACTTGTCTGTACCCTCATATCATATTGACACGTGCTGATAAATGAACGCGACAAAATCGTAACAGTGGGACCATAAAAATCCCCTTCAGATTATCTCAAGTGTGCATGATTTGCAATATTATCACAGGTACAGCACATGTTGTACGTATATCAGCAGAAATAATAAACCACAAATGTTTAACGCCGAGTCCTTGGTATAATTATAGGAGCTTTTCTCCAATAGAATTTTTTGATTATCACAAAAAAGCAATGCCATATTAATCCGATATCACTAAAAATCTATGTGACTCCATTTTCAACAAGGACATCCACTTTTTCCTGTCCCTTCCACTGTGGTCGGACGGACGGTGGTCGATTTCGTTTCCGGTGTTGACTGGGAGGCTATTTTGGTAGCTACAGGAAAGAAAGGCAATAATTTTAAGGTGGCAGAAGTCATGGGTAACTTGTACAAATAAAATACTATTCTAGATTTTACCAGAAGTTATATATCTTTGCTCTGGGAAGACATAATCTTTACAGTGACCCCCTTTTAAAACATATAATCGTGTCAGAACGAAAATAGAATGAAACAAGATGTGTTTGTGAAACACTGATGCCCCCGTATGGCAGCTTATGGCGAAGATTAAAGTTTCTCAAATGCAAGTCAAAATCCAGGCCAAAAGATAAAAATGTTGGTAGCCAAAGAAAGGTCTTGTCTTGAGGAATATACCTGTGAAATTTGAAAGCCCTAGCTGCAACTGTTCAAAAATTATGGCGTAGGTTAAAGTTTTTTAAAAGTAAGTAAAATGTCGAGGTCAAGGTCAAAGTTGTTGGTATCCAAAGGAATGTTTTTTCACAAGGATTACATATGTGAAGTATGAAAGCCCTAGCACGACCATTCAAAAGTTATGGCCAAGGTTAAAGTTTTTCAAAAGTAGGTCAAACTCCTATGTCAAGGTCAAAAGGTCAAAGTGGTTGGTATCCAAAGGAAGGTCTTGTCACAAGGATTACATATGTGAAGTATGAAAGCCCTAGAATCAACCATTCAAAAGTTATGGCCAAGGTTAAAGTTTTTTCAAAAGTAGGTAAAACTCCTAAGTCAAGGTCAAAAGGTCAAAGCGGTTGGTATCCAAAGGAAGGTGATGTCACAAGGATTATATATGTGAAGTAGAAAGCACTAGCTCCAACCGTTCAAAAGTTACAGCCAAGGTTAAAGTTTTTCAAAAGTAGGTCAAACTTCTAGGTCAAGGTCAAAGGGTCAAAGAGGTTGATATCCAGAGGAAGGTCTTGTCACAAGGAATACACATGTGAAGTTTTAAACCCCAAGCACCAACTGTTCAAAAGTTATGGCCAAGGTTAAAGTTTTTCAAAAGTAGGTCAAACTCCAAGGTCAAGGTCAAAGTTGTTGGTATCCAAAGGAAGGCCTTGTCACAAAGAATACACATGTGAAGTTTGAAACCCCAAGCACCAACTGTTCAGAAGTTATGGCCAAGGTTAAAGTCTCATAAAATTTTGCAAAAGTGGGTCAAACTCCAAGGTCAAGGTTTAAAAGGTCAAATATGATGGTACCCAAAGAAAGGTCTTGTCACAAGGAATACACATGTGAAATATGAAAGTCATAGCTCCAACCAATCAAAAGTTATGGGCAAGGTTAAAGTTGACAACAGACAGACAGACAAACAGATAAACAGACAAACAGACAGACAGGACAAAAACAATATACCCCCGCGATCTTTCGATCCGGGGGCATATAAAAAACATTCAAGTTCTGCGACACTAAGAAGAATACCATTAATCTTGAAAACTTTCAAAAATACAAAACTATAATATCTAGAGACAGACCTAGGTTGTTGAAAACTTCTTCGACGTTCATTCCTGTTTTGGCAGACACCTCCATGAACATCAGTCCATTACTACTTGCAAATTCACTGCCCTCCTTAATCAAAAGAACTGGTGTCAAAACTTTGGGAAATGGCATGATAATACAGAGTAAGGATACATTAATACTACAATTTTTCACTTTTACTCATTCTTTGAAAAGATTTCAAGGTCTCATCTTCGAGAACCCTGTGCTCCTTAAAGAAATAGGTCAAAACACTTGGATAGCGAAGATGAAAAATATGAAGGTTGCATTGATGTATAGTGAAGTTTATTTTGGTGAAATTTTGCCAAGAACCTATATTAAAGCTTAATAAACACAAAACGAATGTTGAATCCTAAGTTGATTTAAAAAAACTGAAGTTAACAAAAATCCATACTGATACCAACAGTACTACCGTTCTACAAACAACCAAAAAAAGTCTGACATCATGCATGCATTATACGCAGGTTTGTCCGAGTTAAGTACACTCGGACGTAGCTTCCTTATTGTGTAAGTCATACCTCATAGGGCACATCTCGACAATCGTCAGCTAAATCGCATTTATTTCCCAGCAGCATAATATAATTACAAGATCCGCCAAAATCAATGATCTCCCTTGTCCACCGCTGAGCCTCCTTAAATGAAACCTGTAACATGTACAAAATGGTGCCTCTTACCTCTTTGCTTATGACCCTGTTTTCGCTGGCCATATCGGCCTTATTGCCCACTAAAGCAATGACGATCTGAGAGTTAGCTTGCTGAATGAGCTCCTTAACCCAAGCTTGAGCGCGTGAGAAGGAAGTCTAGAAAAAGAACAGCAGAAATGTGAGTAGCATGCAAAAGTAGACATCTTATAGAGTGCTAACAGGACGTTACACATTAAAGTGTCAAAAATCCGATACCACTTAGAATTATGTATAGTAAATCTATACAAAGCATACATGCCTCTGAAGTGATGTAAAATAAAGCCAAAGAGACAAAAATTAGATAAAAGCAAGTTGAAGCCAAAAACTTCCAGTGATTACACTACAAAAGCAACAAAATTTAAATCTACATACAGTGAAGAATAGTAATTTTCCGAGAATGAAGATACAGATATACTAGACTAAAAATGGAAAGGGTCCCTTAAAAGCCTCGGAAATAAGATCCGCCTTCAAATTACATGGTTTGAGGACCCCTGTCACTTAAACAAATTAAGGTTCGGTATTTGGTACCAGAAATTGATTAATATTAAGTTACTAATCCCTGTGGTGTATAACTTGTCTGGGGTTCGTGGCGATCTTCAAAGTAACTTTCGGTCTTTTGATACTTATGGCATATACCAGTGCAATAAAGAAGGTATTTATGGGAAATTTTTGGTGTGATAATATATTTAAGTAGATGTATAATGTAAAGTAATTCTGTCTAATAATAAAATTAACAATAAATCATACTTAGTTTATATATATATATATATATATATATATATATATATATATATATATATATATATATATATATATATATATATATATATATATATATATATATATAAGAAAATTCAATAATACTATAATGGTATATAATGCTAAAAAAATATATTTTAACCAAAAAAAAAATCATGCTTAAGTAAAGAATTTAAAAAAAAAAAAAAAGAAGAAGAAGTAAATATGGATTTACTGTATAATTAATGAGGATGAATTATTAAAACATAATTTACACGTAAATCGATTTCATGCATATCTGAAAGTGCCTACCAACATTGGAAACATATTTTTGCCACTAAAGACTTAAGTCGTATTACATTTCACCCACCACCCCCTTCACAAAGGATTTTTACAATGTCCATGGTTATTTAAAGATACTGAAAACGACCTTTCTTCACAATAGCAAACATACTCTTGGCTTGTACCCCCTCTTTTGATAGTGGCAGTGTGGGTGTTTGGGATGGGGGAGGCTTGTCAAAATATTTTGCTTGAGTGCTTTTCCTCATCCATTCTTAGAAATTTGCACCCTCTCCTAAATTTGAGAAAGCTTTCAATTTTAGCAACTTTACTTTATACAATGTATGGAATTCAAACTTCCGCCCTATAGCTGAATTGCATTTCATTACAAAAGCCTTTTCTTATCTTCTGAAATTTCAGTGGAACTCAGAATAAAGCCACGACTTTTTTTCCAGTCTCGTGTTTCTTATTAATGTCTGAAAGTCAGTTGCTTATATTTGTATTTTCTTTAAATATCTGGCAATTTATGTTAAATATTGTTTCCTAAATAGCACAATGTCATAATTCTGTGTTGATTGCATTAAACTGAGAGTGGCAAAGGAGTGCTTTATATTGTAATATTTATCAAGTCTTGCTTGTAGAAATTCCTGATATCTACACAATTGTGAATAAAAAAGGCAATATACGCTAAAACAAGGCAATTTTAATTCTTTGGCAGTTCTTATATGATATGACGTACCTGGCTTGTGATGTCATAGACTACCACGGCAGCAGGTGCCCCGCGATAATACATGGGGGCCAAGCTATGGTACCTTTCTTGTCCTGCAGTATCCCAGATGTCGAACTTAACTGTCGCAGACTGCAGGACATTTATCGTTTTTGTCAAATAAGCGGCTGGAATTGAAAACAGAAGCTAAGTATAAGGAATCGCTACTAGAATTAGTAAGAAATAAAAGTATGCCAAAATAGGCTTTAATTTTAGAAAAAAAAAAATAATAACATTGGGAGCCACTAGTCATTTTAAAAATACGAGTAATTTGCGTGATTTTAAAGGATAAAGTTTGAGTTGTGTTTATGAGAGGTTGGAAACTCAAGGTATAGTTAGGCCTAAGGTCTGGCTAAGGTACCTCCAATGGTAGCTTCCCCATTCTCGTTGAATTCCCCTCGAACAAATCTTAAGGCTATGCTACTTTTGCCTACTCCAGACTCTCCCAGCAGAACCAGTTTTATTTGCTTAGACTTTCCCTCGGGGCCGCTCCGTGATCCAGTCGGGGGACCGGAAGCGCGACCATTTGGCCGTCTGTTTGTGCTCATAGCAGTAATACTTTAAACTTTTCCTGAAAGGATAAACAGTTCCGTGTGTGCATACAAGAAAGTTTTAAACAAAAAATAGTTATGATAACACAGGAAATACATATATATAAATTTAGGAGCATCCACGTTCCTTTGAGTTTTATAAGTAAACTTGATTAAAATTTACGTACCAATCAAAATAGTACTCAAGTTTTAACTACATTCTCGAACGTTTCTTAAGAAGTATAAACTGATATAGAAAACAGCCACAGTCATTATTCACGGAATAACATTTTTGACTTCGGGCGGTATTGAAGTATATTTGTGAACATGATCTTACATTCGTGTTGTTTTAAGTGACTACTTCCTGATTGTGGTAGAGACATGAATAAGGTCACAATACTTATTTTCTATGGTCTTTCTCCTGTTACAAGCTTTTATAATAAACAGGTGGTGACGAAAAGGTCTTGTAACCTTTGTTTTATGTAACATCCGAGGTATCTATATCGCGTTCATCTCCTGTCAGTGTAATGTTCAGGTAAATATATTCCACTTATAAGGAGTTGAGATGAAAATTCCAAGAATTTCATAAGTTAGTTGTCCTACATGTATATGTACAATTACCTGTATTTAAATCAACTTGACGAATGACACGACATTAATTAACATGCTCTATTATCTCAAAGTAAATACTATTTTCATAACACATCTATATATGCATACAAAAGTTTAGATGGTTAAAACAGGAATTAAAGATTTTCAAGCAAAACAGTTAGGTTAAACTTTGTAAATTACCTGCTAGTTTTAGCTATCCTCTATGCACACAAATATGTCCATATATTCTATATAATTTCAGTAAATATGCACGATCGGACCGCTGTCTGCCCCATTACGATGATAACATGAGCCAGTCCAGGTAACGCCCCCTTTTCACGAAATGTTTTTCACGATCTGGTCCAAAGGCTGTAACAAATCTTTAAAGAAATTTATATTCGTGTAAGTTTCCGATTCCTGTGGATATTTGTGTTGTGTTCTGTGGTGTGTTAGATTATTCCACAGCAACTATTCACGAGACACTGACAAAAGCAACATATAAATAGGGATGATATCCAAAGTGAAAATTTAAATGTACACGTTGACTCATACGCAGTTTGACCTTAAACTTCGCGTCATAATATCAGTAAAGACTTACGAATGTTAAATTCAAGCTCGCTATCCTTTCATGTTTAATATTAGCACAGTTTGTAATCGATATAAATCATCGATTGAATGGGGTGATTTTGGTGTCGCGGTGTGTCAGGTTTATTTGTTTGTCAATAAAGACAATCGCGACATAACCCCCGACCTTTTAGATAAAAATAAAATCGTCTGCCACCGTGAGATTGGTTGGAATAAATTTATTTAAAATTGAAAGGGAAATATTAGAGTACTTTGCAATACAGATTTTTTTTTCGTCAGTATTGGAAACATTTCCTTTTCAGACAACATGCAGTGCATGTACATGCTATCTCTCATAATAAATAAATATCAGGAAATATAAAAACATTAAACGACATAACATTCATTTAATTACCTTTTTATCAAATTAAAGTGAAAAAGGTTATAAATCCAATGCACACATAAAATGCTTTTCGCACAAGAACTGGCTTAAACCTTCACTAGTCAACTTGTAAGTAAAATTATTTGCTCTTTATACAGTGTATATAATTTACAAGTTTGATTTACCTTTTTTTCCTTGTTATTTTTTATTTATTTTGATAGAATGCTATCAATTATCCCCCCCCCTTTACTGCGTGCCTGGCTGGGATAAGCGGTAGTTGCATCTGCGGTTATATCAGAGTTATTCTAGACATTTGCAGTCAGTACTGCTTTAGGGACAATGAAATTAAAGGAATATTTCTGGACACTGGTCAAGGTTTAACCTTGCAGCTTCGAGCTTACTGACCTCAATTTGCCGACACGCCTTATTACCAGTGATATTTATAGATCCTGAAACGTATGCCAAAATGTCTAATATATAGCTGAAAAGAAGAAACAACACATGTAGACTACTAGTCATAGAAAACTACGACCCGAGAAGACAAGAATATCATAAAATAAGACTTAGAGTAGGAAATTATATTATTTAATTGAAATTCAAATCACTATAGTAATAGAGACAAGGAAAAATTCCCATTAAATTTAGGAAGCAAACAATTACACACCCATCATTTGATGTAAAAAGAAAATTTAAACTAATTAATTCAATTTCACAGGCAAAATATATTGACTTCGAATAGTTTCATGTTTTCTTTAAGAAAAGTTTACTTTTTCTTTTTTCATGTTTTTCTTTCTTGTTCTCGGAAAGTTGAACGAAACACATTTCATCATAAAACAAAAATTGCAAGTTGTATAAAAGTGTATGCCCGACCGTATTATTTTGAAATGGTTTGGATTCTGCCCGATAGATTTAGTGATTATTGCGTGCAATAATTGAATTGATGCGCACATCTAATCTATTGCCCTCATCAATTCAATTGACGCAAACATCTATTCACTTGTTGAACTCAATAATGTGGTGGAATTATTCCTCGCAAAAATTAATTCAGACCTCGGTATAAATGGTTTCTTTACTTCAGTTGAAGATATCTTTAACGATAGGGATGGGTATCGGTTGGAAATTTCGTATTGCGATATATTGCGATATTTGGAACTGTATTGCGATATGTATTGCAATATTTTTAATAACAGTTAAAATGCTCTTTTCTTATTTCATTAATCTCCATTTATAAGCAGAGTGTATAAAGCTTTTATAAATACGATGTAACAAAAAAGTTCTGTTGACTTCACTACAGTTTGGCAAGGAAATGCAACCATACAACAAAAACCTTTACCGTTTGGTACTGTTTGGCACGATTGAAAACGTTTCTGACATCTTAAATTTCATATTTTATTTCAAAAATCTAAAGCCCAAACATTTTACCGGTATATCTGTACTGAAAAAACATATCGCAATACGATATTTTTGTTAGCGAATCGCAATATACCGGAATATCGATATTACTGCGCAGCCCTATTTAATGATATCACAATTTTGTTCGAGGAATTAATGTGCACATCAAATCTTATTTATAAAGAGCAACAATTCACTTAGAGAGATCTTATTTTAATTATGGATGCGTTAATTAAAGATAAATGTATCACTAATTAAACAGTTTCAGTTTATTATTTTATTTTATCATTTAAGTTGCTTTCTTTTAAAGAATCGTTGCGTGCATTAATAGGTGTCTTACTTTAGTGATATTGTTTTCTTGAATCTGTGAAAATTTCACAAATTTTTAAATACAATAAATATGAAAAGAATCCATCCTTAATTGAACTGATCTGCATGCAATATAAATGAAGATATTAATAATTCAATTATTCGTGCATTTTTGCTCTCTTCAATTGAATTATTATGTGCATTTATTCAATTTGTTGATACTTTTAATTCATTTGAAGAGAACAACAAATTAATTATTCTACATTAATTTAGAAAATTAACAATCTCAATTGAATTAATGTATGTAATAATTCAGAATTAAAGATATTAATTATCTTAGGAGATCTTTAAATAAATTGTTCTGTGCATCAAATAAATTGATATTTTCAAATTTTGAAGATAACTTCAATTATTTTGAGTTCATTTTGATTTTTTCATATTCCATACTGTTGCTGGTGCACAAATGTAAAACACCTGCACACTTCATTTTCTACATACAGTGAAAACTGTCTAATGTGACACCTGTGCAATCCAATTCAGTGAATTCTGACCTTTATTTTCATTCCCATTTTACTTTTCTGTCTGTTCTTTACACTTTGTAACCCGACACCCTGTCTATTCCGACACAAAATATGTTTCCCAGTGCATGTCGGATTAGACAGGTTTCACTGTATTGATGAATTTTCCATCTCTTTTCACAAATTCCACAATTCAAGAGACTTTCTTTTAGACTGTCACTTTAAAACATACTCAAATTCCTTCTTTACATGTTTGCTCATTAATTTTTTCAAGAATTTTTTTTATCTAAAGAATTCAAACCAAAATTTTCCACTATCCTTGTATCAGTAAAAAACTACATTAGTTAACTTATTTGGAAATTACAACATTTATTCTGCAAATTACGCCAATAAAATGGACACCACCAAACATGAACTTTTATGTAAATAATTCAGGCTCTGAATCCCATATGATGGGAAACTACCAACAGTTGTTCAAAATCAATAAGAAAATTACTATTTTAATAACACTTTAATAAAAACTAAACTCTACACCAATCATTTCCAATTATATAACAATTCAATACAAAGTTAATTGAGCACTAGGTGAAATGCCAACAGATAATATCACAGATCAGGCTTTGGCAAAGAAAAGAAGAAAGTTCTGACTAGTCCATCATTTCTGATTCCGTTTTCTTCTTCCTCTGGCCTTGATACTTGACCTTCGCCTCTCCCTGAACTTTGAACTTTTGTCCTTGATTTCCTCTTTACTGTCCTTGACCAGGGTCCTAAGTTTTGTACTTTCTGTCACTTGGGGTATCTTTCCTCGTTTCCTCATTAATCTGATTATATACCCAGTCCCCCCAAGTGTGACAGCATAACGGATAGGAGATATCAATTTGTACAGTAAAAATGCCAGCAAATAGTCTCCAAGGCCTGAAGAATGGAATGGTTTCATCATTGTTTCACTGAGTCCCAGTTTCTCCAGCAGTGATATTACATCTACACCACTGAAAGGTAAAATATTTTCCAGTAAAACATGGTTATAGCAAACACACTTATAATAAATTGACGCATTCACGCTTACAGCGAAGTGATTTTCATTCCCAGTATGAGTGGCTTTGAAATATAACTTTGTTCCAAGTAATTCTTGATGGAAAAAAAATCAAGAAACTCAAGAAGCAGCATGTATATCAGATCACTTTTCTAAAATCTGAAACTACATGATTTGAGGATGTTTTAAATTTTGATTAATTGTTATAGATCTTTTAAAAAAAATCTATCAATTTGGACTCCCATTAATTGTGACAACTTGAAATAATGTAGAAACAAACCATTACTCACCATCTTACAATGATGTAAAAGAGCCCATACCAAAATATTGAAGTCAGAACCTCAACAATGATAAGTACTTTGCCATGTTCTTTGTAAGTTTGTTTGAACCTCTGAAAGACTGAAAGTTTCTTTACGGCAGTATCAGCAGCTGTCATGCTGTCTTGGCTGGTGTTTGGGGTCTCTTTTGGGTCTTCCTCAGGGTTTGCTTTGGACCCCTGTTCATTCTGAGGTTTCTGTGGTGTGTTAGATGAGGAATTACTGTACAGTCTGCATATACTGTGGCAGTGAAAGGATGCAGTGGGCTTTAAATGGTTAATTTTTTGATGACTTGCTGAGAAGCTGATTAAATGATGGCCTGTATGTCAAAATAAAAGCATTTTAATTATGTTAGATTGAAATAGCAGGCCTGTAGAAGGGGGGGGGGGCTTTTTTCAGAGTATACTATTTTGCTATAGAAAATCTTCCTTTAGATACTGGTTCCCCCCCTCCCCTCCCCACTTTTTGATTTTCATATAAGGTCGTGCACTGGCAAATTTCACGATTTGGACAGTAAATTACCCTTTTTTGCTGTCAGGCAATTTTGGGAAGTCCCTCCCCTTTTTGGTCAGTTTAGGTTTTTTTTTTTTGCTTGTCAGATTTTTTTTTTTGCTTGTCAGATCTTTTTGAAGTTGCCCCCCCCCCCCCCGCTTTTGAAACTGTTTCAACAGGCCTGAATAGAACTAGTTTTCAAGCTGCAATTTTCAGGAATAAAAATTTACAGTCCAATATTTGTTTGCAAGCCAAAAGTGTATGGTTTGAATTACACCCAAACATACTATTACAAGCATTTTTTCAAAAGTTAATAGTACTTAAACAGGTGATATTTTTGGAACATCAAAAATTTTGGTTTTTGTCATTGTTAACTATTGTGTACTAAGACATCTATTATAGTGATTTTTGGGAGAGCCGTGCCCTTGTGCTCGTAATTTACATAAATGAAATATTTATAAAATAAGTTACGAAGTCTCCTGTGAAAGTAATATAGTTTCTTTCGACCTCACAACTACAGGATACCCTCATGTGTCACAAAAAGGCATTATTCTACCTTACTAAGTACTATGTACAACAGTACAAGGACTGCAACAGTGCAACGTGGGAATTTGCAAAAATGATGAGGTGATATTTGACTGCCTTCGACTACTACATACTATTATTACCATTAATGCTTCTCAAGACACCTGAAGAAAATGTTCTGACACTCTTTTGTGTAAACCTTAACAACACAGAGTGTTGTTGAAGCATCCGACGGCAACCTGTGAGAGACGACATCGCTACTTTCAATTTCAGCCAGGGTAATGGTAAAAGCAGTTCACAATTCGACCGACATCTGGAAGATACATATACCAACATGCGAACTACTAATCGTTAATTAACTTACCATCTACTGTTTATATTTTGGTGCATGAACTTGTAAATCACTCGGTAAACAATGTACAGAAGAAATTAAAGACATTGAAAAGTAAGGGTCAGGGTGTTACAGTCTGAATATCAAAAGCATTGATGATAAGCAAACATCATTGGTGGGTCCGTTTTCATTTACAATACACTATAGTGTATATAGTATATCTACTTTACATAAATTATCACCAATCAGACGAGAACATTTCTCTTAATTATAAGTGCATTAAACATTATAAACTGAAAGGGGAGAGGTATATTTTAACAGTTTTACAGATTATCGCACCATTCTCAGGCAATCTCCATATTTCCCCCGTCTTCAGCAAGAGACTGTAAAAGCCTATCAAACTGCCACTGCACACCTATTATAACTGCAATGTTCACAAGTGATTCTTGTATTTTTATTTTTTGTTTTAATTCTTGTAAGCAAAAAGGAAATCTATAGGCAATTTTAAGGCTTTATTGTTTAGACAATGCTGTCCTTGAATACTTGCAGAAATTTTTAAAATTCACATAAAACTCCGATGGTTTGATAATTGGTTTAGTTTCTTTTCTGTGGTCTTTTGACAGTTGTTCCTCGTTTGCAATCTGAGATAAACAAAGATCATGACAAAAACACAAGGCTGTTTCCTTGTCGTTAGTTGTATTCTGTTTACTATTGTTGTTGTTCTTTGAGTTCACATCAAGGGTGCTCTCTATCTTCCTTGAGAAAGGCACCTTTCGTTGATTTTGAATAGAATCACAGGGTAAATGCTTAGTTTTTCTGTCACATTCATCTGTGATCTTCCTAGTATCCACTGTTCCAATATGAATAGGTATTTTAGAATTTGCCTCAAATGGTCTCGACACAGAATCCGCTGAGCTCTGTTCAGTTCTTTTGTTTTGTATAGATTTTGTTGATGGTGAAGAGTTAAACCCACACCCTGTACAGCTAGAAGACAGAGACTTTTCTGTGGTAACCTGCTTCTCCTCACTCTCTCCTGGATTGATACATGAACTGCTGTCTGGTCCCTTAATGTTTGAAGTTACAGATTCCAACCTTGCTCTTTTTGCTGAGGGTTCATTTACAGAACTAGAATCGGTAAGAATCTAAATGAAGATACAGAAAATAAATTACTAGTACATGTATATTATTTATAATACAGTGCACATGTATGAAAATTTACCAGCTCATTATCTGTTTCATGCAAGTACAAAAGCCTGTAGAATGCAGGGGTGCTGGGGAGGGGGGATGGACTACTTCTTTCTGAATATTTTGCTATAGTAAATTTTCATTTAGATCCTGGGTGCCCCTCCCCCCTTTCTACTCTTTGCTGCTGTAAGGTCAAGCAGGTCCACGATTTGGGCAGTTATTATTAATTTTTTTTTTAATTATTATTTTTTAAAAATTTTTTTTTGTTTGTTTGTCAGATTATTTTGGGAAGTTGCCCCCCCCCCAACTTTTTGGACAGTTTTAGATTGGTTTTTCTTTTTTTTGGCTTGTCAAATTTTTTTTTGGAAGGTGGGCCATCGTCCCCCCCCCCCAACCCCCAACCCCCTTTAAAACCATTGCTACAGACCTGGCAAGTGTATCTTATTGTTTGTTTCAGTCTACCTCAATGAAATTACTCCATTCATCTGGCAGACTGTTACTGATGTTGTAGAGTAGCATTCCCCCATAGCCAGCCCCCCCCTCCCCAAATCTGAACTATAGAGTTGGATTTCACCCTGAGGGGAAATCTCACAATAGAGCCAAATTTCCCCCTCATTCTTTCTCAGAGTGGGATTTCCCCCCTTGTATCAATGCTTATATCGTATCCACAAAATTCTGGCTAAAAGTTTATATGAAAGTCAACAGATTTCTAAAAGAAATTTGAGTGCTTTCAATTCAAGAATTGTCAAACGAAGTATTAAATCTTAATATATTTAGTTTAAATGAATACATTCAACCCAAAATTTTAACTCATAGAAAATTGTAAAATTAGTCATTTAAAAAATCCTAAGACTCAACGTCAACATCTCTCTCTATGTGAAGATACCTGTTTGTTCAGGAATTTTAAAATGTATATCAGGCCACATTTAGTGATTTAATAATATGTTGGCCCTCTAAAGGCCTAGTATTCTATTTATGGATTGATCCTTTTGACAAAGACAATAATTTATGTTATTGTTAGATTCCACATACCATTTTGAGTTTTTAAATCGAATACTTCTTCAAAGGATAAAAGCCAAGACCAAACAAGAGGCCCATGGGCCACATTGCTCACCTGAGTACTGTGGCTAGGAAAAAAGCAAAAATCAGTTCAGTATTGAAAAGCTTTAATGCATAAGTGGTGCCAACCTACCCCTAAAAAGGGCTCACTTAAGCTTTCAGCTCAGGTGAGCAAAAAACAAAAGGCCCATGGGCCACAATGCTCACCTGAGTAACTTTGCCCCTGCTGTTCTTCACAAGATTTTCCCCTTTTAATACTTATTGTGGCCCCACCCTACCCCCGGGGGGTCATGATTCAAACAATTTAGAATCTACACCACCTGAGGATGCTTCCATATAAGTTTCAGATTTTCTGGTCCAGTGGTTCTTGAGAAGAAGATTTTTAAAGATTTTTTCTATATACATGTATTTCGATGTAAAACGTTGATTCTTCATTGTGGCCCCACCCTACCCCCGGGGGTCATGATTTGAACAATTTAGAATCTACACTAACCAAGGATGCTTCCTTATAAGTCTCAGCTTCTCTGGCCCAGTGGTTCTTGAGAAGATTTTTAAAAAAATTTCCTATATATTTCAATGTAAAACTTTGATTCCCCATTGTGGCCCCACCCTACCCCCGGGGGTCATGATTTGAACAATTTAGAATCTACACTACCCAAGACTGCTTCCATATGAGTATCAGCTTTTTCTGGCCCAGTGGTTCTTGAAAAGAAGATTTTTAAAGATTTTTCCTATATATTTTAATGCTTTGTTTTAAAACTTTGATTCCCCATTGTGGACCCATCCTAACCCCAGGAGTCATGATTTGAACAATTTAGAATCTACACTACCCAAGGATGCTTCCACATAAGTTTCAGCTTTTCTCGCCCAATGATTCTTAAGAAGAAGATTTTTTAATGACCCCATCCTATTTCTGTCATTTCTTGATTATCTCCCATTGTAAGGGGGCTTGGCCCTTCACTTTTACAATTTAAACTCCCCTTCACCCAAGGATACTTTGTACCAACTTTGGTTAAAATTGGCCCAGTGATTCTTGAGAAGAAGTTGAAAATGTGAAAAGCTTACAGACGGACAGACAGACGACGGACAACAGGTGATCAGAAAAGCTCACTTGAGCTTTCAGCTCAGGTGAGCTAAAAATCATTTCAAATAATTCCATGGATACAGTTAAAAATTTGTTAAACTGATTACATAGTACCCTTTTTTTTAAAAGCCAGTTTGACCAGTTGAAAAGAATAAGAGTTTAATGCTTCAAACAAATTGATGGTCATTTACTGAGAAAAAGGGAAATTCAAAATTTTCAATTTTCATAATAATAATTCATATTTCCAATGTAACTTGCTGCCTTTCTGAAGAATGGACACTTCTAACAATGTGTCACCCCCTTCCTTCCATGTATATGTATAGCCATGATATTTTATTGGGGGAAAATTTGGCTCTGGGGCAAATTGCACTGTATAGTAAATATAAACTATTACACATGGCAAGAAAATTTCCATGGGGAAAATCCTACTCTAGAGTAATTTTTCCATGGGGGAAATCCTGCTTTAGAGCCAATTTTCTGGTGGGGATATATTTAAATCCTACTCTAAGAGCCAGTTTTCTGGGGGAAAAGATTTTACAGAGGAAAGCCTACGTACTCTACAAGACCAGTAAATCTTTTATTTAAATAATTTCTTCTAGGTTCATGTAGTTAAAAGTTCTATTAAAAACTTTTTAATAGCTTTAAAATCTTCATGCCAATGTTTTGTAACTTCTTAATTAGACATTTACTTGGCTTTGTAATATGTTTTCTGTCTTTCTCTGCAGGTACAGGGCACAAGCATTGGAAAATTGCTCTTGGCCCCTCAGGTCCAAGATGTCCTCCATGCTCTTAATTTCCTCCTCTGACAGAAAATGAATCAGTTTAGCATCATCAAAATGTTTGAAAGGGCAACCTCCTCTACTTCCACATGACGGAATAAATTCCTTGAAAAAAATGAACAAAAATATAAGAATTTACTCTGAAATCTTTAAACCTTTATCTTTTATATTCCCTCACTAGTGTGACTTCAGGAAAATATTCATAACCATTCATCCTCACAATGTCAGAAGTCCTGAATAAACACGTTGCAGTTGGACCCCTGACAAATTTCATTTGATCTCTTGTGGGCTGACTGCAGCGACGTCTTTTGGGGAAATTACAAATCTTGATTGTTTCTCATCTCTCAACCAATCACAATAAGCATTTCGTTGATAAACAATGCATAACACATGCATTTTAGGTGTCAACTGATTCCTTTCTGTTTACATTATCTATCTACTTCAATTTGATTGGTGCTTTTCAATGAGAGAAGCAAGCCCAAAGATATCATTACAAATGAAATTTGTCAGGGGTCCAACAGCAATGTGTTGACTCAGGACCCCTGACATTGTGAGGATGATAACCATTGGACTAGATGCAGGGATGGATGCAGGCACACACTCATATGTCAATGAGCTGCTATATGACCCCTTTGCAACTTTATTGCAGGAAAATAAAAGTTTCTGACACAAGTACAAGCTGACAAAATTCATTCGCAAGTTGACAAGATAATTTACAGACTTTGCTAATGCCCTATACCAACCTGTAGAGAGATGCAGCAGTGAGCCCTGTAATTGATATGAGATCCCTCCAGTCCGTACAGATGCCTAATACTATACTGGTACCTCCTCTCGTTCCCCTCCCACTTGTGAGAACAGCCACTGTTAGGATCACTGACTCTGCTGTAATAATACCTCCAGAAATGTAAAGCCTCATGAACAGGCATACCTATTTCTTTTAAAAACAAGGTCAGCTGGATCTAGAAAAAGCAAAGTGTATTAAAATATTTTCCATCATTTTTCTTTTAATATAATCTTTTTATTTATTACACATATAAAACAGCATAGCATTACATATACCAGTAAAAAGAACAAGGTTCACTTAGGGCCATTTTTGGCCATGTGAATTTCGGATTTTTTGCCTCTGTGAATTTCTGAAAAATCAAAACTACTCAGTTTCAGTTGAAATTCATAAAATTTCACTTGGACCCTTCGTGACTGCATATCTATTAAAAATGACATAATTTTCTTGCTAATCCATGTATTATGATGTCATGAATTGTGTAACTATCCTCAAATCCTGAAATTTCTTCAAAAATGGCCAAGAATTTAAGCAGTTTTTCAATATTTTGCATAGACCTCAACCTCTGATCCAAAATGTTCAATTATATAATGAAAGGACTATTTTAGAAGAATATATAACATGATTTATTTTTTGGATGGAGGGGTGAGCTCATATTTTAATTCTTCACTGAAAGTATTATAATATTTTAATATTTTTATTCTTTGCTGAAAGTACTCAAATACACCCATTTTATTAAAAAGTTAGGAACATCGCAATTTCACAAAGCCTGTTTTTCAATATCAGGACCCTGAGAGGAAACCTTTTGTTAGGAAATGAAAGCACCAAGTCTTTACTTTACTTTGATGTTTGAAATGGAACATTGGGACTTGGTCAGTTAATCAGTATATGGACAGGGCTATTTCATGGACAAAGTGAACCTAGCTCTTTCTTCAACTTTCCTGCAAAACTCTCATATAATCATGAAGTAGATCTTTGGTACATCCTAAATACATTGTAGATATTCTGGAAATGAACTTCTAGAGCATTCAAAAATTTAGCAATATTTTCCTCATGACCTGGTTATAATAATATACAAAATAGTGCATTTGACACCAAGTTTCAATATGAAGCTGTTTTAATATATAGAGGATATTCAATGTTTTGTAGTTGGATATGGAATTTATTTCAGAGTGGGACAGGATTTTTTTTATATTTTCATGAGTGCGAAGCATGAGTGAAAATATCAAAAAATCCTGTCTCACAAGTGAAATAAATTCCATATCCAACTTCAAAACATTGAATTTTCTGTTTATTACATTTTCTTTGATTTTCCTTTGCCTCTGTCTTTTCTGAACACAGTGTCAAAGGCTGTGACTTCATAGTTGATGGTTGAGACATCATAGCTTAGCAATTATTGTGAGATTGAAAACATTGTAACATAAATTTTAGCAACATATTTGGGAAGAAATTGGCAGTTTTTGTCTCTATCAAGATGTTTTAGTTACTATTTTTATCTTATGAAAGGCCAGAAGTTATTTTTACTTACTTTGATATCCTTTCACACTAGGGCTGGGTATCGGCTGGAAATTTCGTATTGTGATATATTGCAATATTTTTAACTGTATTGCAATATGTATTGCAATATTTTCAATGACAGTTAAAATGCTCTTTTTCTTATTATATCAAACTCCATATATAAGCAACCTGTGTAAAACTATTATAAATATACATTGTTACAAAAAAAAATTGATTTCACTACAGTTTTGGAACAAAATGCAACCATACAACAGCAACTTTACCGTTTGGTACTGTGTGGTATGATTGAAAACGTTCTGACATATTACATTTCATATTTTACTCAAGAAATCTAAAGCCCAAGCAGTTTGCAGGTATATCAGTACTGGAAAAACGTATTGCAATATGATATTTTTTGTCAATGAATTGCGATATACATATGTACCAGAATATCGATATTATTGCACAGCCCTATTTCACACTGTGAGAGAATATCACTTTGGTATCCTTTCACACTCTGACAGAATATCACTTTTATTCTATAAATAAATCACAGTATTTCACTGTTTAAAATGTAATAAACATGTATATCCTTACACACTGATACATCATCAATGTGATGCATCCTCAGTGTATTTTGTTAGTGTGACACATTCTCACTGTATATCAGGATACATTTCAAGTTCATTTTAAAATTGTGATAAGTGAATTTTTGGTGCAAAACATCCTTAGTGTACATAATGTTATATCCTCAGTGTATATTATGATACATACCGGTATTCAGTGTATACTATTATACATCCTCAGTGTATACTATGAAAAATCCTCAATCTATACTATGATGCATTCTCAGTGTATATTATAATACATCCTCAATGTCTACTATAATAATTTCTCAGTATAAACTATGATACATCCACAGTGTGTACCATGATACATCCTCAATTTGTACTATGATACATTCTCAGTGTAAACTAATATACATTCTCAGTGTATACTTATGATACATTTTCAGTGTTAACTATGACACATCCTCGATGTATACTATGATACATCCTCAGTGTATTTAAGTGTGATACTTTCTCAGTGTATAAGTTAGGTATATGCTCAGTGTATGTTTAAGGCAACATAACACACTCTCAGTGTATATGTGTACACAGTGGACATACCCTGGAATGGTGCTGAAGTCTGTGGTTTTCATGAAGATTCTGAAATAGCACTGACATACATGGTGGGAAGAATTTGCTCTCTGACATCACTTCCTGTTGTCCCAGTGAAGAGGAGGTTACAAAAGACATATCAGCAAATGGCTTGTAGTTATTCCTTAATATTACCTACACACATATATATTAAAACATGAATTTATTTATGAAATATCTCTGTGCCCAAACTACAAACTAAGAAAAAAAAATACTTGTATTAATGAATTAAAAAAAAAAATAAATGATGACATTTTCCGAGATTTCTTAAAAAGACTCCAATTCTGCATTGAAAAAAATAAAGCTTGAGAGAGATTTTAGGGAATTGAGACCCTTTACCTGCAATTGGTGTCTGAGTATTCTACAGCGCTTATCCAAGCTTCCCTGCATGGATTTACATTTCTGTAAGCCATGACGAAGAATGAGCATAAAGCAGTGTTCCAGCACATCATGTAGGTAACAGTATGGTACATCGGCCTGTCCATGTTGAATGGTTACCACTCTCTTGGCAACTAATTGTGGTACAACAGAAAATGGGACGTGGAAGGAGAAATTGTCTTTTTTGTCGTGACTGAATGAAACAACCTTCCTCCAGCTTCTATGGGAACTCTTTATCTGTGATAGAATACTCTGAATTTGGTACACGAAGGAGAAGTCTGAAGATAAGGGATGTATGGAATCCTGTAGTTTCTTTAGCTTTGATTCAAAATAAGATAAATACCTACAATTCAATTGCCATGATAATTTAAAGTATATGCATATGATCTACTTTACGTATATTTATTTTAGCATGATTCATACTTTAGAGTCTAGCTATGTCACAATTTTCTGTTTGTAATTTATAAAAACCTGCAAAATATAATTTTATAGAAATATATGCTACATAAAAAATTTGATGATATTTATTCATGATTGTGCCAAATAGTTCTTTATCTATCTTTGTGTTAAGTTTTGAAAATGAGAAAAAGTACCTGTATAGTACAAGTACGTAATGAGAATTACCAACATTCAACTTAAATACTTTTCACAGGATTTTAGCATTCATACCCAGATAATTCTGTATCATTCATGCTCTTTAGTCTAAATTGGAACAGTCTGGTCTCAGCTTGGAGAAGAAAATCACAGGTATCAGCCTCATTTGCCAGCAGAAGTCTACAAAAACAAATCATTTGTAATTTTTGTATACAATATCTTGGATAGCAATGCAAGTGATTTCAAGCTAAAGACGCAAGTGAGCTAATCTTGAATGAAGTTTGTCAAGCATTATTTGACTGTCTGTAATCCTAATTTACCAGAACCCAAGTCAACTCAATTTTAAAATTCATACTTTTTTTTTTTTTTTTTTTTTTTTTTTTTAATCATATTCTAATTCCTTTCCTGGAATTCACTGATATCAAAAAAACAAGTCCCCAGAGAAAATAAGACCCACATGATTTTCATGTCTGTCTCTTGGTATACTGGTTAAATCACACTACATATGTATTTTGAGTATTTTTACAATTTAAACTACCCTTCACCCAAAGATGCTTTGTACCAACTTTGGCTAAAATTGGCCAGTAGTTGTTGAGAAGTTGAAAATGTGAAAAATTTACAGACGGAAGGACAGACAGATGGATGGATACCAAACAACAGGTGATCAGAAAAGCTCACTTGAGCTTTCAGTTCAGATGAGCTAAAAAAGAATGACACATCCTCTGGTCATAAGTAATCTAGAGCATGTAGAGTGACATTGAATTTGCCATGCACAGACAAAACCCATGCCCTTGCAACGATGGAGTTTCAAAGCAGCCAGCATTTTAACATGATTCAAACAGCTTATTTAGAACAATTTGTCCTGTATATATACTATAAAAAGCAAACCTCAAAGTAAAATGGGAAATGATATCTTTATGGGACCCTTCAAGTAACACATCAGAATCTATCACAACATCCTGGTCGGACAAAATCGACATGAAGTCGTCTATCTGGTTTCCACATTTTAAAACTCTTAATAAGAATTTCAATCTAATCCTTGCAAAATGCTCAAAGTTTTTTAAGGCTACAACGCCTCTTGGTGATTCAAAATAAAACATAATCTGGAGGGAGTTCTACTTTCGTTTTGTGTCAGTGTAAACAAATGTACCAAATGTACCTTCGTGTATTAGAGAGTATAATGTGGCACGGGTAAAAGTAGATGTGTATAGCAGATACCGTATAATTGCACACATTGCAGACTTGGGAGGGGGAAGCAAGGTTACAAGGGGAAAAAGTACATCAGTCACAAGAACACAAATATTCATGGGAATTTGCATATGTGGCATATATATTCAGTAACATATCTTATCACAGGTGATTTGCTCTATTTGTATATAGTTTCATTGAAATTCAAATTGTACGCTACATTCAGCTATCACCAATGATCACAGGTTGCATTCGCGTGAAAGAATGGGGCGTACAAGGCGAGGGCAATTCCAAGCTCTGAGACAATATATTTCAATTTTCTACTTCTACCGGTATAAGCGTCCACCGTCAAAATGCTGACTATTATACCACTAGGTGTGCACATGATAAAAAAATATATTGTGATGGTCTATTTACGGGTGAGTTTTAAAAAAAATTTCAATGTTCATGGAAAAGTTTTATTTTTCAAAATTTCTGCATTTCTGAGAATTTTATTTTGCTGTTAAAATGTGCTGTTTTGATAAATATGTATGTAATTTAAACCTTTATGATCAATTAGACTAAAATAAAGTTTTGTGGTTTTTTTTTCATAAAAAAGGTTTTATACAATGGAATGAATAGTATTATGTAAGAAATCAAAATATTGTACAGAACGACAATAATGTAATTTTGCTTCAATCAAAGTCTCTAAATAGTTCTTCCATCGCAAATATGAACAACAAAAGTTTATAAATGATCTTTTTTTCTGTCATTGAAATTGTTAATTACAATTTTGCCACAAAAAAATTCCGACTTCAAAGTTGCAGCTCATATTCATTCAAGTTTGTCAATTATGTACGAAAGCCCATTGAGCTCATTTTCGTAAGTTAAAAAAAATATACTTTTCGCGTTATAACGCGTAACTTTCGCAAATAAACGCGAAATCTTCGCGTTATAAAGCGATACTTTCGCGAATAAACGCGTAACTTTCGCAAATAAACGCGAAACTTTCGCGAATAAACGCGTAACTTTCGCAAATAAACGCGAAACTTTCGCGTTATAACGCGTAACTTTCTCAAATAAACGCGAAAATTTCGAGTTAAATCGCGAAATTATACATATGTTATCATGTTACTCAGGTACCCGTGATCTTGACTGACAGATAAGAAATTTGAAAGCAGACGGGGACTTCTATGAATTTATAAATGACATTTCTTCAGAGGATTTAAAGAGAATTGATGCGAGAAATGAATAGATTAGTGTTGATTTTGCATTTAATCTTAAAACCTTACTAATTAATAAAATGAATATTCCCTTAAAGATTTTCTTGTTTTCACTTGTTGAATCCAAGAAATTCTTTAGATGATTTGTTTTCAGGAAAATCTCTTCTCGTCGCTTTCTTTTTCAAGGCTGTTTTTATCGTTTAAGTTCACTATAACTTTACCACTAGTAAAGAAATCCATCATTTTAGACTATAAATTATACAATTTAGAAATCTGGCTTAAAAGTGAGGGAACAATGTATCATTTCGTGAGCTTAACATGCCATAGGATGCTTTTTAAAGAATACTTATAATAGGATACTGTTAATCACAAATTTATCGGGAAGGAGGGGTCTACTTTTCTTGATTTTCCTCCATAATTTATATATAGGAGGGGTTATTAAAAAGACTAGCGCTATAAATTAAAACTGCTAAAGGTATACAGCAAAGAGTTTATATATATATATATATATATATATATATATATATATATATATATATATATATATATATATATATATATATATATATATATATATATATATATATATATATATATATATATATATATATATATATATATATATATATATATATATATATATATATATATATATATATATATTTGAATAATTATGAATTGTCAATGTTTTCGTAAGTAATGGTATGACCACGCGGCGCAACCTTAAGATACGATGTTGTATTTCTACAGTGAGTCTATCGGAGATGAATCATTTGATACGAATATTTGTCATCCAATTTTCACATTAGGTTATCCAACTCATGTGATGTGACACAATTGTTCCGTAAAATATACAAATTTAAGTCATTTTATTTTCAATTTTCTGAGTTCTTAATTTTATTTCAAATTCTATAGAGAGTGTTAAAAATGACGCCGGAAAGGGGGATCATTTTCCCGAAAGATTCACTTTGGAAGAACCCGCATAGACTTTGAAAATGTTTGAACAGCGTTGAGAAAGACAAAATGTGACGGCAAAAAAAGATTTAGAAAAAGGAGACACATTCAATTATGAATGGCGAGAAAACATAAAATTTCAGCTTGTGGTAATCCAAGTTCAAAATAGTCTTTCGTTTTTCATTGTAATGAATAAACTAGAATTAAGGTAAAAAGAAAAACTAGAATTAAAGTAAAAGAAAATGGAGACTTAAGCAAATGTCTCTGTTTTACAGGGAAAGTTTCGCGTTATAACGCGAAAAATATGTTTGTTTTTCCTAAAATGAGCTCAATAGGCTTTCGTAGTTATGTGATCTTTAACACATTTGATTCATTTAGTTAGTTTAATAACTTATTGATTGATATTTTGTTTGTTTGTTTTTTAAAGTTGAAAATGGGTCTATCACAGGCATTAAAAATGATTTTTGAATATGAATGCTCAAGTCTTTATTCTACATAAACCTATATAGCTTTTGACGGAAAAATAAATGTAAAATCTATTATAAAGATATATATTAAGATTTGGAGTCTGAACCCATTCTATATGAAAATTGAAAATTTTAATTTCTTGGGGGAGAGAGAGAGAGACTTGTTTATTTAAATCACAATGGTACAGTCAAGTTCAAGTTCAGTTTATTCGCCCAAACCAAAATATTGGTACATGGGGTACATTAATAACATATATACATTTCAAACAAACTGGTCAGAGGTGCAAAAACTATATAAATACAACACAAAATATGGTACAAAGTGAAAAGAGATAGAGAGAGAGAGAGAAAAATAAAGTATGAAATATATCAAGGAGGACAGACAGCGTCAAACTTTTAGGATAAACATACATAATTTTTTCAGGATTTTTTTCGTTTTGAGTTGACATAAGTTCCGTAAATTTAATAACATTCGGTCTTTGAGTCTTTGAGAATAATAATTACCCAGATATTTTTTCGTACGTTAGCTAAAGATTTGCATTCTAGAATATAATGAAATCCATTATTATATATGTTAGTGCGACATGTGCATTAGTACACATAAAATACGTTCTTTTAGGGTTGTTTTTTCTGTTGTTGATACTTTTCTTGAAATAGTCAGTGGCGTAGCTGCCTTTAGGCACTTAAGACACGTGCCTACACTTAATTTTATTCAGAAAAAATAATTAGAAACAAACCTGTAAAAAAGAAAAAAAATGAATGACTAAATATCATTTTCGCCATTGCTATAGAGATCATGAATGTATAAATAACCATCGATCTGTGCAAAGAAATAATAACCTGCAATAGTTAACTGACTGTTTCACTGTAGGACTCCTTATAAAATGCCTTGTAAATTTCTATATGCAAGTACATGTAATTAAATATAGATATAAGACCCCCTGACGCTCACAAGTTATGTTATGTGTGGCATTAAGTTTCATTTTAATTAATTTGATCTAACAGCAATTAACTTTTTTGTGGCTGTCCAACCGAATTTACCACTTCTTTGTGGGTAGACTAGCTTTTTTTTCTGAAAAAAAAAATATTTGTTCATTATTTATTGTAAAACATTGTACGATGGCCGATATGGGCCGGACAAAAAGTATCCACGAGTTGTGTTCGATTTGCCGGCAATTCTTAGATGCCGGCAAAAAGTAACCACGAGTTGTGTTTGATTTGCCGGCAATTCTTAGATGCCGGCAAATCTTAGGTACCAGCAATTCTTATATATAATATTTAATTAAAATGCCAGAGGATATCGAGGTCACAGAAGTCTAGTTAACTTAACAGGACAAAGGGTTTGACAAAACACAGAGTACTGAGAAAAGTGAGGAGGAAAACCGCATACAGACAATGTTTAAGGGGTTTCCAGACCTGTGCACTCCACATAAACGTATATTAATATCTTTTAAATTCATTACCAACCCATATTTTATTTGATCTTCAATAGTTGTGTTATTTATTTTAATATCAAAGCCAGTGTTTCCTCAAATACCAAATGAACGCTGTGCACTCTGCCTGTTGATTGACGGCCCAGCTACATGTAGTCAACTGATTAGATGTTTTAAAAAACTTGCCTGGTTAAATACCATAAACAATTAGGAGGGTGATAATGAGAATACAGAAAACTTCTGAATTTGTATTGTCCATTTTAATCTAGGCCCTGCCATATCTTAATGAAATATTATGAAAAACCGGAAAACGAAACTTTTGTTTCCCTGAGGATGAAGAGCAGTTTACACTTGTCGATTTGCGTATGTATATCTGCAGGACCTCATATATAAAGGAGGCCCGATACATTACCCAAGAAATGTTTTTTTTTTCTAATATACTTGATTTTCAAACATTTTGTAAAAAGACAGTGAACGAAACCCAGACCAGTGTTGAAATAGCCCCCCCCCCTTACTGACTCTTTTTTTTTTTTTTTTAATTTTCGGGGAGGGGGATGCTGCTTTCTAGCCATTTAAATAGCTTGACTTCGTTTTGATGTCATAAATAATGCCACGTATCGAGTGAAACTGTTGTCTTTGTCAAACCGTTTTCCCAATTAAGATAACTTTACCTTTGAGACCTCTAGTATTTTAATTAAATATTTAAAATAAGAATTGCCGGTATCTAAGAATTGCCGGTATCTAAGATTTGCCGGCATCTAAGAATTGCCGGCAAATCAAACACAACACGTGGTTACTTTTTGCCAGTATCTAAGAATTGCCGGCAAATCGAACACAACTCGTGGTTACTTTTTGTCCGGCCCATATCGGCCATCGTAACATTGCTTTGTGTCTCATTATTTTTGAATACGTTTTAAATATGTTTGTTTGTTGTTTAATGTCCCTCTCGAGAATTTTTCATATGGAGATGCCACCAGTTTGAGAGCTGCAAATTTTGACCTATACTCGGTACTCAGGGCTATTGAGCAGTGAGGGATTTTTTTCGTAACAGCACCTACTGTGACACATGACCTCGGTTTATACGGTCTCATTCGAAGGACCAGTCTCCACGTCCCACAGTGGGATTTGAACTCGCGACGTAAGGATCAACTTCTTACTCCGCGACTCTAGAGCAAACGATCTAACCACTGCGCCATGCGGGCGACATAAATTTCTTCTTCTATTCTAAATTTGATTACGCCGAAAAAATATGAAAACTCGATCTTCTAACTTAAGATTTCTGGTTAAAAAGTCGGACTGCATTTTCTTAGCTTTTCTCCTTAATATGAAATTTCATTTTAAAGAGACCCAGAAATTTGTATTTTAAACGCCCACAATTTGTCACCGTCTCAACATCGTGAAATCCATTTTCCGTCAGGGGGCTTCGCCCCCCCTGAAGCCCCTACCAGGGCGCTGCCCTGGACCTGCTGGGGGCCTTAGGCGGCCCCCAGACCCCTCGCCGCACACAGGGTAATTTGTGCCTATACTTCATCAAAGTTCTAGCTATGCTCCTGAATACAAATTTATACTATTTTAAATCTTAAGGATATCCAATCCTCAGCCAGGAAGGACAACTTTATTTAAATTATATTTTAATCCAAAAAGTCTCAAAATAAAGCTTGAAATTGAAACTTTTTCATGCAACAACTTTCATTTTATGCCTCTTAATGTGATTCAAGGTTTTTTGAAGTTCTTAAAAACAGTCTTATAAAAAGTTGATAATTGCACCCCATAAAAGTATTTTAAAAATTATATACTTAAAGAAATCCAATTTCCTTTAATCAAGCCTTTGATACCAATGCTAATTAGGTTGATATGAAATCAGAAGTGATTTATAGTGCTTTGCAATGATAGTAGAGGCTTTACACACTATGCATTATAAAATGATGGAAGTAAATAGAAGAAAATAAAGTACCGTATAAGTATAAAATTCATGCAATTTTCTTCAAAAGTCTGGATACCTATAATTTTTATTCCTAAAATATTTTAGTTGTTCAATTTTCAATTAGAAAATGCATATTAGGTGTTTTTATTCGCATTTCCATAAAATTTATTTGAGATTCACTATTTTCCCCTGTATAATATGATTAACTTTAAAGATGAAGTTTGAAGAATTACCGTGGGTAAATACACATTACTTTGGGAATTCAGAGACATTTTTGTGAACATTTTTAATTATTCAATGCCTGATTTTCATAACCTGAGGATCGGACTACCTTGAAAACTTTCTAACACACCCACAAATAGATCGGCCGCTCCTGTCGCCGATAATAATAAATAGCCGACCAGTCTTAATTTACATCTATAAAGTTTTTTCTTTTATTCTCTTTTCTCTCCGTTTCTTTTCTTTTTTTTCTCTCTCCCTCTCTTTTCATACTTTATGAGTACCGATTGTTTAGAATAGGAGTTATCTCTCTCTATACGGTTTCATTATAAAAACATATCTTCGTTGAAATCTATTTACAACCTTTTCAGTATATTTTGCGGACAGACCTGCTATTTTTCTTCATTAGAACTTTTGTTATATTTTGAGAATGTGAAGGTAATTAAATTTACTTTCCTACCTGTTTTAATTGTAGTTGAGGGCAAGGCGGTGTATGTAACAAGCGTCACCCCCCTTCCCCTTCCCCCCCCCCCCCAGACACATACATATTGTATTAATATATTCTTCTATATCACGTTTATATTTATTCTTTAACTATTTTGGTTTAATTCAACCATATTCCCTTTTTTCATACATTCATTTCGTATAAATTCGTTACCATATTTCTGCTGTATAATTAGAACGTCATTCATTTGTGTGAATCGATATGCTTTCTAACTTAACATGCATGTAAAATTTCATATAGTATTTTTCTCATTATTTTAAACAGCCTACAGGCGTGTTTTTATTACAATATAACACGGATTAGTTATTTTAATTATAATCAATAATGAAACGGATTAGTACAATTTTTTAAAACTTGTTACCGAATTATTTTGTTTTCCTGTACTGCTTGCCTGTACATGTATTTTGTTCTTTTATTTTCAAATAAAATATGGTTTAATCCTAGGCAAAATGTGAAAGTTTTTAATTCTCGACACATTTAAATTAAAAAAAAAAAAAATGAAATTTGTAATAAATAAATAAAACGATGGCAGCTATTTTTTTTTTTAATCTATGGAATAATACAGGGAAAAGAGTTTATCTTGAGTTTATTATAAAATTTAAGGTAACTTTAGCATTTAGAATAAATTCATTAATAAAAATAACACTGCCGTTATAAATTTTGATTTGTATTATTTAACTTATTGGGGGGGGGGGGGTGATGCAGAGTGCTGTTAAATTAACTTTTAATTAGGACGAATACATGTATTAAACCGTTAATTTGGTTAATGTCAATGTTTAGCGGAATAATGTCAGTAATGAGCATAATTATGTCCACTTTAATTGAGTGATTTATTTTTAATTACATTTGACAGAGGAAAAAAAAGATTTGTGTTAACGCCCTTCAGAGTCCTCAAGTGACCATCAAAGAATATTGCCTAAAGGATTTTCTTCATTGAATTACATACATTATTTGCGAAATCAAAACAATAACTGTACACTGACAGTTTTGAAGGGGTGTAAAAGTAACAGCGATCTTAACCAATTGTATTCCTCGTTACTTCGGAGATTCTCTGGCGCATAAATAGTTTCTAGATCCCCATTTCACGCAGGTTTGTGCTTGGTATTCCAGGTCATTGATCTAGAAACTTTCGAAATTCTAATTCAATTCACCGCACAAAGACAGGAGAAGAAGATGCACATAGATGATTCATGTAAGTCTATCTCTCTTTAACATTTGAACTTATTTGAGGACATGAAGATGTGTCTAGTTGATTAATGTGTGATTTTGAATATTTTAGGACCATGTCTTAATATTGATTACCTGGATATTGGCTCAAACCAGCGGATTATTTACAAAAATGGCAGCTTTAAAAGTAGTGTGTTTTGTTACGTTTCTTCTCTCGGTTTGCTTTATTGTAAATGGACAGAAAATGTTTCAACCACATGCAAAATGCCAACTGATATCGATTCCTCTGTGCAAAGATTTGCCGTATAATTATACGATCATGCCAAATCTATTGAACCATCAAAAACAAGAAGACGCCGGATTAGAGGTGCATCAATTCTTTCCTCTTGTGAAGGTCCAGTGCAGCCCTAAACTGAAATTTTTCTTGTGCACAATGTATGCACCCGTGTGTACAGTGCTAGAAGAGGCTATTCCACCCTGTCGCTCTATGTGTAATGAGGCTAGGAATGGATGTGAATCATTAATGAATAAATTTGGATTTGAATGGCCGGACAGTTTAAAATGTGAAAAATTTCCGGAGAGTGGTATGTGTGTTGGAGAAAATAGAACTGATCCAGTGGAGTCTACACCCCATCCTCCTGATGGAAATGGAGGTGGGAATGATCGCGATGAACATTTTCCAGGATTTATTCCTGATGATGAAGAAAATAAGTATAGACCAGGGTACGGGGGAGACCACAAGGGTGATGTGGTCAACTCCTACAAAACGTGTCCCATAAAATATCGTATTTCTCTAGGATTTGACTACCGCTTAAAAGTTGGATCTACAGTGTACCCGGAGTGTGGTGCCCCATGTGAAAACATGTATTTCAATGAACACGAGCGACACTTTGCCAAATTATGGATAGGTGTTTGGTCAAGCATATGTTTGGCTTCTACACTGTTCACTGTCTTAACCTTTTTCATTGACATGACCCGCTTTCGTTATCCTGAACGTCCAATCATATTTTTGTCTGGATGTTACTTCATGGTTGCTCTAGCATATGTAATTGGATTTTCTCTTGACAAAGAGGCAGCAGCATGCAACAGATTTAAAAACAGACCAGAAACGGTGCTTATAACTACACAAGGAACTAAAAAAGAATGGTGTACTATTCTTTTCATGATGATGTACTTTTTCAGCATGGCCTCCTCAATTTGGTGGGTCATTTTGACCTTGACCTGGTTCCTGGCAGCAGGAATGAAATGGGGTCATGAGGCTATAGAGGCCAACTCCCAATACTTCCATCTTGCTGCTTGGGCAGTGCCTGCCATCAAAACCATTGCCATTTTAGCCATGGGTCAAGTGGATGGGGACACACTTAGTGGGATTTGTTTCACTGGAATTTTCGATGTGGATGCACTGAGGGGATTTGTGTTGGCCCCATTAGTTGTATATTTATTATTAGGAACTTCTTTCTTATTAGCTGGATTTGTTTCGCTCTTTAAAATCCGCACCATTATGAAAAGTGATGGAACAAAAACAGACAAGCTGGAAAAATTAATGGTCCGTATTGGAATTTTTTCAGTATTATACACTGTGCCAGCTACCATTGTAATTGCATGTTACTTTTATGAACAAGCATCTAGAGACACTTGGATGTTACATTGGTTTACAAAAGAGTGTTTAGCATCCTCAACAGATGCTCCTCCCGAAGGCATTGAACTGCTGAAGTCCGGGGACAAACCATGGCCTGACTTCAATGTGTTTATGATCAAGTACTTAATGACTGTCATTGTCGGAATTACCTCAGGGGTTTGGATTTGGACTGGAAAAACCCTCAGTTCATGGAAGAGGTTTTATGCCAAAATTTGTGGGTCTAACAAACGTGAAAGTAACGTGTGAAAACCTTCTTTGGATGGAAAGCAAAATGAAAACCTTAGTGGACTTCATTAAAATTTACAGATCTATTGTAAATTGATTGAGAAGCATGTTGTCAGTGAAATGCTGTAATATGTTGACTTACTAATTTGTACACCTTCCAAAGATGCCATTACATAGCTCTCTTGAGAATTTAAGTTGAATTCATCAGGTGAAAAATTCAATTATGTGAATACTTGCTGCATGAGTGACTGTGCTAAAATAATTTAACTGCCATAAGAGTACACATTCAGCGATAATGTACATGTGTGTGAGATTGTTCATGTGTAATTGTCTCAAGTTTATATATTAATTTGTGTGGTAAATGAACATATGCATCTTGTATCTCTTTTAAGTTCTTTTCATGTGCCAAAATCTGTGTTAAAATAGGAAAATGAAAAAAAAAAAAGTTTTGTGATTTCTAGCTTGATAATTGCATGAACAAAAATATTTTGAATTATGTAATATATTACTTTTTTTATCATTGATACAGTTTGAACAAATGGAAAATGCAAATAATTTGGTATTCAAATAATTTGGTATTCTTCATATTTTTTAAATTTACTTATATATTTCAAGTACATTTCATTTCTTTCTTATAAGGTATACATGTATATTTACTTTTTAAAATATGTTTATACACTAATATAATTCTACATGTTTTATGTGTATAAATGTGTGTCAATTTATTTAGATTCTTTTACTTGTAAATAAACATGTTTTTAGCTTTAAATCCCATTTTTTATGATTGTGTGTTAAGGCCAATTAGGGCTTGATTGTAAAACATGTACAGTTGCCTCTTGGTCATACAAGGTAACAGTATACATGATCAGATGCCAATTTTGAGGTGTGAAAGTATGATACTAGTATGTTGCTTGGAAGACGATGTAATTATGGGAATATTTTCTCTGTGGCACATGTAGGATTCATTTTTATTTTAATTAATTTCTCACTTACAACATAAAAAAATCATATGAAAAGCCAAATTCTATTGATTAAGTTTCTCAAGTTTTTAATTTGGTTTAAGAAATGTGTTTAACGACACAGTTCTGATTTTGTTAAATGAAGTTATAAGTTGTCAGTGTCACTCAAAACATCAGTCTAAGATGTTTTTGTTGGCAGGTGACACATGAAACAAGGAAATGTGAAGAATCATATAAAAACCCAGTTTGTCTGGGTTAGTATTTATCTAGAATTTTGATATAGGAGTAAACTTCTCTTTTTGTTTTCTTTGTAATTTGTATACACCATGCTGTAAATACAACAGTGTAATTTTGATAATGTATAGAAGTAACTGAAACAAAAATGGTTGTATGCTGAAGGTGAATTCAGTGGAATTTTTGAAATTATTTGAATGCACAGGTTGCTTTTTTGTGTCGCCTGCAGAGCAGAGCAGCACTTTACTTACTGATATGATTTACAATTTTTGATCCAAAAATAATTTTAAGGATATAAACAAACTGTTCCCAGTCCTCAGGAAAATGTCCTTTTGTATTAAAACTAACTGTACATTTGCTTCACAGGTGAACAGTGTATCCTAAAGAACAAGTTTTGATTTTCCCCCACAGCAAATTTTAGTACTTAAATTTTGTATCTAGTATCATGTGTTTTGTTTTCCTTTGAAGAAAGATTAGGAAATCTGGTTAAATTTACGTAGTTTAAAATTTTATTCAGAGAGAATTTTTGTGTTTCACTGGAGGGATTGATAAAGTTCATTGATAATAGATGTATCATATTTTGGGGGCTAAAGGAATTTTGGCTGGGTGCCAGTCAACTTTTATTTTTGTGAATCTTTTTTTTAAAACACCTGGAGTCGCGTGTGTTTAAAGCTTTTTTTGTCTGTGAGAGATAGAAATCTCTGCATGCCTAATTGTAATTTTTAACAGCCAGTGCTGTATGTGTAATAAAATCTAGTTAAATTCAATCATGTTTTCATTTTATGGTTTAGTTTGTAAGCACATGTACAAAATTCAACAGGCTAGTGTAGAATATGCAAGAAAATGACTTATTTCATACAAAATTGCTAATGGGAGGACTTGATAAATTTTTGAAAATAAGATTTTTACATAGGAACTCTAAATATATTTTAATAGAACAGATTAGCTAATATATTATATGAATTTCACAGTACTGAATAATGGAGAAGTTGGTCACACTTTGACTGTACTTGAGGGGAAATCCTCACTCAACAACACACACTTACACTCAATGGCTCACTTGATGTACTTTATTCATAATCTGAAGCTTAACAGTGATGCAGTTATATAAACACCTACAATATAACATCCTTACTAAGACATCTGATCTCTTACATAATTTTTGTATATTTATGGTTATTAGGGGGTCTAAAATATATTGTTGGGGTAGAAATTAAAGTGCTTTATAATTTATGAATGAAAATGCAACATTTTAATTGATGTCAATTTTGTTGAATATATGCTAGTTTTGTTTTCATATGGTACAATCAGTGTTTGTATGATGACATACTCTTTTGTGCTTTTGTTTTCCAACAAACTGTGCTCTTGAAATACATCAACATGCAAGATAAGGATGTTATCAATGCAATTTACCACCCTAAATGTAGGAGATATGATATGTGGAACTAGTATTGATAAGTACAAGGTATATAAAGACATGGAGACTTTTACAGTACTGCAAAATTAATGTTTATGTCATGACCATATCTGGCATATTTAATATGTCTGAGAGGACAGAATAATTCCACTTTAGACTTGTATCTTAAAATATTTTGTTAAAGTTAAGAAGCCTCCCTGTAAGCTATCTAGAACTTGTTGGGTGAAAGCAGGTCAGTCAATAGAAGCCACCAAAATTTGGATTTAACTTGGAAAAAAAATGCTTTTTGTTCTTCATTTGCCAACATATGGATGTTGTCTATGTATTGATGGTTTTCTTGCGTCTAATGATTTTTATGACGGTACACTTGCATGACCATCTCTGATAATCAATTTAATATCCACTTATCTGTAAGATATTTAGTCTTCCTGACAATCGGATGACAGGCAGATTGATTTATTATGGACATATTTAGTAAGATGTACCAGTATTTGCCTATTAGGGGACATAATGACTTATGTAGTAAATCTATTATGTTAAAATTGATAGCTGATCTTTGTTTGCTCGGCTGAAATGCTTTCTCTTACCGTAAGTTCTGTAATAGAAATCTACCAGATGAAATTTATTAAGAGCTAGGCTCCATCCCACTTTCAGGCATTTTGTAAAATTAAATTAATCACTGTAGCATTGGTGTACTCGGCTTGTGAGAACCCTTCTCAAACAACCAAACATCAGAGATGCATCACTAAAGGCAATGAACACCAAGATCTGGTGAGAAATATACAAAGTATATATGTTCTTGAAATCAGAAAGGATCATAATTTCAGTCTTTTCTATATGCTTGGCCAATTTTTTTAGGTAAGGAACCCCTTAACAGAGCAGAAGGAAAACACTGGATTTGTATACGTAGGTGCTATATTTAATGAGAAAGACTTTTACATAGAGTTATGAAGTTAAAATGTTTGGAAGGCTGTGACTGGTACTCAATCATTTTTAAATACAAGCTTTGAATCTTTTTAAAGCTAGAACACTTTGGCGGATTGTTCCTTTTAGATTACACTGTTTATATTGTTCCAAACACCTGACTTCCCTTCATCAGGAAAGTAAAATTAAGTGAACCCTGATGCCCAAAATTATCAGAAAAAGTTGTTGAACCTTCTGATGCCCAGCCTTTGTATGTGTGTCTGAAGTTTGTGAACCTCATGATTTCCAGGATCCACTTGACTGCCTAAAGTGTTCCTTCCCCCTGCATTCCTCCCTGCCTCGTTAAAAGTCTGGGATATCCACAGCAGCTGCTAAGCAGTGTATACAGTTGTTGCAATCTTATGTTCAAGCTGAGACTGCATGCCAGAGTTGTGATGATTTATGGAGAATCAGGGGCTTCTGCAATAACAAACCTGCACACATCAAGTGCCACAAGTCAAATGTTTATTTGTTTCCTGAGCTGTAAAAATGGCAAGATGTGGGTAAAAATTCTCTTAATGGCTACTATAGGTGAAGCTCGGAGAAATCAATATGTTATGATTAAGGTTTAAAGATGTCTATCTTATATGTAGATTTGAATATGTACTTTTTGAAATGGAGACTGTAAGGAGTTTAAAATGACTAGAATCACACTGACGCTTTTCCAGATTTCTAAAGGTATCGGATATACACTTGAAGTGTGTTGTTTTCATGTACTTGGCCCTGGAATGTTGGGGACAACACTTCTTGTCTACACAGATGATAACGCTTGCATTACTGCTGAATATCTGGCCCAATCCTGTACAAATAGACCTGTGAGTTTTCAGTGGAGTGTAGTCTATCTGTTGTGACAATATTTACCGTCCACATACACACTTTCACATACAAGTAGGATATTATTGGAGATCAAAGACCCTCAAGGAGTAGTCTAGATTATAACAGAGTTCAGCTGACACAATCTGGATCAGCAGTGTTGATCACAGGGTGGACTGTTTGTACAAAATGTTAATAGATTTGAAACATACACCAATTTTACAATGTACATTCTGTGCATGATAAATGTATTTCAAATTTAAATAATCAAATATAATTTTTACTTGAAATTTAATCAAATAGTTTCCGTTGATGAGCATGGTAGGGGAACTTTATTTATTGGAGTGTATTTCCCATAATCTAAAAATATTTAACAGCAATTTAATGACTAATATTATGTAATTGTGACATTTATACTGATCCTATACTCTGCCCATACTCAGAGTAATCATTCCTACTTTAAATTACACCAAAGCTTTATCTTATTGTGGGTTTCTGGATGTAGTTTATGAATGATAAAATTTAATTTAATTTTACAGCAATTCATTTAGCAAATTTCCGACTTCATGCTGTAATTAAGAGATAAACCGCATATGGTAAAGATAAATTTTATATATGCACTCTGCTGCAAATAGAAATTAATCTCAGGTGTCAAGATTGTTCTAAATTGAATGAGAGTGACAACATGTCAGAATAATAGTATTTTTTTCCTGTCTCCTAACATCATATCATAATGACACCACATTGGGGATGATCTAGCATATTTATCATTAGGGGAAAAATTACACACACCTCAATATGAATTTGTGTATCAATGAGTCATCCAATTGTTCGCTAGCTTTTGTATTTTTTTAACAATTGGAACTTTAAACAAATACACTAGGCTATATTAATGTTTCATAATATGTTTCAAAATATGAAGCAGAAAGTTATTATTTCATGTTTGTTACATGATCAGGGTGGTAATTAAATTATTAAGGAACATTGGTTTTACTTCTTTGAAAAATTCCTCCATTGAACTTATATTAATAAGGTAAGAACATTTGCATGAATTGTATTATATGCCAAGATTACACATATCAAAGAAAAAAGAGACATGCATTCATACAAAGGCAGATCATTAACATATTTTGCCCATTTTTACTATTAGTCAATTTTTAGTTTTCTTAATAAGATTGACATTGTCTCAATA